TTAAAGAAAGAGTTCCTATGCTTGTTCTGGTGTAAATTCATTTCTTCAGTGGTGTAAAGACTGTCTCATGGGATAAGATGGGGGAGTCCTATGGATGCAGGATTGTGCTACTGCTGTTGTCACACACACACTTGACAGGGTACAGAGAAACCCTCTTACTATGTGTTTGCTTATTCATATTCCATAGCCCTCAAGTAGATATAGTAAGATACTCTCCTGCCTAATGGAGTCATGTAATGGATGTTTTCTTGTCTTTTCTTTTCCTTTGTATGCTAGAAGCCTGGATTATTATTAACAATTGAGTGTTAAAGGGTTCATATGCATGCCTTACTGCAGGGAAGCGTGACTGAAGCCAGAGAAGGAAGTGACTGAGTAATGAAACACCTCTGCTGCTTGGGGAGAAGGCTGCTACATGGGGTTGAAAAGAGGTGAGAAAAAACAGGATAAAAAAAAATCAACAGCAAAATTTGCCTGGCAACAACGGCTGGTTCAGCAGCCGTCAGCCGACTAACTTCAATATGTATACAGCTTGATTCTTGGCTTTTGGGGGCTTTGTTCCTTTCTTTGACCTTGTCACCCTCCACTTGTGATGTTGACCTTTGTTTTACTCCCTGGACATATAGTGATCACGTTCTTAACTGCATGAATGCGTGAAGAGCATTACCTTTGTATCTTCAGACTGAGGGGTGGATGTACGTAAGTAGGTGCTCATTTCACACATACGTCTGAGAAAGCACAACCGGGTTATTAGGAGCTCACTGAAAAGAGATGCAGAAAAAGCTGATGAACAAATCAGATGATCTCCAGAATGTAAGGGAAGCATAAAAGTGGTATGTTTAATGCCTGAAATTGTTGTAAGGGAGTAGGTTCACATAAGATAAATGACAGCTGAGAGGGTTTTAATCTCTGCAAAATAGTCAAAAAGAGTGTACTGTTAAAAGACAACAAAGTGAGTGTTTTTGTCTGAAAACACGATTTTACGATCTTAATCTTATCTTCTCACCATGTGCACCACAGAGGAGTGAAAAATCAAACTAGAATACGTTTATACTTTGTCTGTACTTAAAATTATTTGGAAATCTGATTGAAAATGGTAGATCATACATTTAAAAACCGTGGTCTTGCTTCTATCTAAAACATTTAAATGAACCTTTTTTCATTTAAAAGTCACAAGTTTATGTTTGCTGGCATTAAATTGAAATGCAGATTCAAATGAACTTTAATCTAACTTTGCATCAAATGGAAACATTTATGTTAAATACTAATCATTGTTCCATAATAAACAAAATAAATAAATAAGAAATAAACAAGTTTAGCTGCTTTCTGAGGATCTGTTAAGATCACTGAGCACTGAGCTGAAAGCTGCTTTAGCAAAGCTTGACATCCTGTTCATGAGATGGACTATAAGCATTGAAATATAACAAGTATTTTCATCCTTCTATTCACGTTAACGTAGAATAATACAAATTTGAGATGCACCTTTATTACCACAGCAGAGCTGCATAAATATTATCCATGGACTGGTCTGGTACAGTCCCAGAACCGTGATCTTCAACATACGGTAGGTCCTGATACATTTTCTACACATCACAGTTTGGGGGCATCATGCAATTTAAGATTTTATAGATTATAGATTTTATAAAATCACTTCAAAGTCCTCAGGCATGACAGTCATGTAATGAATATAGTGATATTATGTCACTGCATAGAAATTCTGATACCAATTCGTTAAGTCCCACTACTTTGCTTGTAACACTGACTCTACTGTGAATATTTGTTGTCTATTTTTAACAAGCACCTCTCAGCTCACACCTCACATGCATTCCTTAAACACACTCTTGTCTCCTTGATCTTCCATCTGTTTGTCAGGAAATGACATGAATCAGATCTATTCTAAGACTGCAGTTGGCATTTATTTGCACATAAACGTTTCTTTCGCTCCAGCCTTTGAGAAATCAGGCACTGCAAAAATCTACAAGAACTAAGGCACAAAAAGTTTCTATTTTTGGCTGCTGTGTTTTTTTTTTAAGCTGGTTAAATGATTATTGGCGGAGTGTCTCATCTTTTGAGAACATGGTATGGCTTGAAAAACTAAATTGGTAAGTGCCCAAGTTTACAGAGACAATCAGTAGTAGCAGCCAATTCTGCCAGGCTGAAGTAAAAAGGTGTCACAAGATACGAAAAAGAAAGTATTTTCAAACTTAAGATAACTCCTACTAAATAAAGAGAGGTCTTTATCCTTAAAAGTCTAAACAGAAAAGATGGTGGACAATGAGTACAAACTCATTGGCCCTCATGCCAGCAGAGATAACATGAGAGATGGTGTTGTGCTTGACTGTTGGACACAATCAACTTGTACCCAGAAAAAAAAAAAAAAAACTTGTGTTTTCCAACAAAAGCTTTCATGGTAAACAAGCAGCTTTAGATTCACCACCTAAATGGCTTTATGTTGGTGTTTTGCAGTTTAAAAGTCTGAGCCCAAAAGGTGGGATTGCAGTTTATCAAAGGATGAAAGGATAAAGGAGTCAGTTGAAATGGTCAGTGTTCTTCTGAGCTGTATGTATGCTGTCCATGGTGCTGAACCAGCATTGACCTGTTTCTGCAGATACCTGGAGGTCTTGCCAAAATAACTTGACTGGTAACTAACCTTGTAAACCAATTTTCATATACTGGAACAACTTTTTTTAGCTGAGAAATAAATGGGTTTCTAAGCTAACATTGGAAACTCTGGTTGGTGTCTCCGTCACTTCTGGTCTAATATTACTCAACACCACCTGAGCTTTTGTTGTGTCATGTAAACTTCTTCATTGGTCATGGTATGCTAGCCTTTTGATGATATACTAAAGCAAACAAGGCCATCAGTGACAAGACTGGTGATTTTTATATCCTTATTTTTAATATCTGAAACTGTTGTGAAGGGATAGATGTCAGCCACACAGTTGATGAAACAGCCCTGTTTTTTTATGATTTTCACCACAAAGTAAACAATAAATGATACATTTATAAATGATTCACAAATGACAAAGGACACCTCTTTAACAAGTTGGGGGATTGATAAGCTAAGATTGCTTTGTCCACCGGGGGCGCTAAAATTGACACAACTGTAATTTCCTCACAGAGGCTTTAAAATCCTTCTTATATGATTCTGCAGTTCCACTGAGAGGGTCAATTCGGGCAATATCTGATCATCACTGTGTTTAACAGTGGGTCATGTCTCCCTTTATCTCTCTCTTTATCCCTCTTTATGGTTGAACCAGGATCAGAAAGGACTTAACATAAAGGGGCTTTCCCCCCACTCACGGTCTTATATCTTTCTCCACTACTTAGTGTTGTTGGTTTAAAGGATTGTCGATTTGCACACCATGGTAAATGGCATTTGACCCATAAGAGCAAGTTTAAAATTACCAAAAAAACTAAGCATTTGTTGTGGTCATAGACTGTATATTTTATGGACAACTTGGTGCTGCCTACCGCCTGTATACGGATTTGAAGCCAAATAGCCCTCGGTATATCTGGGATTTTTCTTCATTTCCTGAAACCAGAGCTGCGCAGTAGCGATGCGCACATTCGGCCGTGCAGTCACCAAGAGTCTGTGTGATGAAGCTCGGCTCAAACAGCGTATCCCCTGGGAGAGCTACGCAATCCCTGAACGCCCATAGGCTGTACCAGGTGTCAATCAAAGAAAACATGAACCCCCTAATAACTTTTAAAAACGGAGCTTCACAGAAAAAAGAGGACTTGAGCACAAACCAGTCTTACAGTAACTACATGTCAACATCGCAACCAGGGAGGAGAAAAATTTATGTTCTTTGTAATAAATTTCTAAAGTTTGTCCACAGCCCCATAAGCTTTGCTGGCGAAGGCAGGATTTATGACCTATACTGCAGCCTGTCACCAGAGGGTGCTGTTCTCGGAGTGGCTTCACCCAGCGAGGAGGCAGACTCTGTCCGTTCTATATATAGTCCATGGTTGTGGTTTAGTGGATAGAGTCTCTCAACCAGAAAGTCGAGGGTTCTATCACAGGTCCTGTTGTCCACATGAATGGTATTCTACGGTTGCTGAGAACCGCCGCTGCTGCAAATAAAAAAGAATACAAAAAAAAAGAAGTCAAAACAAAAGTTATCGATGCAAAAAAAAAAAAAAAAAAAAATACTTACTGCGAAAATAAAAGGATGCAAATAAGAAAAGCCACAACGGAAGTGGGCTGCCGGGGACCAATAATGATGATGCACCAGTGTTTTACGATCTAGGCAAAGAAGACAAAGGCCAAAAGACGAGCAAAGAAGTAGGTGGAAAGATTATTGTTTAATTTCGCTTCATGTACTTTTTAATGTGTCATTTGGTTAGGCCATGTGGCGCCAGAGTGGATATGAAGTTGAACTGAAGCCAACACTATATCGGCATCCCTCAGTTCAACTCCAAATCGACTCAGGCGCTACATGGCCTGGCCAAATGACACACTAAAAAGCACACGAATAATCTTTCCACCTACTTCTTTGCTCGTCTTTTGGCCGTTGTCTTCTTTTCCTATATGGTAAAACACCAGTGCATCATCATTAATGGTCCCTAGCAGGTCACTTCCGTTGTGGCTTTTTTAATTTGCATACTTTTATTTTCACAGTAAGTAACTTTTTTTTCCATCACCACTTTTATTTATTTATTTATTTATTTTGTGTGTTGTTAACTTCTGTTCTGACTTTTTTATTTGCACCGTTCCTTTTTTTTTTTTATTTGCAGCAGGCTTTGGTTTCTATTTTTTGCATCAGTACCTTCTGTAGTGACTTTTTTTTTGCATTGTTTTTTTTTTTTTTGCCTTGTTTTTTTTAAATGCAGCAGTGGCGGTTCTTGGCCAACGTAGCATTCAGATTTACACTTTTTTATCTAAAAGAAATCGAAGGTTTAATGGGGAGTTGATGCAATAGGTATTATATTCAGAGATGATGATGGCATTATCGTAAAAAATTCAGGATATTTTTTTGCGATAATGCCATGCACACCCCAGCTGAATCCCCCACTCCCCCTCTCACCCCACCCCATTCCCCGCCGCCCTCTCCTGTCTTTGTTCTCATCACAACAAGTCCGGAGCAGATGGTGCTCTGCTTTGCTTGGCCGACGGTGACAGACAGCCGCCCTCAGCCAATAGCCTGTTGGGGAATCAGCTGACTGGTCTGGATAGCGCCAGGTGTTTCTATCATTTTTCTTCTTCTCCATCTGTGGGACGAGCAGACGGTGGCGGGAGCGGCTCAGAAGGAATATAGCAGGGACAAACCGGCCGGTGGTGGGACGAAGCAGGTTGGAGATCTCTCTGCAGACCCGCACCATGCCTCTCTGCGAGGCGCCTTAGGACTGATCGGATACACAAGCGACAAATCGTGGTAAACAGCCACCAGCTGACCCCTCATGATACCCCTCCCCTTGGCACAACAACGCTGATCTTATTTATTGTTGTGCAGTGACGCCGGGCCGATATCTGGTTAAAGGACCTGTCTGCTTGGGAACACAGGACTGGGATGCCAACAAGGTGAGCCCACGCAGGACAAATATGACTGAATATTCACTAAAGCTTGTCCAAGAAATGGAAATAACTGCTGCAATCTCAAACACTAAATCAAATGAAGTCATTAGCAGTATCATTTGTGTGTTTGAACCTTTTTTAACCATGCAGAGCTTTCTTTGAAAATTAACCACAACATGTTTTTCTTGCGAAGCCCATGCGTAGAGTTAGGAGGGATGGAGACACACTCAAGGACATGGTTGTTTTTTTTAAATAGTCCCATTTGAACCATCGATCCAGGGTGAAATCGGATTAGAATACATTAAATAATTGATCAGGAAGCATTATTAGTGTCAGTGGAGTAATCTTCGTCATTGCGCAAAATGATATCCAAGCAAATAAACTAACTTTGATCTGGTCAGGGTCTACTTGCCATGCCAGAAGAAGCTCCGTGCCCTGTGCGCGACGTCGTGTAAATGTGATTTGCATATTAATGTCAAAGTATGTCGGCAGATGTCTCGATGCCTCTGTTCTGGGGAGAAATAGCTGAGTCTTCTCCGGGGGAAAGACAGGCCCTCTGTAAGATTGGGTGATAAGAATGGGGTTGCAGTGGCAGGGGGTCTATTGTGGTTCACAAACGCCGTTCCTGTCGCTGCAGCTGTTGCGCTTTTGTGATGGAGACATGGCTTGAATTTGCCTCGATTTGAGGCACACTTTTAGAGGTTAAGGTAGTGAAAGGTTAACTTTGAACAGTTCTACTTTGAGGCTTGGTTTGTTTTATGCAGTCTGTCCTCTGAGGATTTGTCTGTGACCTTAGTCGAGCACAAAGTGCAGAGGGGTTTCTCTTTTTGTGGGCCTTTGGGTCGAGTAATCGAGTTAACATTTCAGACCCAGAAATCAGTCGTTTCATGTAACCCTTTATGCCTGACACCACAGATTATGGCCAGAAAATTCAATTTATTTGGAGCTGAAATGTTTATTTCACTTACTACTGAAAACCCCCAAAATAAAAATGTCCTTAAAATTGAACAAATATATTTATTTATCTTGTTTGATACAGTAGATGTTTTTGGAAACTGATAAACTATACAAGAGGGACATTTATATCATTTATTGGACTGTATTCAGGTGTTTTTTTTAGTAATTTGTTGATCATATTGATTTGATAGAAGTATATAAAAGTATGTATTAAATATGATATAAAAGGCATTAAAGGGTTAAATTCCCTGTCTGTCTGATCCCACTCAGTTTTTCTTATTTAACATGTTTGTTTTTGAGCGACTGTCTCACAGAGCACTTCTGAAAGATTGTTTTTACATGGACAAAGTGTGGCACAAAAACACACACTCAAGGACTTCATTGTCTTGTCTGAAAATGAAGTGTGTTGCAGGCAGGTGTCAGCAGTAATGCATGTGTGTCTGTCTGATCAGAGGCTCATGAGAGGGGGCAAAGGGCTTCAGTCCCACCCCACCCCCACCCCCCAACCACCAGCAATATTATGTCCCAAGGGTAAAGGCATCGTGTGTGTGTGTGTGTGTGTGTGTGTGGTGCTGGTGGTTTGGGGGAGAGGAGGGGTGTAGATTATTGAGTTGAGCTTGTACCCTTAAAAAAAGAGCTGAGGCATTATTCTCTTTGTCCACTGTGGGCTTAAAGTCTTAGACACAACAGACACAGTATCAGTTAAGCTCCCTTCATGCTTTCAAAATTCAACACCGAAACTGCTACTATGAGCAGAAAATTATTCTAAGTGAGAGGGACATATGAAGGCACACCTAGCTGGTTGTCCTCAGTAGTCCTCAGGACTCAGCAGGTTTCCAATCAGACCCAGTTACCTGCCAATTGTTGACACAAAGAACAATTGTTTATAATAAAAAATGTTGATGACAGAGCAAAAAAATCTGATTACAGTGTCAAATTATTTTGTTTACAGCTTGCCCGTCTTAACATGACACTGTAGTAGATTTTCAGTCCATAAAAAAAAAAAAGAAAGAAAAGAAAATCAATAGCCTTGTCAGGATGCAGAGGACTGTCATTTATCTATTCCCTCAAGTGTCCAGTAAGGTCCTCTGCACTCTGGTTGAAGGTGAACTAGTTGAAGAGGTGCAGCAGTCAAGCTGCTGTCAAAATCAATACCACAAGTGTTTCTGATGACTAAGTGGCCTGATTGTTTACAACCAGCTACAACCTGATGTGAGTCATCAAATGTGTAACTCTCACAATGACTCAAATGACCAACACGCAGCAGAGATCCAACACACTTCCCTTAATGATGAAAAATTGTACCTATGAGAGGGAACACTTAACCATTCAGTCTAATTTTTCTACTGCTGCTGATTTTAGTGTGTGACACAACCAGAAGAATCATGACTGAAACACGGAAGGACAAACAAATCTTGGTCACTATATTATCTAAAAAGAGACAAGCTCTTATTAAGCTCTCCTTTTTGTGCATGTTTGTGCATACTGAATCAACAAATGCTCAAAGCCAAAAGTAGGTCAGCAGGTTAAATCGGAGTCTCTGGACCCAAACCGTTATAAATCACACCCTGTTTTTCCCCATGTCCCTCTCAGTTCTTATCCAGTTTAAGGAAAGATTTGCTTGGCTTATTTGTGAGTTTGTAAAAGAGCTTTCAAATCCTCCCTCACGAAAATAACAACCAAATTGGTCTCACAGAAAGAGGTAAATAGATGTAGAAACACCTGGAAAATAGCTTCTTTCCTCTCAGTAGAACTTATCATAGACTTTATTAGGGTTGTCACTCAACTGCTAACCAAATCACTGCTATTATATTTTTTTTGGAGTGCACTTGCAACAAATCTATGCAACAACCAACATCAAGTTATGTTTATCAACAAACCAGAGTTCTCTTTTACCAATGGGAACATTTCCCTTAAAGCTCCAGTGAGGAACTTTTAGTTTGTGGCAAGTTTTGTGCCCCCCTGTGGACAAAGCAGTTTTTGCTTATCTTGTCATCTGTGTGTTAAGGTTGTGTCTTCAGACAAATTCTCATCCTGCTGACTTTTGACTGCCAAATGTTTCATTTCTAGTAAAGATTTTTGTGGAAACTGTAGAAACACGGCTGAGACATAAAAAGTTACAACACAAAAATTGTCCATCTTGTCCATCGTCTGTACATCACAAAAAGGCATCAATATGAATCTCAGTCTCTTTCATAATCATCAATCAATCAAATTTTTAATATAGAGCCAGTTCACAACAGTCGTCATCCTAAGACGCTTTCCAAAGAAAAAAAGCAGGTCTGAAACACGCTTATTGTTTGATGAATTATCAAGACCCAACCTAAAGTGGGATTTGGCCCATCTCATCTAACATGAGTAACAGTGGCATAAGCATTAAAATGAGGCATTAATGTTAACAAGGTGGAAGAAAACTTGTCTTTCAAATGCAGTAAATTTTTGTGCATCAGGATTACAGTAACTTGATTTTTTTTCAAAGCATGACATCTCCTTATAGCATGACACAGCCACGGCTATTGTTGAAAACAATTCACAATGAATAATCTTCACAGTTTTTGTTCTGTTGATGAACTCTCAGTAATTCTATGACAACATCACACTCAAGAACAAGTCGTTTGTTTCCTATCTACTTCATTTCGTTGCTTTCTCAGTGTGTTTTTGTTTGTGTTTAAAAACCTGTTTGACTAAACAATTGAAATTTGATCAAGCATAGGCCGAAGATGCTTTAGTAGGCTTTATAGTTCTTGATGCGGGTGGGGAGCTAGACTTGTAAAGGTCATCTACACACTTTTCAACACCTCCATGAAAGTCAATATTCTCCTTTTTTTAAGGTGAAGCACTGCTTAATGAAACACATGATGAATTTTCATTTTAAAGCTGAACTTTAAAACATCTATTCAAGTTTGTTTCAATTTGAATTAGCATCATTATCAATGTCATAATCTAAGACTTTTACATTCGTGTTCTTTGTTTTACAGCTCATATATGTGGAAATAGTGTTTTCAGTTTTGCAGTCTGATATTTGTCTAAGTCTCCTCCCCAAAGATGTCAAAGCAGCAGTTGTCACAGGTTTTTACTTTCCTGCTTTTCTGCCTTTGAGGTTGTTTTGTGCTGCTGAGTGTTGCTCCACATGCTGTGTAGGGCTCTGGAACTATATTTACACTGACATGTGAGCTTTATCTAAAATTCCTATCTCAATAGCAATTTTATTATGACATGAATTAATGCAGATAAGACCAATGAGTGAGTGTCATGAGTGACATCCAAGAATTAAATCATGATAATGTAACACATTATGGCTCTTTATCTGTGTGTGAAAGTCATAGTGATGTCATTTATCAGTGCTGAGCAGCAGAGTAACAAGATGCGTCCATTACTTCCTGGATGAGATTATCATGACCCATGCATTTTTATTTAAATATCGTAACAGACCAACATTTATAGTCATCAGTAAATCAATGGTAACTCTTCCTCTACAGACTGAATGTTTCTGAGATTACGCTGAGATGAAGTGTTTAGTGACCTGTTTCCTTCCTCTGGGTAAGAATCAAGTACACCGCCTCTCGCTAATCTCCACTTCAGTATCTCTATTTGCTAATCCTGTATTGCGAGAAATAGTCATAAGTTCCACAGCTTTATCTTAAAGACCATAAACAGTTGTATCCCGGCTTCACCCATGCTCCGCCTTGATCTACACAGAATACCAAGCATAGGAGGAGCAGAGACGGTCTCCTGTCTCCCTGGTGCTGTTGCCAGGCAGTTTGCATTCAGATGAATTTGTCAGCCCTCCTGTTTGAAAGCCTCTTAAGTGCTGTCTTCTTAAGCTGGGGTTGACCATAAAGTGGTGTGATGGAGAGGGCTGGGGTGGGGCTTCGGTTCAGCCGTATGGCTCTGCACTGGCAGAGTGCCTTCATGAGTCAGTTCACCTGACTGAGGGATGGGATCTCATAAGTTTGGCTTTAGATATTTTATCATTAAGTTGGCAAGACTTGTGGTCAGAGTGGCTGAATTGAAAGTGTGAAGAACATGGTCTACTTTATTTCATCTTTGTAAACACTAAGAATTTAATGCCTGTGGGTATGTCTGGGTATATATGAGCAGATGGCTGTAAAAGAGGCTATGAGACATTCACACTGATACAACTCTATACTGACCCCACCTCCTCCTACTACCATGACTTCACCGTGACGTGTTTAGTTGATGCGGTTTGAGCTAGCCTGTAAGGAGTTGTTGTCAAAACATTTTTCGAGAGTTTAAGCTAACTAGCTTAGGCACCTGGTGCAAGCTGCCGGCAAGGAAAGTGGATGTGACAGATTCATCCATGTTGAAAACGGTGTGAGTGATCAATTCAAACAGAAAGTTTGAGCTCCAAGATAATGCTCAAGATGAGAGAATGTCAGGCATTATAGGAATTTTTTAGATACACATGTAGTTTTAAAAACAGGAAACTGTGATGATGAAGATAAGAGTCAAACTGCTTTTTCTCTTGAAAAGGGTCCCTGCATCTCCATCTTAGTGCTCTTAGTTTTCTGACCAATTTTTACAAAACTAATAGAGGGGGATCGATCTCTTTGTTTCAAAAGTTTTGAGATTTTATGTCTTTATTAAAAAGAGAGGACAGTGGATGGAATAGGAAACTTGGAGAAAGAGTTAGGGAATTGTATGGGGTGAAGGGCCGCATGTTTGAGGCCAGTCTTTTAGCCTCTGTACATGGGGCCATTCTGTAATCTGGCCATTCTGCCGCCCCAATGGAAAGTAATCATGTCCAAGGCAGAGAAGTAGGATTTAATTTAAACTAATAACCAGTTTTATAGGAAATAAGACAAAATCTCAGAATGTCCGTCTATTATTGATGACTGACTATCCGACAGTTGTTGAAATACATAAATCTGGACCAAGTTTGAGTCTGTCTAGGGATACAACAGTCTTTTAATTGCTTTACATGTTACACTGTATTTAAGTTAAAAAAAAATGAAAGGTAGCTTTTCCAATAAAAATTGTTTATTTATTCAGTCCCTGGTGTACCTCCTTGGCACATGTGATAAATCAAGCAACTGGCCAGGATCTGATTTTCCAGTCCTCTCAAAACCCTCTCCTAAAATCCCCATTTGTATTATTAGATATTTTTTGGGTCTATGGTTGTGTTGTTTTGAAAAATAATCCCTCTCAAGCCAGTCTTCCTTTTAAAAGGTATAACCTAAAACTATTTGATTTTTGCCCCAAATTCATAACACTGAAAATGGTATTGAAAATTAAACCTGCATCTGTTTGCTTCTTTGAAGGGCAAAGAAAATCCTGATATCTCCCTGATAGTCCCTAATGATGTTCAAGAATTGAATTAACAGGTGCTTATGGGTCTGTACAATAAATCCACAAATCCTCTATGGAATTTGATCCATTTCCAGGTCTTTCCCGGTCAAGTGTAGCTTTTATGACAAAAAATTTGAAAGAAACCAGTGTAACTATGTTAGCTGATCTGCAAGGCTGTTCCCTGGTACAGCCGTGCTGTGAGCTGTCAAGTGTCAGTGTGCTGACAGTGCTGAGGGAAACAGCTGCGGAGCAGATATTTCCACATTGTTTATCATGACATTGGACAAGATAATTGAGCTACATTTGGTGGGTAATTTGAGATGCCACCACAGCAGGACTGGATTTCATTAGTTGTTCAGGTTTTTGCTGGTGTATTTCATTCAACTTTTAGTTTTGTTCAATATTTTGATGCAATCATAACCTGTCAGGTAGTTGTTGGATATTTCACTTGTAGAGTCCATTCTCTGGGGAACATGGTGTGTTTCTTTCTTAATTGATAAATGCTTGTCTTTCCTTACAGATTTCTGTGGCTCCAAGATCTGGATTGAAATCCTGCCCCCTGCTCCAAGTCCTACAACTTCACTAGACTCAAGCAGTGTATCTGTGGAAAGCTGGTTGATGACTGTAACACACTTCTTCCCAAGGTCCTCTGCCCCTCCTCCTGTCCCTTCTCAGTATGGCTAGACGGAGGCTAGACTGCTTTCTTCCAGACCAGGTGTTTGCTGGTCTGATCCTGTTTTTAGTAGGGCAGTCCTTTGTCCAGAGTAATGAGTGCCCCCAGCTGTGTGTATGTGAGATCCGACCCTGGTTTACCCCACAGTCAACCTACAGAGAAGCCATCACGGTGGACTGCAATGACCTGCGCTTGACACGCATCCCGGGGAATCTCTCCAGTGAAACCCAGGTTCTCCTCCTACAGAGCAACTACATTGCCAGAACCAGTGAAGAGCTGGAGCAGCTCTTCAACCTCACTGAGTTGGACTTGTCCCAGAACAACTTCAGTAGTATTCGGGATGTTGGCCTTAATAATATGTCCCAGCTCACCACGCTCCATTTGGAGGAAAACCAAATAACTGAAATGCCAGATTATTGTTTGCAGGATCTAAGCAACTTGCAGGAACTCTACATAAACCACAATCAAATCAATGTTATCTCTGCTAATGCCTTTTCTGGGCTGCACAACTTGCTCAGGCTTCACCTCAATTCTAACAAGCTCAAGACCATAAGCAGCCAGTGGTTTGAATCTACACCCAACCTAGAAATCCTCATGATTGGGGAGAATCCTGTGGTTGGAATAATGGACTTTAGTTTCAAGCCGCTGGGCAACCTCAGAAGCCTGGTTTTGGCTGGGATGGATTTGACTGACATTCCTGGTAATGCCTTTACGGGACTTGACAATCTTGAGAGCCTTTCTTTCTACGACAATAAGCTAGTAAAAGTTCCCCAGACTGCCCTCCAGAAATTACCAAACCTTAAGTTCTTGGATTTGAACAAAAACCCCGTCCACAAGATTCAGGAAGGAGATTTCAAGAACATGCTGCGACTAAAGGAGCTTGGTGTAAACAACATGGGAGAGCTGCTTTCTATTGACATGTACGCCCTGGACAACCTTCCTGAGCTCACAAAGCTGGAGGCTACCAACAACCCCAAACTTTCCTTCATCAACCGTCAGGCATTTCGTGATGTTCCAGCCTTGGAAAGTCTAATGCTGAACAATAATGCTCTGAATGCCCTCTATAAGTCCACAGTGGACTCACTCCCAAATTTACGCGAGATTAGCATACACAGCAACCCCCTGCGCTGTGACTGTATCATCCAGTGGATGGGCTCAAACAAAACCACTGTCCGCTTCATGGAACCTCTGTCCATGTTGTGTGCCATGCCCACAGAGGTCAGGGGTATGCACGTGAGGGAGGCTCTGCAAAATCATTTAGTAAACATGTGTCTGCCTATGATTTCCCATGATTCTTTCCCTAGCCATCTAAACCTTGATATTGGCATGACCGTGGACTTAGACTGCAGAGCTATGTCTCAGCCCGAGCCTGAAATCTACTGGGTAACACCAATGGGAGACAAAGTGATGATGGACACCGTGTCTAACAAGTATAGCCTCAGTAACGAAGGCACCTTGAGAATTTCTCAAATCCAGGTAGAGGAATCTGGCAGATACACCTGTGTAGCTCAGAACTCAGAGGGAGCTGATACAAGAGTGACAACAATCCGTGTGAATGGGACTCTTTTAGACAGCACTCAGCTTATGAAGATCTATGTCAAACAAACAGAGTCTCACTCTATACTGGTCTCATGGAAAATAGACTCCAACATAATGACCTCTAACCTTAAATGGTCGTCTGCCACCATGAAAATAGACAACCCACATATTACCTACACGGCCAGAGTACCTGTAGACGTCCATGAGTACAACCTCACACATTTACAACCAGCAACTGAGTACGAGGTGTGCCTCACCGTCTCTAACATCTATCAGCAAACACAGAGGTCGTGTGTGAATGTGACCACAAAGCAGTCGGCCTTCACTGTTGAAGTATCTGAGCAGGGTCCCAACACGGCTCTAGCTGCGATTATGGCAACTGTGTTTACAATCATAAGTCTGGCTTGTCTGGGAATGTACATTGCAAAGAGGTTGAAGAGAAAAAACTATCACCATTCTTTGAAAAAGTACATGCAGAAAACCTCATCCATACCTCTAAATGAGCTGTACCCACCTCTTATCAACTTGTGGGAGGCTGATACTGAAAAGGAGAAAGAGGGGTCATCCGAGACCAAACCCAGTCAGGTGGACACTACACGCAGCTATTACATGTGGTGAGAGTTCCTATCCAGCAGCAGATCTGGAGACAAGATCCAGTCAGGAGCACAAATATTAATACTTGCGTCTTCATGTGAAAGTGAACTGACTCTATTTTTTTCTATTATTTTTTTTCTGTCTTCAGATCTTCAAGGATTTCACTGAAAGTGACTCAGACTCTGAGATTTATAGTTCTTTAGTTTAGCACACAACTTTTTTTTACCTCCACTTCAAAAGATGTTTTGACAGCTTCGTTTAGCTGCCTGGACTTAGTATTCACTGTGCTTTATTCTTTAGTACTTCTTTCAAATAACACGGCATGATCATGGTCACCGATGTAGCATACAGGAGCAAAGGAAGAGCTGATCACAGGGCATTTTTTTTCATCTTTTCTGGCGGGACTGTTGGAGACTGTAATCTTCTTTTTCTCGTGTAACAGTTTTACTGTTGACTGTTGTGCACTGAAATATATGGGAATATATTCAAATTTGTCTCTCAACACAAATATAAGCTGGCAAAGTATATTTAGACTTGCTATACTGTCTATTGAATAATGTTAGCTATCCCTCTGTAATGTTGTGTAAGCTCTGATTTGAATTACTTTTTTGTACATTGAATAACATAATGTTTGATTTAGAGTTAAACAGCTACTGTAAACCAGCAATAGATTACGAGTATAAAGAAGTAGGTCAGCAGGTTTAAGACAGTTGAACTTTCTCTTCTTTTCTGATCGCACCACATTATGTAAACAATCACTGGTTTTGAAATGGTTTGTCCACTTTAATATGCTGTTTTGAGGAGCAAGTTTAATAAAATCATCTTTCCTCATATTTTTTCAAACAGTTATTTTATACCAAGAATCAAGCACACAAAGTTAAGATTGGACACCTTATTTGTTTTTACCCATTTCATACATTTTCAGGCTGGAAGCAAGCATAACATATGATGAGCAAGGTTGCAGGTGTAGAAAGAAAATAAAGGATGCAGTCTGCAGTGTTTGCCTCTGTAAGACCATTAAGGGAAAACCATCTTAAGTCTAGTCCCAGTACAATATAATCACTGCAAAGTGAGCCTTTTATTTACAGTTATTCCAGGAACAAAACATCACTCTCTCCAAACCATGACAGTACCTAAATTGCCATATTTTTGTGAACTGTCTTGTTCATAAAACGAGACATAACTCTGCATCTCATCAAGAGAACAAACCAGAGAGAAAGGATGCAAATGAAAATGGTCACATGGATAACATATTGTTACAGCAACCAAAAAGCCTTTCGTATTCGTTTCATTCGGCCAGGTTTTGATTACATCTATTGTAAAAAAGAAAAAGCTATTATGTTTTTTTCTATAACAAGTGTGAAGCTAGTATGTTGCATTATTTTTAATATATCAATTCCTCTGCCAAATCCATAACTCAATCACAATGCCTATCCTGCTCTCCTACATTCGCTTTATGCAGAAAGAAGATCGTCCTTGGCGGTCTTGAATCCCTGTTTGTGTCTGGTGTTGAGTGACAGCTCTGGGCTTTGTGTTGCAATCATACATTTGCTGTTCAGCCTCCCCTGACAACATGCTCATTGTCTGTCATGGTCTGTACTGCAGCATTTTTCTTGAAACAGTTATTCATAGATAACTATTGTAACACAACAGTAAATATGGTTCTTAAAATAGTAGGCTACCGCATCAAAAGTAATGATACTATCAGACTGTTCTAAGTCATGCTTGATTATTTTAACTTTTTATATACTCCCTAATGACTCCTTGATGAAGACAAAGAGATGTGGCTTGTAAAATAGGTATTTGTGTATTATCCAATCCCTTCTCTCTGAGGTAACACCACTGTTAGTAACTGATCTGGCTAATATAAACAGTTTGCTTTTAGATATTTGATGATAAAATGGGTTGAAACTCTCTTTTATATCAAAGCTTTACTTCAAATGTGTAAAATGGTCAGTGAATACCACAAAGCCTTTGGAGACATGCTTCTTTTTGCAGAGAACAATGGACGGGGGACAGCGAAGCAGCAGCAGCAGTCTGACATTTGTCAACCTGTACATTGAAACAGCGTTTTTGAAAAATCCTATGCTTTTCTTTGTGCGTCCGAAGCGGACAAGCCTTTATGTTTTCTCAGAGGGTAGCCTAGTAACAGGCCAGGAATCAGCTCATTGGAACGGCTATCAATGAAAGCTTTTCAAAGCATGTACTGGAGCCTGCACTATGTCCCATCTCAGTGGCCTGTTACTATGACAACCCCACCCCCTTCCATCCATCAGCGAGTGCTTCCAGCCAAGTAAGAGAAGAGTCCCTGAAGCCTGAATGAACAACGACAAGGTCAACAACCTGTAAGTAGGGAAACACTCAAACATTGTGTACACATTCAAAGTTACTGTGGGAGAAAAGCTGCATCTTTACAGTGAGGGTGACATGGGATGGCACTGAGCATTCATCAGTTACTGGGCCTGCGTTATGAAAGTGAAGTAAAGAATAAAAAAAGAGAGAAGCTAATTCTCTGTGATTAAAAAAAAAATTGTGTTGAAAATATAACAATTTACAGGAGAAGGTGTTGATTGGACTTACAGTAAAACTCAGTGACCATCTATTACATCTACACGTAAACGAAAGCATCAATGCTTCAGTAAGAAAGTTTGAAAGCGCCTCTTCTTCAAGTATGTCAACCTCATTTCTTGCACAAAATAACTGTCTGTAAAAGCCAATTTAAACCTTTCACTAGTCAGCTTGCAGCTCTCATTGTACAAACTTACATTAAATGTAGTTCACAAGTTTGATGCAATACAATGAGGTGTACCGCAGGAAAAATCCTGATGAGACCCCATAAAAATAATGCACCTCAGCTTGTCAGCAATACTTAATCATCTGTTAAATGCATAATGAATTCTTGGACAGATTGCTTTGTTGTTTTCTCTCAGGGCCTAATTAAAGCGCACTGGTGTTTGCTGCTGCACATGGTGGAAAACTAAACTAGAAGCTTATTTACATCCTTATAAATAGCTCCTGCTGTGACAGTTTAGAAGTAAAACGTGCTTGTTGATCAATGGACAAAACAGGTAAGGCTTGTAAACTTACCCAGACTAAATGTATTTATTGTTTCCAATTTAAAGTTGTCAGAAGTCAATGGGGGTGCCATCCATCTGGTCCTGAAGTAAAGAAGCTGTTTTAACCAGTGGCTTCCAGTTGGGTCCTGCCCCAGTTAAGCCTGAAGGGGTCGAGAGAATAATCTCCTTTCTGTCTTTATGTGAGGTGAACTCAAGCTTGTGTGTCTCAGACTTCACCACTAAACAGTTAAACTGATTTGAAAAACAGCCACGCTACCACCAAGCTACAGGGAATTATTGTTTACCTTACGCTGCTGTTTGTAGTCCCATTAAACCGCCTATACCTCTGACTGCATCTCCTTGTTTTGCTCAGTGGGGGCGGTCTAAAAAAGCCCCTTGAAACTATTTGAGCCATCTCATAACGATCATGACAACTAAGGCTGGCAAAGGCAGATGAGGGAGGACTTGGAAATTTGTCTTTGTTCTCTACAGGAAGACAAGAGCGTATCCTCTAAGCTATGGTGCAGCTTTCCCTGTAACCTCTGAGAAGCATCACAGCCAATTTGAGACCCAGTCAATCAGCACAGCAGCAGAGGGAGTACTACTGTTGTTAATGATCTCTCCAGAGAACACTCTCTGTCATGTTTTGGTTCATTAACCAAGCGCAGTCCAGCCACAGACTTCATGGTCTTTTGTGCTTGTGTGTACATTTTATATATTTGTACGAGTCGAGAAATTGCTAAAATGGCCCTCAAGGATTGTCCACAACCTTAGCAAGAGATCATAAACATTGCCAAGTCCTATTTTTAAAGGAAACCTCTTCAACTGCAATAGGAAACCAATCTTAATTTTTTGATTGCAGCTATCATGAAAACCTCGAAAATTCTCCAAATGCAATGTTTTACATCATTTGCTGAAAACTTAACAATGCATGAGTATAAAAGGTAAACAATGCAGATCATGTAGCTCTTAAATCAAAGCCTTAATGATTCATTCATCAAGTTTCATAAAATTGCCTAGAAGTCGAATGAATTAATGGATAAAGTGGTCCCATGCCTCTTGCCTCAGCAGGTTATAGTTGACAAACCATTGAATCATATGTTGCCACATGGGTAAGTTTTCTATAGTAGTTTCGCCATCTGCTGGTGATATAACAGTATTACAGTGGTCCATAAACATTACGTCCCACTGTTTAAGAACACTCTTGGTCAGGGAGAGTGTCGATAAATAACTGGAGATGTGAGGAAATCAGGTAAGGGAAGCAAAAATCACAGAGTATGTTAAACAAATGGGACTGTCGTTGAATAAATGGGCCACTTATAATGTGAAACCGCTATATTTTTTCAACAATGCTCTCCAATTTCTTCCTCACACCAGTTTACACATGCTAGACTGTGTATGGCTCCACGGGGCTCCTTCTTTATCAGTCAATCAATCAATAATTTTCTATTCATCTTGACATGAGCTCTCACTAGTATGATGAGAATGGAAACGATCAATAGAGTAACGATTTTATGATAAGGGCTTGTAGCTGTCTCCAAGCAACATTTCTTGTAGGCTATGATTTTACTCTGAAGAAAGGACAGATGAACAGAACTTTAAGGTATATGGCCATACCAAGGACAAAATGCTTGCAAAACAATACTATCTTATAACCATAGACTGTATGGGGGAGAGTGGGGTAAGATGAGCCATTATTCATATTTCGCATCACAACATCAAGGCAATCAAAGTTTTGTCTCTAACTAGTGTTTCTGCATATATTTCAAGATGTTGTGCATCCCTGCAAACCAACAGAATGAGTGTAAACATTACTGTCTTGATAATATAGCATGCCAAAAAAAGTGGTCTCCTATGGTCAACTTACCTCACGTATGGGGTAAGTTGACCATAGGATCGGGGTAAGTTGAGCCGTATCCCTACTACCCCCCACCCCAGCCCTCCCTCACCTTCTCTCTCCCTAAATAACAGTCACTTTGTCACATTCATGTGTATTTTTATCTATTATACGCTATTCAACAGATACAATAATTCTTTTTACTGTTGTTGCATATAACTGCTAAAAAGCTGTTTTGTAAACAAGAATGCCTTTATGTGATTCAGAACATTCACAGCTTTAGTTTTGGAAAGAAAAAGTAACACATTTCAACAATCTGAACTGAAACTCTGATCCTCTCATCAGACTTCTTTTCTGTCTCAGTTGAGTTACTGGCTCAACTTACCCCAGAACTAATTTTATAACTTTATTAGTCCTCTAAGCTAAAATGGTGGACTTTTATGCTCGGTTTTTGACCTCATGTTGTAGCTCATAGATACCACAACTGATGTATAAAACAATTTTAAAATGATCTTTTTCTGGTCTGAACACAATTCTAATAAAATTTATGACAGACTAAATTCACTTTCAAGAGTGAAAAATGTGTTTTTGGAAACAAAGGTCTAACCCCTTCACCCATGTGCTTCTTACCTTCACAGACTTCATGAATTGATGCACATCTCCTAAATATTTGGTCACATGATCAATTTCTTTTACCATTTCCAAGTAACAGGGGGTGGCTCAACTTACCCTTTGGCTCTACTTACCCCACTCTCCCGTATACTCTCTCAGTCTATGCTTATAACCCAAACCACATACTCCGGTTCAGTAGGTGGCGACACGCACCTGTTCAGTCATGCCTCCATCCCTTCATAGAAAAGAAGAAGTCTCCCCAGTCGAGGAGGTTTTTACAGCTGCTGTTATAGATCAGAGCAGATGTAGTTACTAACTTTTGCCATGAATGTGGAAAAATTGAGTTTGGATTTGAGCAGTGGTCTCGAAAATGTTCCTGTTTCTATCGAGGGGATTTCAGCCATACAGACCCTTCCTCGGTTTGAGGTAACGGTAGATCGTAAGGATTTCATACAGTTTCCATTTACTTAATCAGTGTGCCACCGCGCAGTTATCTACAATTGAAGAGTCATGTCTTGCGTACGCCATTAAATGTAGTTGACGCTGCATAATTATACTAGCTAGCTGTATGTATGATGGCTAAAAGACAGGAGGTCAATTTGTCAACTGTCCAGTTACGAATCACTGGAGAGATGAAGAGTGGTGTTTTTCCTGCTCGTCTATCTTTGTGTTTCTCTGGAGTTACTGAAGCACTCAGAAAACATCCTGCTTGTCTCAAACTAGTGATTATCCACTCTGCAAAATAAAATAAAATAAAATAAATCATTTTTTCTAACAGCAGGTGGCAGCACATCAAAACACATCACAGCTACATAGGCTGAACAAGCCGGGTGTCTTGGTCGAAATAGAGAAATTTCTTCAGTTCACACTTTTCTCGTAGCCTTTTTTAGAGACATAGTGTGAACAATCATAAAAAAAAGAAAAAAAACATCTGCATTGTAGATTATCTGAATGTGGTAAAACCATAGACTGTATATACAGTCTATGGGTAAAACACTATAATCATATCTGATATAGTAAGAACATTTTTGGATTTCAGCTGTGAAGCTGCTTTTTATTGAAAAACAATTATATTTCAATTATACTAATGAAATACAAACAGCGCAATGTAATTCATTCGTAGAGCTCCATAGCTCGTTTGCCTAAATAATTGGATTTTTTGAAGGTTTTGTCAGAGAAGTTCAGTGTGTCTGCAGGGTATTTGACTACATTAACCTCCTCCTGCTGGATCCAAACACCTGAGACTTTGTCATTGTAGTTTAGTTTAGTTCATGAGTGAGGAAGTTTGGTAAGGAAGCTTGTGAGGAACACTGACTAAAATGTTGAGAGTTGGTTAAATTGCAATAAAAGAAAACAGCAGCTCTAAGACCTGTGATTTTAATCTTAATATACAATGACTAATGTTAGGAACTAGCTGTTGAAGAAAAAATGGATTCACATAAGTATCGCAATTTTTTGTTTTACAATTTTAAATTTGATTTTTTGTTCAAAAATCTTTTTTTTTTTTTATTTAAGAATAAATCTTAAAAACTGACTTACATGTTATATGTATTTTTGGGGAAATGTGGTTCCTGGGATAGTTAGTAGATGACCATAATCATTCAACTGTTTCACTGGTGTTAAAAATGCAGACTGAAAATCAGCAGTATCATAGAATTGCAATTTAAATTGAATCGGCATCCAAAAAATTGTAGAAGAATTGAATTGGAAGAAAAGCATATCGTCCCAGTCCTATTAGGAACCTCTAGATAATACAAGCTGGCTACTGAGAGCCCTGATAAACCAGACCCTACAGCACAAAACAACAACATAGAAATGATCTGATTAGTTATTTTGCTGTTTCAGCTGCAGATCAAATACTCTGTTCCTTATTTTCCCTTCCAGTATTCTCCAGACAATATCCAGGGACCAGGATGCACTATTGACCCGAGTGAAGTCACCCTTCCAGGATGCTCCTGCATTACCCGCTCCTGCTCCACTGAGAGCTGTTCCTGCCTGCAGATACACGGACAGGCATATGACAGCACAGGCTCACTGCTTAACCAAAGCAGCACAGACTCAGGTTACTGCTCACCAGTATTTGAGTGTAATGCCCTTTGCGGCTGCAGTGATGCATGCTCCAACCGGGTGGTTCAGAGGGGGGTAAGGCTCAGGTTAGAGGTGTACCACACCAACAACAGGGGCTGGGGGGTACGGACTCTAGAGGCGATTCCAAATCGGACTTTTGTTTGCGAGTACGCAGGAGAGGTGATAAGCTTTGAGGAGGCTAGGTGCAGACAGCTAGCTCAGAGACCTGAGGAAAACAACTACATTATTGCAGTGAGGGAGCATGCTGGCACAGACTCTGTCACTGAGACGTTTGTAGACCCAGCAGTGATGGGAAACGTAGGTCGCTTTCTCAACCACTCCTGCCAGCCCAACCTTCTCATGCAGCCAGTCCGTGTGCACTCTGTGGTTCCCAGACTGGCACTGTTTGCTGGCCGGGACATTAATGCACTGGAGGAACTGGTGTTTGACTACTCAGGAGGATACAGCAACCAGCCACCTGCAGAGGCGCCCTCCACACACAGAGCTAATATAGCGCAGGCTAACAAGCCGGACCAGAGAAAAAAGTGTCACTGTGGGGCCAACAACTGTCAGCTGTTCCTTCCACTGGATTTATCGATTCTCAGCTGAAATGATTTGAGTTGGATTTTTCTCACCTTTATTTTTTAGTTTTAGGTTATCGTATTTCTAAGTAATGAAGGAACAATCACTCTCAAGCCTTGTGTCTTTGCAGATTTTATTTTGAAAGGTCTACTCTGTATTGTATTGGTCTATTTAAATTCTCAGTTAGTTTAACCCTTTGTTGGAACAAGACAAAATGCAACATGTTGATTTACCCAGAAACCCAATCAGCTGGGTGAGTCATGCATGTGGTCTTCATTGTTTTCTGCTTTGTTCCTCTTGTGATCACTTGGTCTTCCATTCAGTTTAGGATGCTTCAATGAAATCTGAACCACAAAGCCAAAGAAAAAAAAAAAAGAAGAAAAAGCTGGATAAATGCTTTTTTTTCAACAGACCAAAGTTGTTTACAGCTTTGTGTTTTCTATGAACAAAACAAAGGATGCTTGTTCTGTGCTTAACAATTTTACAACTGTCATCCATTCCTGACGCAAATGAATCTCAGACATCTTTTAAGGCAACAAAAATGAGAGACACAGTGTGTAAAGATAACTCAGATAATCAAACAGGCAGAAAAACTGATCTATCTGCCCCATATCTGTAAAGTAAGCTGCCATTGCTGAGAATAAACATCAGCATTCTTGGTTGAAGAATCGCTGGTATGTGTTTCCATCAACTTGGCATTTCTTTTGCGTCTTCACGCATTTCCTACCAGAGAGATCTCTGGTTTCTCATCGTGCTCAAACCTCAGGAGAGGTGGGACCAATTAAAAAGGGCCAGGGGGTATTTTTTTATATAGAAACGGACTTTATTCCCCTGTCAGAGGAGGGGTGAAGGTGTCCCACTTTAGTGTGACCATTCTGAAATCAGGGCTTTCTCTTTTCAATCTGCCCCCTTTCTAGTCTAGACCTGCTTTCATCTTATTAATATCCACATCTGGGTTAATTAGGATGGAGACCGTTTTTAATCTAGAAATAGGACCCGTTCTACAGCCACACGAGAGCCGAGAGAAACTAAATGGTGGGGGAAGATGGAAGCCCTCTGTTGATCGGAGACCACTGTCAAGTTGCCTGGTTTTTGTGTCACCCAGATGAAAGGCAGATGTTGCATCTGTTTTAAAATAAAAACTGAGACACCATGACGTCCTACAGGTATTTAGCCACTTGGGCAGTATCTCTCTCAAAGCCACTCTATATTTATTAATATCTTGTATTCATTCTACTCAAATAATAACTTCCTGGCCAGTGGTACAGATGTTGTTAAGTGAAGTCTTGAAAATGTAGACAGCCTTTTTTGATAATGATAACCTCAGCTTATTGGTAACTTACTAGTAGCTTTATGTTAAACACACACACTTAAGAGTGGTCTCAGTATTTCATGTCAGTAGGTTGTAAAACAACATAGAAAACATTCCCCACCAAAACAAATTTGCTTTAAATAATGATGCACTCGATCAGCTCCTACAGTAGTGGACCAAACCAAAGTCAGGTGTGTGATCAACCTTGAACGAAAGCATGAGATCGTTTTTTATAATTGGTACTCGGACAAAGTGTGGTACAGTTAACACTGTGCTGCCATGTAGAGCGTCGGCTGGATATCTGCTGTGGCTGTGACCTTGGAGAAAACTAGGACTGACCAAAGGAAAGAAATGTATTAAAAAAATCTGGGTCAAGGCTTCCCTTTTCACCACCAACGAGAGCACAATAAACCAAAGAATCAGCTTTTTATTTGCAGGACAAGAATATGCCTCCAGTCCTCTTGATTTGAGGCCCTCTTTGCTTTGTTCTAGTGATAAATAAGACTCCACTGTCTGGCCAACAATTCTATTACAAGCAGAATAAAAATCTATTTCACCTCAAACATATGACTCATGTCATCCTTGAGTCAGATGTCCCTGGAATCCCTATGGCAACCGGCTACAGGAGGTGATATGGACAGCAGTGCTTGGTTCTGAGGTGCAGGAAGGCTGTTCTCAAATCCTGACGGTCGTAGTGCTAGGCTGAAAATGAGTGAATCCTGTTCAGGACTGTCACCTAGCAACCAGTTAATCACATGAGGTGAACTTCCCCACCAAAGCCACCCCCCAACACACACACACATACAAAAGCAAACATGTTCAGTATCACTTAAAATGGAGTAGCCCAGCATGATGTAAATGACAACCGTCACTGCACTACACAATTCAGAGAGTCACAAATTAAGCGGATTATGGCAGATTTAAAATATAATCTGTGTCATTCATTACAGGGTTATCATCGTGTTGTCATACCACATTTAATCAGGTCACAGGTGGCTGTGAGTCAGAGGCAGAGCTGACCATCTTTTATCTCTAGATTGGCCATCTGATCGCTGCACTCCTCATGTGAAAGACACTGAACCCCATATTACTCCCATTATGGTCTGAATGCCTCAGCGTGGAGTAGTTCCTGTTGGGCAGGCTGGCACTTTGCACAGCAGCTTCAATGATCAGTGTATAAATGTATTTAAAGAGTTGGGAGACTTGACAAAGGTAGTATTTTACTGTTCATAGTTTTAATATTTGCTTTAATGCCTCATGGTCAAACTGTGTCTTCTTTGTAACATTTGAGGAGATGGACTTGTTCTCTTTTTTTGTAAAGAGTATAGTAGATGTCCTTATAATTTGAGGGCAAAACCGGGTATTCTTTAACAGTAGTTCTCTACTGTATAAGGACTTTTCATTTGCTCAACTATTCAGCAGATAGATAGTCTCATCTCGCAGAGAACCATGGTCACATTGAAACCTTCTTAAGCAGAGCGCAATACGACAAACCACGTACTGTCATAGGGTAAAAAAATATCTGCTTTAAACACCTGCAATACTGGCTTTTGAAAAAAAAAATTACTATTTTTAGGTTTGCTCTCTACCCTTGACATGTGATGCATGAACAATTACCTCAAAGTTATCTGAAACCTGAAACACAGAAGAAAAACAAACTACTCATGCTGAGATTATTGCTTAATAAGTTCCTAAATTTCTCCATATTTTGACGTGGTCTTTAAATGGGTTTAGGATTGACTGATCCAGGAGAAGTGAACTTTGGTTAAGTGTCTCATCAGATGTACCTTAAAACACAAACCTTGTGCCCATCCTAGCTGCACTCTACATTGATAAACAAGCATGACGCTTGTTGGGGTTGAGTGACCAAAAAATTAATCTTTTTGCTAATTTGCCTGGAAATATTAAAGCTGCCTCACTATCCCACTAAACTCTGTCAAAGGAGCTATTATCCTTTTTTTTTAAATTATTATTATTATTATTTTTTATAGTAGTCAGCTTTTGCTGTGTTGGCGTAAGAGCAAAGTGACATCAGATTTGGGTCCTCCCATCACAGATGTTAAGTCAGACTGAAGTTAAATTTGGCCCAGGACACCTGCAGAACGCACGGCAGGAAGTAGCCCTCGGAGCACAAGCTGTCACAGCTGCTCATGCTACCACTGAAACATCTCAATCATAATGACTGTGTTTGCAGAAAACACTAATTCCTCTCTTAGAAGGTTTTGAAGCACTTCTCAGTCTGTGTGGGCTTAAAAGAAACCACCAGCAAATTCTAAGCTGCAAATAGACACTAAAACATAAGTTTCATTGACAGTTTTGATAACCGGATACAGCTAAAGATATGCCAAAGTCATTATGCTCTATTGCTGTTATAATCCTGTTCAACAACTAAATACTAAAGGCAGCTCTTTGTTTTGGCTTACTCATGATGCAAGCTAATGTTCAGTGTGTAAACGCCTGGTCTGACGTCAGATTATCCCACTGGAATTTCATTCTTGGAAGGGAATAAAAATTCTCGATAATGATGTTGCAAATGTGGAAGACATGCTGTTAGGCCAGGACTAATTATGGGTGAGATCTCACACCCAAGAATTTTAAAAGCTTGCTTATGAACTGTGTGACAAATAGTCAGTCCCTAGCGTTTCTGTGCATGCTAAGCTGTGACAATCCAATTACCGGCCCTGTTTCACCTTTGCATCACTCAGCAGAGCCATGTCTTCAGTGCATTTTAAAAATATGCACCATTTTGTTATGTAGTGTTTGTTACATAAAAAAGCAGGTTTTGTTTTATTTATTTATTTATTTCCAACAAAAAGTGGTTCATCTCTGATATCAACTGTATAATTTTATCTGTAGAGCCAAATCAGAAGAAATTTTTTGCATCTTTGTGTTTTTATAGTTTTAAATAATGAACAATTTAACTCACCACAAACAAATGTAGGACTGACATGCAGTGAAAGTAAGCCAAGTAGTCCTTCAACCTCTAATGATCTCAGTGGATTAGTTGCGGTCAAAGCGGCTTAGAGAACATGTCCTGCAGGTTGGCTAGGTAAGTTCTGACCACTGCTCTCCTCAGCAAGATTAGTCCTTACAATGTTTACGTTTCAACAGCGTACTAAACCCTACACCTCTTTGCCAATCAGACACCTGGCGGATAATTTTCCTGGCACACAGGGTGCAAGTTGTTTGGCTTATTGATTATGTTGTAACCAAGGAGATGAGGTGAAGTCATCTGTTCCCTTGTGTGCTGTGTTTCATGGGGAAGGTCCAGCTGAATCCTGATACTTTTTTCCCACATGTGGCACCGAGTTAAGGCTCAAAATCATGGGGCCTCATTACAATATCAGTGCAGCTGTCCTAATCAGATCATTTCCATTGGGAATCTGCAAGCTATTAAACTAGAATAATTGCCCTTTATTTTAAGTGAGGTATCTCTACTTTATACTCGTCTGAGTACCAAATTTGTTGTCTTGCTGAAAATAAATGAATTAGCATGAGAGCGGCACACTTATTTACCGTATCTTATGTTTAATGTATGAGCTGTTTTTTCCCTCTTGATGCGTAATGGTTACCTACAAACCCTTGTTCCATCGTGGGGTTCTTGGTGGGGAGGGTGAAGATGGAAGGCACGCCATCTAACTGCTTTGCTTTTTTCCATATCTGGTTCCTGTGAGGGACAGCAACCTGATTTATGTTATATTTCACAAACTCTAACAGTCATTGGCTTAAGTCTATAGAGACCTAAAGAGCCTTATAGAGTCAGGATAGTTGACCGTTCTTTCCATGTGGCCATATACAGTATACCACCAGATAGGACAGAGTCCATGTTTGTTTTGATACCACACTTGTTCACACCAGGTACTACTTACACATATTATTGCATGTAACATACTGACTTTCAAAAAGCGTAAGTCTTGCATAAATTTAAGAAATTTCTTCATCATTTCACTGCAAGCTTAAAAACACCATCATCTATCATTCTTGCTCTTAGTGACATCAGTATTCACTGTGATTTAGTGCTCCAGATCTGAATAGGAGGAAGATGTCCCAGATCTGCTCACAGGAACAGTGATGAGACCTCCAGTGTTGTTGTTTTTTTAAACAAAACAAGACCTCATCTATAATATGAAACTTCTTTGTCTTCTTGAATAACTCCATAAAAATGGCCAATAACAAAAAATAAAAAAGACTCTTAGCTCTACTCTGGCATTTCTGATGAATGTGGGGATTAGTTTGCAGGCATGGGCCCACACAAGGCTAACAGAAACTCAGACAGGAAAACTACCAGCCATTGTGCCCACACATTTCTACCAAGAGAAGGCCTAAATCTGCACAAGAGAATACTCCCCCTTTTGCATGCAAAGTGATGAATCTCTCAATTGGTGCACCCACACAGATGTTCTCTATAGTTTGTCCCTCTTCAGACTGTGAAGCATTCCAAACATGCAAATGCTGCGCTGGGTGATTTGTAAGACATTTGTTGTTCTGTCAGGAAGACAGATCCCTGTCTCTGAATAAGATACCACTTAAAATGGATTGTCAAAGTTTGACTGAAACCCTTGCAATATGTCAGAGAGTAGTGTGTGTCTGCATACAAATCACCTCTCACCTATCAGTCGTAGTAGTTCAGAGGTTGCAATATACTGTGTCCGTGTAAAGGCCTCCAGCTGCAGACAAGGTTTCAGCATTGCTCACCAAATAAACTCTGACCTGAAAATGTAGATGAAAAAGGAAGTATTTTGCAAATGATCTCATTATCTTTCACACACACACACACACACGCACGCACGCACGCATGCACGCACACACACACACACACACGCACACACATATAGTATATAACACACACACATGCATGTTTACACAGTACTTTCACTTTGTATTACAGTCACAATTGTGGACTGGTTTCCAGTTGTCTGTGTTTTGTATCCATGAAAACTGTACTCAACTTCACTTAATATCAAAGGATCAAATTTAATTTTTAAAAAGTCCTTGAATAATGATTATAGTCACAATAGCTATGCATTATACTGTCTAAACTCTACAGGATACTGTAATTAAAAGAACTGATTGCATATTCAGTAAGGGAAACAATGACAGTATTAGACTCATAATAAGCTTCTTAGTCTCCATTATGTTGTAGTATTGCTATTTTTAACACCTGGAGATGAACAGAAATTATTTTGCTAATCAAACTTCCACAAAACCTATGCAAACACATGCTTACAGTGTGGCTCACAATTCTTTGTAAGGAGGATTTCAGTGAGGTGGACCTGCTCACACTGAAGTTTTCAAAGAGACCAGTATTGTTTGAGTTCAGAGTGGTATTATGCACCTGTTTATTTCAGTACAAGAGTCTGTTCCAATTCTGGTTGCTGAAACTGTCAGTATGCTTTTACTGGGTCATTTGCTAATAAACCAGATCACTCAGCGCTGATGGAATAGATTTCTAAACTGTGTGTCACAAACAAAGACATGAAGTGGTCCACTAGAAAGGCTTTACTGGCTGATATCTCCCTGAGAATAATACCTCCTGAATACTCCAATACTGAACAAAGATTTTCTTAGTTTCTTGAAAAGGGGAATGTAAGGGGAAATGAAAGAGAAAAAAATAGGTGTTAAATTACAAAACAAAGACATGAAATGGATCGTCCAGTGGGAATTTGACTGCCAGCAACTGAATCAGTGTTTCTGACAGGAGACAACAAACACAACTGATGTCTTTCTCTCATGTCCTTTCACGATTGAGCATGCACAGCATGACCCTGTCTTTGTAAGGTGGTGTGTGCTTCTGTTTCTGACATTACATACCTGAAATAATGTTGGCATGGACAAAAACCTTAGGTAACAGGTGTTTTATCATTCACAGACACCTTCACTACAGTCCTCGACATGTGACATAAGAGGTTTTTTTGTCACCATAACCCCCCCCCACACACACACACACACACACACACGCACTATTTAAAAGAGCTATGAATGTCTTTCTGTTTCCCTTTGCTGCAATTATTTATCATTATCATGCCCAGCTTGGCCCAACATTTCTGGACCATGATAGATGAAGAAAGCCAGGAGATGAAAACAGCACAAGAGGCTGCTGTTTGTGTCATGTGTTGCACAAAATGAAAACATTATCGTTATATTTTAACCCTTTTCCTGATCTTTTGTTAAGCTCAGTCTTGCTGCATAAACCCTCACAGTTTGGTTTTTTTTAGTTTTGGTACTTATGCCTCGTCATGTTTGTGGTTTTGTGTCATGAAATGCTCACAGTTTGGTCAGATCTAGACACCAAAACTACATGGTTTGGTTTTGGTTAAGGTAATGTTATTAATGTAGACTTCTTCACAGGATTGAAGTCAGTCAATTACAGGTGTGCTGCTACCAGATGGGCTTGCTATCATCACTTGAGTCCAGCAAATAGTCCATTGTTTCTTAGATAAAACAGAATTATATGGTTTGTAATTCTTTACTTAAAGGGATATTCCAACATAAATTTAATTTAGGGTCAGACACACCATAACACTGAGTTAGACACCCCCTCGAGAGATGAATGTTGCTAACCGCTTGCTTCTCTAGGTATACCAACTTTAGTAATGACCACATGATAGCGATACACAGCGGTCTAAGGAGCCATAAACAAACCTCAACCAAAGTGCCACTCTATAGCCACAAATAATGCTCAGAACAGCACCTAACTTCATCAACAGTACATATAGGGTCCCAGCCATCGTACTAACCACCAAACATCTTTTTAACTTTGCCTGATTTCATTTAGCAAAGACACTAAACACAACTCACCTACTCTCCTCCAGCAGCCCTTGGTTTGTAGACCTTGGGCCAGTCCATCACGGACTGCTGAGGGGTGACGCAGCTCAAGGAAGAACATTTGTGATCATTACTTTATCATTTCCTTGAAGTAAAAATCCCCATATTAATAATTTTGCACTGCAGACGCGGTAGTACTTCTGCCTTAGCATCTCGGTCTGATTGCATTTCCATGAATTAATGATCATAAATGTTCTTCCTTTAGCTGCGTCACTCCGCAGCAATCTGTAATGGACGGGCCTGAGGTCTCACTACAACCAAGCGGCTGCTGGAAGAGAGTAAGTGAGTTGTGCTTAGTCTCTTTGTTAAAGAAATTAGGCAAAGTTAAAAAGATGTTTGGTGGCTAGTACTGTGGCTGGGACCCTATATGTACTGTTGATGAAGTTAGGTACTGAGCATTATTTGTGGCTATAGAGTGGCTTTTTGGCTGAGGTATGTTTATGGCTTCTTAGACTGCTGTGTATTGCTATTCTGCGGTCGTTACTAAAGTTGGTATAACTAGAGAAGCAAGTGGTCCGCAACATTCATTTCTCAAAGGGGGTGTCTAACTTGGTGTTTAGGTGTGTTTGACTCTAAATTAATTTAACGCCGGAATATCCCTTTAAAACCTTTTTTTTTACTTTAATCAAGAATGTGATGTACGCTCTGAATGAATGAATGAATTTATTCTGCAGATAATGACAGAGCAGGGCTGATATCGATTCACCACCTCCAGAACTACATTACCCAGAGGCCTGTGCTTCTGTATAAATAGTAACGAAAGGGGCGGTCCCTGCAGTGACATGTGGAGGAGGTAAGAAGCGGATTGTTGCTGAGGACGCATTCAGCTGTCAGAGATAACGCCGCTCAGCCTGCACTTACCTGGAGTTTCGCTAACATGGACTTAACCGAGGATAGCGCTGTGGAAATGATCCTTTGCTGACCCACTTCTTCACACGTTTCTTTCCCTATCTAGCTCTGAAGCCTTCTTTCTTTTCTGCCAGGTAAAACCCATGTCTATGTGTAGTTTTTTTCTCAGTGGGGGCATTGTTCATTTTGCCACTGAGCTGTGAGCATCCCTGTCAAGGAAGTAGCCCACGCGCTCATTTGTTGCTGTTGTTTTTGCTACAGCTCGCGCGATGAGGCGACGTGAAGATAAGATGTAGCTAGCAGAGAAGTTTGTGTTCTCTCTTTGAATCCTGTGGTACCGGGAGACGGTGAAATTGCTTGATATTATTTCACAATGGTGTACTCCTAACTATACGATGCATGTGTCCTTGCATAAAGGAGAGGTCTGAGGAAAAACAAACCAAAATCCAACAGAATAGTCAAACACATCAAGACTCACTTGAGCAAATGTCCTTTTTGCGTGGCCCTTAAACTCTGTGAAAGGAGTGTTAACCCTAATTTAAAATGTCCACAATGATGAAAAACATGAACCACACATTAACTTGATTTGTCAGTGTTTAGCACAAATGCTCAAACTAGCTTTAAAGAGCTGTCGAGTCAAACCCTCATTTTAGGATTTATAACCATACTTAACCAATACTAAAACTAAACCCTGTAACTTTATCAAAGAGCTAAAGAGCACAGTTATTATTTATTACTTTAAGAGTATTTATTCACAATTGTTACTCACAGTATTACAGTAAGTGATGCTGTCAGGATGGACCAAAGAAGTTAAGATGCTCTGGACCAAAACTAACCTAAACACTTCCTCCACAACTGGAACAGCATTTGACAATAGTTGTGTGCAGGACAGGCAGACTTTATTAGCCTATTATCTTTATTTTTACATAATAAATGACTGATTTGACTAGACTCGGTTGTGTTTTCTTACATTTTGAATTATTGATTGAATTATTTGATTTGTTGTCATTCATTTTCAGCTGTTGTCAACCCTGAGGAACCATGTCGGACAAGATGTCCAGTTTCCTCCATATTGGGGACATTTGTTCCCTCTATGCAGAGGGTTCCACCAGTGGATTTATCAGCACTTTAGGGTAAGTCTGACTTCTTAAAAAATGTGTGTTTCATGATCTTTTGCTGTCTGAACATCCCATTATCTCATGGTGCAGGATCACAGGATGGATGTACAGTATTATCCAAGTGAGTCCAAAAAAACACAGCTGTGAAATAGTGAAGACAACAGAATAAAAATAGAGCTCTATGAAAAGGATCTTTATGATCACTGTGTTAAAGCCAAGTAATGGTGTGATAAATGTAAGGATGGATATAATGATTGGTAGAAACAGTGTAAACACACGTCATCTGTCAATTCAGATTTTTTTAATAACACAGTTTGGTCAAAGTGATAATAAGTGATTTGTTTTCATTAAAATGGAAATATAATTACTAAAAATATATATTATTGGTCATGCTGTGATCAAACTAATGGTTTAAAAAGAGGGAAATGCAGGAATGCAGAATACCTCTCTGTTAACACACTGAGAACCTCTTTACTGAAGTTTTCTGCCTTTACTGTAGAATGTGTTTGCTCTGCACTATCATAAATCATATTTAACACAGCAGCAAATATATTCTGCATATTGTATCAATAACATCAGTGAAAAATTCAGCTTACTAAGTCACACTGTATACAGGATGTTGGAAATGCTTTTAAAAAAAGAGGCAGTTTATTTAAAAAAGTGATGCACTGCAGTTGTCATTGATAACCTTTTATTTATTCCCCTGTTATTTGACATTATTTTAAGCCCTCTGCATTAGTATTTAGGAACGTATTCTTTAACTGTAGTCTGAATACTATGTTTTCAAACGGTAGCCTCAAATTACCTTGTCTCTCCCTGCTAATTGCTTGGCACCATTTATTTAAGTACTTGATGTCTTCCCTCCCCCTTAATAATTGGCTTCAAGTTCAGAGTGCAAATCACTCTGCTCAATTTAACCAAGTCTCCACACACAAGTGATAGTCGCAGAGAAACAAGGTTAAAAAAAGATGTAATGGGAGAGAGGCTGATCATTGGCATTAATGCCCCTGTCCAGCTGACAGTAAATCTGGTATTTTAGGCTAAATTTTTAAAGGAACAATGCACACAGCATCTGTTTTGTTCCATCCTTTTGAAGTGAAAACACAAAGTGCTGCTATCCTATCCTCTCTTGCTATACCACCTTTACTGTACTTGCTACTCACTACGGGCCATACCAAGCCCTCCTTTCCAGCTCTCAGAAACATTGCTCTTTCACAGTTTAGTGTTATGCGTCATCTGCCATAGCAACAAATGTGTGCAAAGCTTTAAAGACAGCAACCATGACAGAGCTCGTTTGTCAAATTTCCCATCTCCTACAGTCATGCCTAGTAATAAGCCACTCTCTCTCTCTCTCTCTCTCTCACACACACACAAACACACACACACACGTACCCCTATCTTGTTGCTATAAATAGCACGTTTGTAAGAGGTGTTGCTTTTGCTGCCAGCGTTCTGAATGTGACCCCTGAGGTACAGCTGCATCCACCTTGAGCATTACTGGACAAACATCTTTCTGCGTCTGACTGGGATGTAGCTTATAGCATTAGCCTATGGTGTGGGTTTAAGGTTTCATTTTGACTGATGATACAGATTACTCTTTAAACTGCTGTTGTTTTGTAACCTTCAGTGCATCTGTACGATCAAAACAATTGGTATTTGATGCTACGAAGAGAGAATTCTCACAGCGTGTTCTCTCTTCCTTCATCATCACAGCGGTCCTTTGTTGCAGTGTACACTGCAAGAGCTATAAAAAGATGTGACTGACTTGAACAGCTAGAGCATCCTGCTAAAGTGCTGTATTTGTGCTACTACAAAAATATTCCCAAGGGCTTCCCTCTGCATTTTCCTGTATGTTGGTGCCATCAAGTTCAAAAAGTGTTTTCAGACAGAGTTTAGTTATTGTTCGGAGAACTGAAACACTGACTGTGTTACTACTGAATGGTAAGAGGAGGAGGTAACAGTGTTTGGAGCTGGGTAATGCTTGAAATGATTGGATTCCAATTCACAAGGCCCATATTTGATTTGTTTCTGACTGGATTTGAGTTAACTTTGATTCATTTAGAGATGTTTCAGTTATAGGAACAATTTTCTCCATGAAGGAGGTTCTCAGTGAACTAATGCAGTTAAATTCACACATAAGTGTTTAAGGTTCACATGTACCATTGACCTAGTTGCATAGATGGACTTTTTGATTTCATATGATGACCAACATTAGTCTGATTTTTCAAATTGTAGAGAAGGCTGAGAGAGGCTGCTGTTGACTGTATGTAATGCCCTCTGTCAAACACACAAAACCTTATATATACATATGCTGGAATGTGTTGTTCACTAGACATTTATGTTGTTTCACTCTGTTTACTCAAGAAACCCTACTGTGTTGTAGAAAGGATGAACACTGACTTGCAGCATATCTCTGATGTGGATTTTTACAGCCCGTCCTAACCTTGACCTCTCATCAGTTCTTTTAGGTTCTGGTGCAAACGATGAACTAGACATTTAAGACTGTTGTTCAATTCACTGCTTTGTAGCTGTGACACTCTGCTTTACATTTGCATACAGTTATGGGATGGCCATTTCAATCAAATATTTACATGTTGGTGACACGCCGTATGGTTCAACTATATTGGTGAGGTTTTAGAAGACGGCATTTTCAATAACGTTGTGTAGACATAAAACCTTGTATATGAAAGTTGCAACAGACTTTTTTATTTTTAGGGGATGTGGAGAGTTCTTGTTCTTGTAGATCATATATCTGGTTGATGCTGGTCCAGTGATTTTGTAGACTCAAAGTACTGCTGCCATATTTTCCCTCCGTATTGCACATCTTCCAAATGGCCTTGCTTTTGTCCAGCTCTTTTGTGTCTTTAATGGGTGTGCTCCAAGGTCAGTTGGCCTCTTCATTGGAGCAGCTCTCCTTGCTGGCATGTGTATGATGAAATACTGGCCTCTTTTGACCAGATCTCCATGCCCAAAGGCTGGCCTCTCAAAATGAGGGCCCACCCTGGAAAAGAAGAGATCCGTCACTGGACCTCATGAAGCGAGACCTCGTCAAACTACTACATTTGAATTGAAAAATCGATTTTTTTTCACTCAGCAACTCAACAATGTTCACTGCAATCTTAAAGACAATCCTGGTAGCACTTTACATGAGCCAGCCTCTTATTTGTAAGGCGTTATAACAACCCGTAGGAGTGATAAGAATTTATAACAGCTAGGGCTGGGCGATAAAACTATAACGATATGTATCAAAAATGTATTTCCCTCAATATCCATATAAAACATAATCAATATGCTTTTCGATAGTTGGCGTTCTGCCATGTTTTGGTAGACTATACGAATAGCCAGTGAAAAGGGGAGTTGCTCAGGGTCTGCATCGCGCTGAACCAATCATGTGCTGAAGTAGAACCAAGTAGCAAACAACTGCGTAGTAGCAGGCAGCAGCTACACACAACCATAGCACTTTAACACGTGAAACCGACAGCACTGTTGGTAAGAAAAAAGAAAATGAGAGCTACCCTCGGCAGAAATGCAGATGAAGGCTCAACAGATGATGACATCGTTGACAACATTGGCACAAAAATGTTGGTGGTGGGGAGGTATTTGGGATTTTTTAGGTCGGACATGAAGCAGAGTAATGTGCGCTGCAAATTATGTTGAGAACATGTTCTCACAAAGTCGGGGAATACCTAAAAAATTTTTTCACCACTTGAAGCAGTGCCACGTGGCAGAGCACATGCAGTGCAAAAGGTTCCAAACCCCGAGCGGAGCAAGGAGCCCATGGTGCCTGTGCAGCCAAAACAGCCGACCATTCAGTCCGCTTTCTCTAGCGCAACATCTTATGACAAAACGAAGTGACGTCACAAATGCAGTAGCTTATTGTATTGCAAAAGACATGCTACCAATAAGCACTGATAAATTTAATTCAAGAGTAACAGGGAACATTTAAGATTGACAATTGATTTATATCATGATATATATCGATATCAACTGATATGAAAAAAATATATAGTGATAAACTTTTTCCCATATCGCCCGGCCCTAATAACAACTTATAAAACTGTTTATAGGGTGTTATAAACAGTGAACAAAATGCCTGTAACATATAAAGGTTTGGTCTATAATGCCTCATACAAAAAAAAAAGCACCTTTTGGATCCTAAGCCAAGCCAATTTTATTCTTGAAACACTATTTTTAATAACATTGTGTATTTCAAACATTTAGATGCATTGAATAGTATTTAACAATAGTTGTACTCTGTTGAAAGAGAGGAAGATGACATTGCAACAACACTAAATCAGCATTGCACTGTCAGGGCCAGCATCAAAGAGCATTTATTCAACATTGCTTATGCACCGCGGTCTGAGGCAGAGTAGCCATTCTTGCACTGCGCAGCTCATGCTCCTGTTTGATGAGTCAGAGCGTTAAAAGGGAAACACTGACACTAAAAATATAGTCGTAGTTATAGTCAGAGTTATAGTTATTGGAATGAACCATACTGTTTGATGGCCTCAGGAGGAGGTTTTGGTCTCATCATAAGCGTACATTAACATGTCTTTAAAAGCTAACTCCCACCTTGCTTTGTTTTCAGCTCTGTCATGGGTTATTCTGTGTCTTATGCTACATATAGCTTGTGTGTGCCTGTTTTTAAACTATGACTGTGAAAAATACATGCTTACCTTCTCTAGACAGATGTGTACAGTGCAGTATTCAACACAGGATGGACCCCCAATGTCAACATCTCCTGCTTGACCATTAATCATTGTCAGGGTTGTGATGTTAAATCACATCAGGAGACTCAAGGATCAATACAGGTTAAACACCACTGCAATCAGTGTTACTTTATTTATGGTTTTTGTAATATTGACACAATATTGATTTTTCAGTGAAATTTCAACGTGAAGGTTCTGATAATACTGTCCAATACTGTCATGCTATCTGGGTTTGAATAACTTCTTTTGGCAAAACAGAAGATGTTTTAACTTCACATTGTGTTATTTGTTTAAAAATCATATACTGTATCTTTAAGCTCTACCCAGCATGTTAGTGCTCACCTTGAAAACCACATTTTATTATCATCACTTTATTAGGTTCACCTTGCTGGGTTGGACCCCCTAGTGCTATCAGAAGTGCCTTTATTCTTGGTGGCAGACATGGTGTTTGAAGAATTCCTCAGAGATTTTTGTCTAGATTTTTACATGAGAGCATCACACAGGTGTTGCAGATTTGTTGGCTACACATCCATGATGTGAATATCCCGTTCCACCATATCCCAAAGGTGCTCCATTGAGCTGAGATCTGGTGACTGTGGAGCCCAGTGGAGTTCAGTGAATACACTGTCATGTTCAAGAAACCAGTTTGAGATGATTTGAGCTTTGTGACATGAGGATTATCCTACTGGAATTGTCCATATGAAGATTTTACACTGTGGTAATAAAAGGATGGACATGGTTAGTAAAACAACACCCAGAATGGCTGGGGTGTTTAAACGGTGCTCAGTTGGTACTAAGGGGCCCAAAGTGTGCCAAGATAATACCCCCCCCCACACCAAAAGACCACCAGCAGCAGCCTGAACCGTTGATACAAGGCAGGATGGATCCATGATTTCATGTTTTTTAATCCAAATTCTGACCTACGATCTTAATGTCACAGCTGAAATCCAGACTCATCAGAGCAGGAAACATTTTTCTAATCTTCTATTGTCCAGTTTTGTAAGCTTGTGCAGGTTGTAGCCTCAGTTTTCTGTTCTAAGCTGACAAGAGGGTCACCCAGTGTAGTCTTCTTCTGCTGCTGTAGTTCATCTGCTTTAAGGTTCGTGATGTTGTACGTTCAGAGATGGTGTTCTACATACCTTGGTGATTATTGGACTTCCTGTTGTCTTTCTATCATCTCGAACCAGTCTGCCTATTCTCCTCTGACCTCTGACATCAATGAGGCATTTTCATCCACACAGCTGCTGCATACTGGTCATTTTCTCTGTTTCAGACCATCCTCTATAAATCCTCAAGGTGCTCGGGCGTGACAATCCCAGCAGATCAGCAGTTTCTGAAATTCTTAGATCAGCCCGTCTGGCACTAACAACCACACCGCATTTAAAGTCACTTAATCCACACATCCCCATTCTGATGCTCGGTTTAAACTTAAGCAAACCATCCTGACCGCATCTACATGACAAAATGCATGATATTGCTGCCATCACTCATTATTTATTTGTGTTAACCAGTGATTGAACTGTGTACCTAATAAAGTGGCTGGTGTTTGTTAACAACCAAGCAAAATGGCTGAACTTCGCTTTTCAGAGCATTTTCGTAACATGAATTGCTTATAGGCTGCAAGGACAGAAATATGTTGGATTGGAATTTTATACCTCAATTTGGAGTAAATAAGTCCCTCATACAACATGTCAGTTTATCGATTAATCATCTTGATTGATTAATCATCCGATTAGTGGCATTTTTAAATAGTAGGCCATGGCTGATGCCTGCACCCACAAGGTTAAAAAGATAAAGAAATAATGTCTGCAGAACTTGTCAAGATTCCTACTCATACTGCTGGTAATATGGCTGGAATGACAGACATCATAATCATTAAAAAGTGGTGTTTTCTCTAATGTTTCTTGGCATCAGCCATCAGATGATGCGCTCCTAAATATTGGCATCAGCCTCAGAAAAATGGTACCTGCTGACTACAAGCCAATGTGCTATTTAATAGGGGTGGGAATCACCAGTTGCCCCACGATACGATATCGCCACAAAACGATATTATTGTGATTTTTAACATTTTGCAATACAATGAGTATTGTGATACAATATATTGCGATTTATACAATTTTTTTAAACTGTTTCGCTAATTTAGCATTTGTGTTTCCTTTCTGTTTGTCTTATTTACACAGTATTTTATTTTCATGGAGCACATCTTGCAAACCGTATGTGTCATGTCCATGTCATTTGTGCGCTGCATGTATTCCTAATGTCTTTCCCCAGGTGCTGCTGTATTTGTTGCACGAACTTACTCCTGCTCTATCATGTCTCCTCTGCCAACCTCACTGGACAAACAGTTGATTTTATTTTTCCATTATCATAGATTTGACTTCATATTAACGATTAATTTGAGAAAATTGATACTTGGTCAGTGAGACAATTGGATATATCACCAGACAAAATATCGTGATACTATGCTGTATCGATTTTTCTCCCACCCCTACTATTTAATATATACATCATTGCAGTACATACTTTCTGGGACAAGCTGTCATTGCAATGTTGTCTCTCTGTCAGTTTGTCTCCAATTATACAAACTTTTCTGAACAAAATATCTTGAAAAAACAACAAAGGACAAATCAGACTATAATATTAACGCATTGGTATTTCATAAACAAAGATATAACTCCTTTGTACTTCGGAGAACAGATGCAGGCTGCATAATAAGGCTGAACAATTCTCTAATTCTCATTTCATTTGCACAGATTTTGACCTGAGGGTGATATTAGTCAGAATAATTGTTGATCTGTGGTAAATGGAGGCTCTTAGAGGGTGTTTTGTCTATGCTAAGTTTGCTAAGGTTGCATGTGTCTGGATTGGTTGACTCATCATAACGATGAATGTGTCCCCAGGCTTGTGGATGACCGCTGTGTGGTACAGCCAGACACAGGTGACCTCAATAACCCGCCCAAGAAATTCAGAGGTAAGGTTTCAAAAACACTCTCCTCACAATGACAGATGATTATGTTTACTGTATTTAACAATGCTTTACTTTAAAAGAAAGACTTTAACTGTTAGGAAAAAAAAAAGGTTGATTGATACATTAAATAATAGTGACTCTGGCATTGGTAACCAGGGGGGCAATATAAGGAGCTACACGAAGAGGGGGGGGGAACATGTGGGGTACAGTTTCAACTAGCAGCCATAAAGATTCGAATATAACAAGTTTATGGTGAACTGATAGGATGATATCTGCTGTGAAGAATATCTAGTTTGTGTTGATTTTGTGCTCCTTTAGACAAAGGTGGCCATGTTGTCATTTTGCTGATTTTGCCCTGAACATGCCAAGGTAGTAATTTCATTCCAAGGTAATTGAAAGTGTGCTTAAATCTTTTAGTCTGGTGCCCACTCACTGAAGAAAAAATTACATTGTAAAGTTTTATCCATGTTGTTGATAGTCTTTTGATTTTGTTGTTTATTAAAAGGAATCAGGATTAATTTCACCCTCCTCACGGGAGCTTTAAATGATGTGATTATGTCAGCTGTGTCTTAGCACCAGTTTTACACATCATCTACTCACGAGTCTTTGTTGCAGATTTCATGTCTGAGTGGCAACAAGTTATCTGTGAAGGGGTTTTCTGTTTCTGTCAGGATTTGCTCTGTCATATAACTTAACAGTTTCAGTGATGATGCTCTGTGTTGAGTCGCAGCAGGTAAAGATTATGGTTTTTCATCCAGAGTGAAATAATTGCGTATGGATTTTTGCCTGGGCTCAGACAAAAACAACAAACAGCATGGATCAACATGTGTCCAATAAAGGTGTAAACAACACATTAAACCATTTTAGAGTGGCCTCACTCAAACAAAGGTTCAGTAAAAGAGGTACTAACCACAAAGTAGCAGATGTTCAAAGATTTAATTCAATATGTCACAACAGTGCTGGGTTGTCCAATTAAACAAACAAAAAAACTGTCACCATGGAAACACTACCATGTGGATCATGCTAGGTCACATGGTTACTATAATGTAGGTTAGGTTCATTATCAAAGTCTTCACCAACAAGTCCATTCTGAATAAGATAAGTGTTTTTCTGTCCTGTAACATGCAGTCATTTAAAAGCAAAAACTTAAAGGGATATTCCGGCGTAAATTTAGGTTATGGTCAGACATACGAAACACTGAGTTAGACGACCCATCAAGAGATGGATGTTGCCGACTGCTTGCTTCTGTAGTTATACCAACTTTAGCAACAACCGCATGATAGCAATACCTCTACGCGCACACCTCAACCAAAAAGCCACTCTATAGCCGCAAGTAATGCTCAGAACAGCACCTAACTTCATCAACAGGACATATAGGGTACCAGCCATAGTACTAGCCACCAGACATCTTTTTAGCCTTCCCTGGTTTCTTGAGCAAAGAGACCAAACACAACTCACCCACTCACCCCTCCAGCAGCTGCTTGTTTGTGGGGGGGAACCCTGATGAGTCAATCACTGAGTACAGCGGAGTTTTGCAGCTCAAGAAAGAACATTTGTGATTATTACTTCATGGAAATGCAATCAGACCAAGACGCAAAGGCAGAAGAACCACAGCGTCTGGAGTGCAAAATGATTTATAATGATGATTATTACTGTATGGAAATGATCTGCTGCACTCGGTGATCGACTCGTCAGGGCTCCCCCACAATTAAGCGGCTGCTGAAGGACAGTAACTTAAATTGACTTAAATTTACATCGGAATATCCCTTTAACTTGTCCTTTTTGATTGATAATTATACATTAGGAAGATACTCCTCAACATATTTCATCCATGTGCTGTAAATAAAGGAAACAGACACTCAAAAATGTTACTGTAGGGATGACTTGACAATAACCACAAAAACTTCAGTTTCTGTTTTTACTGAAAGAGAAATATGAGAGTAGAGAGCGACCTGGCAGAGGAACGTGTGTGCCAGGTCACTGATATTCCTCAAGAAAAGATACATGGTAACAGAAGAGCAGCCTTTTGACCAAACAAATGCTCACCTGCTAGTGCGAGTTCTCCGGCCGTACAGTAAAAACTTAGGCTGATTTTAAAAAGTTTTGTTTGAATGTAAGGATACATCACCTGGTTTAACCTGGTCATTATAAGAGATACAGTTCAGCATGGATAAGCATTATAAAAATCCCCCTCCTTATTCATCAACTACCCTTTTTATTGCAAGATAAGGACAAGTTAATGATTACTTAAACATATAAACATATCACAGTCCTTTTTTAAAAAGTCCATCTATTTTGACGGAGGCTACAGAGTTGCTTCAAATTAACACAAGGGTGACCAAATTCTCTCACTCATGGTGTTAAGATATTAGTATTTGCATTATCTGCTGATTGTCGCAATGGGTAACAGAAAAGTAACCGTGTGTAATGGATTTAAATAAGACATGGCCCATTGCTGGAGGATGTGATGGTCAGCCTTATTTGGCTGTTTCTAACTGTGCTATTCAAATCATATTCAAAGCTCATGGTTATCTCCACAAAACCAAAGTAGCTGCAGACTACCTTAGTCACCTGCACATTAAAAACACTCTAAATAAAAGCACAGTTACACCTTTTTAGAGTCAAGGTGATTATGAATACATGGTATTACATGTTTAACTGTTTCTGCCATTTTATCCTTTTTTTAGATTCTGAAATATTGTTAGATGATAGGACAAGAGAAATGTCCCCTCAAATTCTAATCAGTCTTTCAATGTCGTCATTATTTAAAGGGTTTAACGGTGTTTTGAGGATACAATCTGGAGTCTCGTGGCGTTTATGGAGGCCAGTGATACCAGAAGCAAATAGTACAGTACCGTCCTACTGGCCTGTTTGGTATTAATAGAGCACTTTTGCTATTTAAAAACTGTAGTGCAGGGAGCTGTAATGCAGCAATGTAAACCCTATTTCTTTTTTCCTGACGCAAGTGAAAAATGTACACTAAACAGAGTAAGTATTTGTGTGTGTGTGTGCTGTACTCAGTTAAAGTTGATGACATGCACATCGCTGTTTTAAAAAATGAGTTATTTTTTTCACACATGCAAAAAAAGCTTTGTCAAATCAGTCAATCAATACTTTGAATGTGTTTCAACCCTTTCTAATATTTCTAACACAAGAGACCTCTACCTGCTCAACTATGGAGGATTTACCAAGACCTGGGGCTGGGTGACAAGACCAGATCATCAGAATAGGACAATTCACTTTGCTGTATATTCATAAAGGGAGTCAGTTGTGCATGGACCTATGGGTAGTGCTATACTTTAGCTCATCCATAACATTGGATTTGATAAAGTACGTTCCACTAAAGCTATTAATTTTTAGAGGTCATTTTTCAAGTTGCAATGTTGAGTGTTTATTTGATTTCCCACTTTGATGCCCTGCGATAGACGCACAGCTAGGCATGTGCCAATATGAAAAATTTGATATCATGATATTGGTGACCCAAAATCTCACAATTCATGATATTATCACGATATTAGCGCATTGCTTGTAACGTTATTAAAAATGGCAAAAAACTGCGAAATCACTTCTCTGTGCACAGCATGACATGCACAAACAATATGAGCAAGAGGCAGCTAACGCGACGTTGAGAGCATTAGCTTTTTGGAGCTGGAGTTAGCAGAAACGTCACTAACGTCAATAATAACAGTAGAGTAGACCAAACTTGTTGCGGTCATGTTGTTTTTACCTTGATTTGGGCGAACGATGCTGGATGGTGTTCATGGAGGTGGGCGCGTAGGTTTGAAGTGTTAGACAACGGTGCTGTCTAGCCGAGGAGTTTCCTCATTCTCAGTCTCCGACTGTTCTTGGTCCGGTGTTATGCCGTAGAATGCACCCCTGCCGTTGAATGCACCCCTGACGGGAGCGCGGTTGAAAGTACATAACAAGGCGAAATAATCGAAGTTTTCCTTACCATTGGGTGGATTCAAAAGCATGTGCCTTTAATGATTATTTCATTCAGACTATTCATATAAGCTGAAAACAATATAATGCTCTCTACCTTGACAGCTTACTGTACAGTTTATGTACCCAAGTACATCTTTAAATGTGCATTTTTGGGACACATAAAAACAGAACGAAAGTTTGCTGCTCCATTTGACATGTTGTCATGATCCAATACTCGCATTTTTAAAATATTAGATCATATCTCCTCCACTTTAAGAAGCTAATGAGCGGATGGGATGCATTGTGGACACGCTCCAACAGTGCTTTGAGTGGCCGCAATGCATTGTGGGTGGCCACACATTTTGTTGTAAAATTTCTTCATTTTCTCTTTAATGTTCCTGTTTTTGTTAGGCTGGCATTAATGTACTTAATTTGAGAGTTTTTTGGATTTGGGACCACTTTTGTGGTGGTTTGTTTGTACATTTTGCTACCGAGGCTTTGTGGGTAAGACTACAAACGGGTTAGGTTGGTAAGTACTTGGCCTCGCTCACCTTTGCTCAGTGACGCTGCCATCCGTCTTTAAATTATAATTGTGGAACGATTTCTACAGTACCTCACAATTTCATAATTGCGGCCGTTTAATATCGCATATCACGACTAAATGGTATATCAGCACATCCCTACGCACAGCGAAACTGCACCATCTTATGACTTATGCTGACATCAAGAACAGGATCAAGGTTATCCTCTTTAAATTTTAGTTCAATATTCTTAAAGTACTTTGTTTTTGCTTTTTACTAAATATTACAAAAATCATCCAACCCCACTTTTATCTCTTCATGGCAGGCTTCTCTCAGGTAAATTTCTAGAGCATCCAACCTGAATTCAAAGGTAAAAGATCTCCTAAACTGAAGAATGATTTTACTTACAGCCCAATTACCTTTTTTTGCATACAAAAAAGTACCTGGTAAATTGAATAATTTTTAAACATTTTGTGTCAGAATAATGACTAATGCTAGTAGAATGAATCCACATTCAGTTAAAACACTGTAGACTTTCATTTACCCCCCATGCAACAAGAGTATGAACTTCTTTCCTAACTGTCTTCAAAGTGTTGCAATATTAGTTTTCTGTGTTGCATCGCAGGTTTTTGTTTTTTCGCGTTATTCCCTCATCACTTCTCAGCTCTGTGATATTAACCAATCTTTTGCCAAATGTTTCTCAGCCCATCATTTCCACACACTTCCTCTAAACTTTGATTGCTCTCCCCTGGCAGACAGACTTTTTCCCACTGCCCCAATTTCCAGTTTTCGTCCTTGGCCCGGTCTCCTCCTTTTTTCTTCCCCTCAAACCTGTGCCAGCCTATGTCTGATCCCAGGGGGCTTGTGTGTTGGCTGTGTTTCTAATGGAGGTTGCCGTGGCAGCTATTTTTACCCCGCTGATAAATCACTTTCTCCCCAGTACCAGTAAAAGTGGTTAAACTGAATGTGGAGACAATGATGACTTATAAATGATTAAGCGCTTTGTTCACATCCATGTTCAAATTTTTAGTGTTTTTTGTTCTTTTTAGTTTTAGATCCCATTGTTTTCTGAAACTGTATGTTTTTGGTTCATATGGTGGAAGCAGACAGGCTTAAGAGTGTCATATTTTCATACCTACAGATTACAGTTATCCTGGTTGAAAACCTATTATTAAACAGTATTATTAAGATAAGATGTTCCCTTATTAGTCCCACCGGGGGAAATTCCAAAATTACAGCAGCATAGCATGGATACAAAAATAGGAAAATTAAAAGATACAGAAACTTTGACTGAAAACAAGATATGTGCATGTCATATTTACATCTGTACAGAAATTACATAATAATGGATTTTATATTGGTGGACAACTGAGTCTTCATTCTTAAAACTACTATGAAATTTGGTTGAGGGGGATCTCCTGTAAGTCTTATATATGCATCAACAAGAATGTAGGGCTTGGCGATAAACCGAAAATTTACTGATACCGAAATTTGCGACAATAATTGACGTCATTTTGTCAAAAAAATAATCACATAAAAGTTGGTTTTGGGTGTGTGTAGGTAGGCTCTGGTCTCATGTCCCTTTAGGATGCTGTCCTATGTTAGAGACGTGACTCCACCCCATCCAGTCTGTAACAAAGAGGGAAAGACAGGTGAGAAGATGGAGGACGGTTTAAAGGTGGAGCGGCTAGAGTAGACAAAGTTAATGTGGGAGGGGGTGAGCAGCTTGTGGAGTAGTTATCTTCCATTAATCGTTATCGAGGTGAACTGCTCAATATATCGTGATATTGATTTGAGGCCATATTGCCCAGCCCTACAATAACGTTTGTGAGTAAATGATGGAAGTGAAATATTAAACCCATGTGCAAACTGACTGGCTGGTACAAACAAAACATCTCACTGACTCCTGGTTTGTCATATGCTCCTAGGTAGGATATATTGCTTTACTTCCATAACAGTCTTCCCTTTGTGGCAAACCAATTTTTGCCTTGAGATGTAAAACAGAGGTAGAAATTCCTACCCGTGATGTTGATTTGATATCGTTAAGTAAATTTGCTGAACTCCTGAAAAAACCACAGGTGTGCAAACGGTATCAAGTAACATATATTTAGAGTCCTCCACCTGATTGTGTATGTGGTCTAACTGGGATTTCTTGTTTCTTGCTTTGTGCCAAAACTTCACAACTGAATCACACATAATTTAAATTGCTGATCCATGCTCTCCTACAGTAACACTGTGTCTGAGTGCTGCTGAAGTGTGTAAAGTTCTGACTGATGTCTCCGTTTTTGTGTTTCTGTTGCGACTTAGTTTTTGGCTATTGTCTTTGAAGTTGCATCCTCTCTTGAGATAAAATTAGCTAGTCTGAGACCTGATGATGAGAACTCTCTTCTTCTTCTTCTTCTTTATTTTTGTCAGACTGCCTTTTCAGATTATGTCCCATGAACAGATACTCAGCGCAGAAACAGTTCTGGAAAGCAGCGAAACCAGGAGGCAACAGCACCACCGACACAGTACTCCTCAACAAACTCCATGTTAGTGTTCTCTTAACCTAAAGTGTCTGCTCTGTAACTTTCCTTATCTTATGAAAACAGAGTATTTCATTGAAGCCAAAATTCTTGTTTTGCTTCAAAATATTTATGTTGCATTGAAAGTTTAATCCCAAAGACACTTGGACCTGTTCCAAGTCTCAGAAGGGTTCAAACAAGGTCCAGTTGCTTTTGGATCAAACTTTGAGTCACTATAACCTACAGGAGATGACCTAGAACTTACAAATCATTATTCATTTGGCATTACTCTTTCCAGATGCAGCAATTTCCTACCAATATCTGTCCCCTGCTTTGTGTTTTAGCATGCTGCGGACCTTGAGAAGAAGCAGAATGAGTCTGAAAACCGCAAGTTGCTGGGAACAGTCATCCAGTATGGAAATGTCATCCAGGTCTGTTCAGTGGAATTTAAGCATTTGGTTGATAGCAGTGCATCGCCGTGTCAGACACAATGTGCTCAGTTTTTAAAAAGTTTTATCAGAGAAGAGTTTTGAATAATTACTGCATCAAAAGGCCCTGTGTTTCACTGTTTGATCTCACTTTGCTCGTCATCCAAGAACGGTTTACACAGCGGTGTGAGATAATGTTTTACAAGAAATGGCTGGACATTCCTGCTCTATAGCATTTACAAAAAGACTGTCCAAGTACTGGATAGTTTTCTAGTTGCAACAAAATTTCAGGAAGGAACAACTCTAGGGACTGGTTTGTCAGAAAATAGTAAGAATTGCTTTAATGTCATGTCATCGACTGCACAGCCATGCTCTACTATAACTCATTACAGCCTCAAGGTCAAATATTGTAACATGTTTCCGGATGAGGCTGCTGCACAGTTAGTTTTTCCAGTTATGGTTTTATCTCGTGTGAGTCGTCCTGTAAAGTTGATTATTTTTGGTCATTAGTGGGCCATTTTATTTTGGGTCATGAGAATCTATGAAGGTTAAGAGGTTGCGAGGACGTAAATAGTTTATGAGGAATAAGGACATCAGCGTTACATATTTCAGTGAACTGTTCCCATGAGTCATGATGTGCCAGACTGTGACATATTTCCATCTTTGTAGCATTTCTGTCATTCTGCCTGGGTTATGCTGTTGGGAGTATATCTATGTATATATATATATCTATTTATCACTGATTTTTGTTTTGCCAACAGTTGCTGCACTTAAAAAGCAATAAATACCTGACAGTGAACAAGCGCCTACCTGCACTGTTGGAGAAAAACGCCATGAGAGTGACGCTGGACTCAGCTGGGAATGAAGGATCCTGGTTCTACATCCAGCCTTTCTACAAGCTCCGCTCCCTGGGAGACAGTGTGGGTAGAGCGGGGTGTGGGATTATGATTAAGCTCAGTGGGAAATCAAGGATGTCATTTTGGACTTTTTTTCAGCATTTGGATTGGAAAGTCACTTTAAGTAGCTATATCAGAGATATGGACATGACATGATTAGTCCAGTATGAATCCCTGCTCCAGGCTACCCTTAACAAAGCTAATTTTATTCAGTAGTTAGTTATTTTGCTAGTTTGATGAGATACTAGGGCTGGGGGATATGACCTCAATTCAATATCATGATATATTGAGCAGTTCACCTTAACGATAAATGAACGATAACTACTCCACAAGCTGCTCAGCCTTTCTCACATTAACTTCGTCCACTTTCCCTCTTTGTTATGGACTGGATGGTGTGGAGTCATGTCTTCGACGTAGGACAGCGTCTTAAAGGGACATGAGACCATAGCCTAACTACACACATCAAAAAACAACTTTTATTGATTCATTTATTTGACACCGAATATACCGATTTGGGCAAAATGACGTTGGTTATTGTCGTAAATTTCAGTATCAGTAAATATTTGGTTTATCGCCCAGCCCTATAAGATACCGTTTATTCTCAGTAACAGCTGACATTCAGCAGTTTTGTCAGGATGAAAGTGAAGTATATTTCAGACGCTTAACTTTGAGTGGAATTTTAATACCTGCCCACAGAGTCAAACTCAGGTAGAATATGTAGGAATCACTCCAAACAGTGCTTGATATCCAAACCTGCATTACAGTTACAAAGAGCCCACACAAATAGTTCAGCATCATCTCTCTTTACTTCCAGATTACTGAATGTATTGCGGAGATCATGTGGCACACAGAGGGTCCAGTGATGAAGACCCTGACTGTGAAAAACTTGCTTACTGGTTCTGTTGTTGCAGTTGCAGCTACTCAAATATCAGCGAAGGGGTATTTGGCAAGAGCAAAACTAATCTCCGACCAATCCATTAGCTGCTTAGCTGCTCTGTGGGAAATTGAATCAACGGATTTTGATGAGTAAGACACCTCTGGTCCTGCTCCGTTGATCGCAGTACTAAAATTAAAATCTCTTCACTATGAGTGCTTTAAGACGTAAGTACTGGATTAGTGGTGGTGCCAGTTGAGATGCAGGAAACAGTCCCAAAAGACTGTATGATCTGAAGTACAGAAAACGTGCCAGGATTTATGTGCTAACTCCAATTGTTTGTTTCTTTTTCAACTACAATGGAAAGAAATGCTTTTTAAAAATGAGAAGTTTCCATCTGAGGTCCAAATACATGCTGTTTATGTGGTAGAATTACTACAGGATGTACTTACTGTTGTCATACTCAACTTGAGGGTCAACTGGGTAGGTCTTTTGGCAGGTTAGTGGTGTTAGTGATGGTCTGGGTCAGAGCTCACAAAGTCATTCTGGTCCAGTTTTCATGCACAGAATATGGTCCTCAACTCCCTCTAGTGCTCAAATCAGGACTAGCATTATTCAGTGTTGGCACATCAGTCACACCTCTGTGTTCTGTTCACCTTGTGAAGAGAGGAAATGACAGTGCTGAAGAATGATGGCTCATATCATGGGACTTGACATACTTGCAGTTTGACGTTTAATTGGAGCTCTCCATCCCTCACAGTGGTGTCTTTGTAGGACATGTTCTGTCATGGGTACTGAGTCTGAACAGGATTACCACAGCCTTGTTCCTTTTCTTGAATTCTGACAAACTTTAGTGTCCATTTCAAAGCAGTTTGTTTTTAATGTGTTTTTGTTTTGGACCTGCAGGTGGTGATTGGTGACAAAGTGGTCCTTAACCCTGTGAATGCTGGACAGCCTCTGCATGCCAGCAGCCACCAGCTAGTTGACAACCCAGGGTGCAATGAGGTGACCTTACCAGGCCTTACTGCATGGTTGTTTTCTGCTGTCCATTAATCTGGGGTCTAAAAAGGATAATTCCAGCATAAAATTAAGTTAGGGTCAAACAAACCTTAACACCGAGTTAGACACCCCGTAGAGAGATGAATGTTGCCGACTGTTTGCTTCTCTAGTTATATCAACTTTGGTAACGACCATACGAGAGCAATACACAACGGTCCCAGGAGCCACACGCTCTACCAAAAAGCCACTCTATAGCCACAAATAATGCTCAGAACAGCACCTACATATAGGGTCCCAGTCATAGTATTAGTCATCAAACATTTTTTTAGCTTTGTCTGATTCCTTTGGCAAAGAGACCAAACACTACTCACCCACTCTCTTCCGGCAGCTGCTTGTTTGTATGGAGACTTTGGACGAGTCCATCACTGCAGCGGGGTGACGCAGCTCAAGGAAGAACATTTATGACTATTTCTTCATGGAAATGCAAACAGACCGAGACGCTTAGGCAGAGCAAAATGATTAATATGATGATTATTACTTCAAGTAAATGATAAAGTAAGGGGTGTCTAACTTGGTGTTACGGTGTATTTGACCCTAACTTAATTTTACGCCGGAATATTCCTTTAACTCTGCAGGATATAATGATTTAAAAATCCTTAGATGCAATGACATGCATGTCTTTGGATTTGTCTGATTGTTCACATGATTCCCTGCTGGACCTTTCAGGTGAATTCTGTCAACTGCAACACGAGCTGGAAAGTTGTTCTCTTTATGAAATGGAGTGACAACAAGGAGACGATACTCAAAGGGGTACGTACATCTTTTTACGACATTGTGAAACACACCTTCATTACTCCACTTTAAAACACAGATGTAGAATTAGATTATATTAAACCTGATAAGGACTTAGAAGTTGAAAACAGAAAGTTTAAATGAAATTGACTTTATGAGAATTTAAAGTGCCAGTGAAAAACAAAACATCTGTGTGGGGTTGCTTTAACAAATAACACTTCTCACTTGTGTATATGTGTTTGTGTATGTGTGAACATATTTGCAGGGTGATGTCGTCCGGCTGTTTCACGCAGAGCAAGAGAAGTTTCTCACATGTGACGACCACAGAAAGAAACAGTATGTTTTTTTAAGAACAACAGGCCGCCAGTCTGCCACCTCTGCAACTAGCAGCAAAGCACTGTGGGAAGTAGAGGTCAGAAAAACTAGTTCATGTGGTTTCTGCTGTTGCGCATGCCATTTAGTTGATTAAAGGATGGTGTCTCAAATATGCAACTGTCTTCATGCCTTTTGTAACTGCCAGGTGGTCCATCATGATCCATGTAGGGGAGGTGCAGGCTACTGGAACAGCCTTTTCAGGTTTAAGCACCTGGCCACAGGGTGTTACCTTGCTGCTGAGATGGGTGAGGTGGGTGTCAACTCCCTTTTTGAAGTTTTACGACTGAAGAAAAACACTTTACATATAGAATATGTCTGAAAAGTTGCTATAAGTGCTGATCAACAAAAAACACTGGCACTATATCCACAATAAAGTTGAATAAAGTTGACACGCAGATGTTTTTTTCTCAGGTTAATCAAGATTTAGAGGAGGAGAGTGCTGAGCAGCGGTCCTCGGTAAGACCTGATTTCTTATCCTGTTGAGTGCTCTGTCTCTTCACGCTTTGAGGCTCCACTGCTTTTGATCTAATCGGTTCAATCGTGTGCTTGATCTTTGGTGACTCCTCTAGGTGGTGGACTTTACGCCCTTTAATTTTCAGGTACTGTTCTGCAAACTTAATTTTCCAACATAATGCAAAAATCATAGTCATGTCTTCACATTACCATCCAAATGCCTCGACTTATTTGTTGTCAGATTCATCTATAGCTCTTGTGATGTTGGTTGTGTATGAACTTTTTTTTTTCTCACAACTTTATTGAAAATTAAAATAACAATAAATCAGCATTTCCAGTTCACGTTTCATACACAATAGAAATGCAGCAAAGCCATGTATATGACAACGTTTAGCAATAATTAAGCAAAAGAGAAAAAAAAAACATATTAATAAAAATGGAAATAAATTAGGCTACAGACCCTTTTTTCCCATGAAGTAAATAGTAAATTTATAGTTATTGTGACAAATGATTAAATGAACATTTCTGAATACAAGTTCATTATGGATATGCATGTTTTATTTGTAATCGACTCAATAGACTTAAAGCAATAATCAACTTGAATAAAAAAATTTATTTCACAGTGAAAGTAACCAGTAGGTGGCAGTGTTTTACAAATAGAGAGACTAACTTGGATGTTGTGTGCACCTGCAGGGGCAAACGATTTTCGAACAGGGTGCAGATTTCTGTAGTGATGACAGGTGGTTTAACTGTCTGATCTGTAGTCTGATCTGAAGTTAAAACCGTTATGTGAAATTAGCATCAACTGTCAAGGTGATGGTCAATGTGAAAAAAACATACAAATCCCTTTGCTTGATGTTGCTTGAGAATCAGTGGCACACATGCTGGTCTTTTTATTGTGTAAACTTTGATGTGAATCTTACAAAGTGTTTTTCTCCCTCCCGCTGCATCGGTTTTCACTCCAGCTTGATGCAGATAATGAAGCTTTACGAGGTCGTCTGCGAGCGCCCCAGGAGAAGATCATGTACACTCTGGTGCCAGTCCCTGATGGCATGGATATTTCTTCTATCTTTGAGCTGGATCCTACCACTCTCAGAGGAGGTGACTCCATGGTGCCCAGGTACAAGACTCATTTATTTATTTAACCTTTGTTTTACCAGGAAATATCCCATTGAGATTAAGAACTTCTGTTTTCAAGGGAGTCCTGGCCAAGAGGCAGCAAACACAAAACACAGTTACATATTTACATAAATAATCAATCAATCAGTCTTATATATATATATATAGCACTTTTCATACACAACCATGTTGCACAAATGCTATACACAGCAAAGGAAAAGGAAAGAAAGAGAAAAAAAGAACAAAGAATACCTGGATCTACCCCAACCCAGTCCCTCATTCCCACCCCACAATCTAAACGCTACAGAAACATGTATTAAAATGCATTAACTTGAAAAGGGCTCGATTTCATGGAAACAGGAGTATGCGCACTGAGGAAATGCCGTTTTAAAATTCAAGATAAGGAAACACTGGAGGTTAGGTTAAAATCTAAAAACAAAGTAACATTAAATGAAATTAAAAAATAAATAAATAAAATGAAATAAAACAACAGTAAAAGATAGTAAAATAAGAGCACCGAAATAGCTCAATAAAAGACGATCCTGTCATTAAAACTAGAGGAGATAAACGCTTAAACACTTAAACAAAGTTAATGATATAAAATTTTGTTAAATCAAGACTAAAAAGGTAGGTTTTGAGTTTGTTTTTAAAATCATTAAGATTAGAAATAAGACACAGAACTCAAACACATTATGAGGAACAAGTGCGTATTGTGGAATTGGCTTCAATAAATCTCAGTTTGGATTTAAAAGTGCTTAAAGAAATTAAGTCTCTTAGTTTTCAGCCTTTCTGAAGCATATTCCACGTATAAGGAGCAGTAAACAAATCTCCATCTCCATACGAGCATAAGGGACAAAAAGCAACAATTGATCCTGTGAATGAAGAGAATAAGATTCAGAATTTCTCTGAGTAATTAAGGTACAGTATTACCTTATAAATGAAAGTAAACTAATTAAAGATAGTTTTAATAAAAAAAAAAAACAGTGTATCCACTCACCGACCTTATAGTTTTCTTTTCCGGTCAGCTGAAGGACAAAACTACCAACAATAATATCCACGAACAACAATCCGAACTGCTTCCTTCAACTCTAGGGTAAATAAACAATCAAATCATAGATAGTGACATTAACTATGATCTGACTCTAGTTTGAGTTAAAGAGATCCTGCGGTTTAAGGGTTCCTTTAGTGTCTGCAAATATGGAGAAGGACTTTTCTTTTATTGGACTCTACAAACTAACTGTACAGCAGTTTTTAAAAACTGATGTGTTACTAGACGTTAAGGTCAAGGTAAGATTAACAGGCAGGTAAGGTGAAGATTAGGGTGAGAGTAAAGCTTGGGATTTTGCAAGTCATGGTTGTGGTTAGAGAGGGAAACACCCATAGAGGACTCTGTTGATCATGTTTCGTTTCTGTTGTGTGTGCTGTGATTGTGCCTGTGCATCAGCGTGAACCTTCATGGACTGGTCACCTTTGTGTGGTATTATAATAGCAGCAGGTGAAGTTCCAGCAACGCACCAAATTTTATACTTTGAAATTAATCAAGTGGAAGTAGAGACAAAATAAGTTGTGGTTTGTAAAAAATATTGACATTTAATCCACTTTGAAAACCACCTAAAAAAAACAATGTCATGACAGGTCAGCTGATCTATGAGGTTTTATTTACAGATCTTCAATCCAAGCACGTATGGGTGCGGTTTATTTCAATACTTGTCAGACCGTGTTGGGTGAGAGGATATACTTCTAAAATTACAAAAGTACATCTGTTCCTGTCAACCGCACATGAGATTAAAACAGGCTCTTCACGTTTTTAGAGCCTCCATTGTGTCCCATCGTCAGGTGTGTGTCTGCATGCTGCGGGCTACCACTGCAAACTCCTCCCATTGCTACCTGAAATAACCCCGTCCCTCTTAACTGTAGCCAGGGGACTAATTATTAATGCCCAAGAGAACCGGTACACAAAGGTAAGCCTGTTAGCTTCAGCAGGCCTTTACGTAACACCTGCCAAGAATACATCCACCGTCTCCTGTCTGTGTGTGAAGGGTCTGACAAGCAGCACACACCTCCTGTTGCACACGTGAAGAGGGAGCGAAAGTGTAGTTGGCTCAGACTTACCATGTGCAAAGGTTTAGTGCTTGATGAAGGAGAGATAATACTGTACAGGTGTCTGCTGGCCAGCATGTAATGCCATACAGTGACTGAGGAAGTTATTGTATACTATCTTCTCTACCATGTGGTTTTATTTACATATATTTGTCACTTCTCCCTTTTGTTCTCTCCAGTGCAGTTTGTATTTACCCATTGAGTCATTGTATGCACATGATTTTCCTTTTATGTTGTAGGCATGGATTTTATAAATGTGTTATCAACATTTATGAGGTCTTCATGGAAACGTAGCATTGGACTGCTACTACTAATACTGCTACTACTACTATTCTGCTCCCTGTTAGAATGCAAATGTTTTTTGGATAAAGAGTCACCACACTGTTTTGCTTAAACAAATAGACATCTTCATGTCACTGGCAAATCCAGAAACTCTTCAAGGATCGCTCCGAAGGGTACCTGTGTAATATGAAATGAAAAAAGTCAGTCAGGGAAATGTGGTCTGTATTTTTTCTTTTTTTTTTTTCAGAAAGTACAACTTTAACAGAGGGGCGGCACAGTGGTGTACTAGTTAGCACTGTCGCCTCACAGCAAGAAGGTCCTGGGTTTGAATCCGGGTCAGGGTGTTTCTGTGTGGAGTTTGCATGTTCTACCTGTGTCTCCGTGGGTTTACCCCGGGTACTCCAGTTTCCTCCCACATTCCCAAAACACGCAAAAGTGGGGCTAGGTTAATTGGTCACTTTCAAATTGCCTGTAGGTGTGAATGTGAGTGTGGATGGTTGTTCATCTCTACTTGTCAGTCGCCCCTGCCTTAGCCCAAAGATGCTGGGATAGGCTCCAGCCCCCACGCGACGCCCAATGGGAATAAGCGGAAGAAAATGGACGGATGGACAACTTTAACAGTGTTGTATAAAGTACTAAACAAATGTACTTGAGTTGAAGTATAGTTACCTTACCAGAAAATGACTCAAGTAGAAAGAATGTGATATACTTTAAGACTTTGACTTGAGTAGAATTCTCATGGGAGACTTTCACTTTGACTTAAGTATCAAAAGTACTCAAGTAAATGTACTCCAAGTGAAAGTAAAAAGTCAAAGCCAAAGTACAAATTAATATATTTTCGTTATTTGCAAAAGCTACTTAAGCCCAAATAAGCACACATTTCAGGTGGTTGCAAGCAACAGCTTAGAAAAATAAATGGGATGGACAGACGGAGGGAGGGACCCCTGATTACAGCACTGATCAGGAGAAACAATAGTGTATCCTCCAACAGTCAAAGAACTTAGGACAGAAGTTGGGCACCATGAGAACCATCAAAACAGCCACTGGACATTTAGGTGGGTGCAAGCAACTGTGCAACCTATAAGCAGCTGCAGAAATGCCCGGGCTTGAGTGACTGATTGACGATGATCAAACGCAATGCAAATCAAGATTAGGTAAAGGGGAAAAAAAAAGGGTTTTCCACCTACCGGTTTTAATAGTAATCGAGTAAAAATAGTAATAGTGAAGATGCTCCTGTGAAATGTAGTGGAGTAAAAGTATACTTTAATTTTTAGAAATGTAGCAAAGTAAAACTAAAGGTAAAAATCGCGACCACAAAAAAACCAAAAAAAAACAAAAACAGTAAAGTGTAAATACTTCAAAATTTTACTGTGCTATACTATACAACACTGAACTTCAAACCTTCAATAGAGGCAGCATTTTAGTTTGATAGATGGTTAAATAAGCGGCTTCCATCAGAGATCAAACATGTGTCTTGATATCTGTCAAAACTTCAGAGCACAATAACACCTTGCTGCGATTTAATTGAAAATCTGTCTTATAGAAAACTGTTCTTCACTTCTAGGAGCTCCTATGTGAGGCTAAGACATCTGTGCACCAACACGTGGGTCCACAGCACCAACAACCCCATCGATAAAGAGGAGGAGAAACCTGTCATGTTACGGGTGAGCAGCTGATGGCCGGGTCTGAAAGTATAACACTGTTGGTGTTTGCTGAATACATGAACTAAAGACAAAACTTATTTTTCAGATTGGGACCTCAGGAGTAAAAGAAGATAAGGAAGCTTTTGCCATCGTACCTGTGCCGCCAGCAGAAGTGCGGGATTTAGATTTTGCCAATGATGCAAGTAAAGTGTTGGCGTCTATCGCTGGCAAACTGGAAAAGGGAACCATTACACAAAATGAAAGACGGTATGTAGGAAAATATAACTATGAGACTTTAAATGCTATGTTATGAGTTAAAGATGTTGTATCATAACTGTGTGATTTTCTCTGATGAAGTTAAACAAAATACAGTTGAGGAGGAGCTGAAACAAATGGTTAATGCACTGTGTATACACAGTGCTCTCCGTAGTCCTGCTTCCACTCAATTTCACATCGCTTGTCACAATAATCCATTCACAACACATTCAGACACAGATGGCAGAATCTGCTCACCAGTAGTAGCACACCACTAAACTTGCCTAAGGTCATTTTGGCATGTGGGCGAGAGATCATACCCGTGATCTTCATAAAGGCAGATAAGCATTAAAATACTATGCAAAACATTCAAAACATACTGCACCACAAGACGGGACATAAAAAAAATTGTACAGACAACCTCAGAAGAGTTACACAACAGTGAACAAGTGGGTCTGAACCAAACATCGAATCCAATCCATATTTTTTGTATAACATGATTTAAGCAAAGTCAAGGTTTCCAAAGTGCTGCACAGCAAGATAAAAATACAATAATTAACACAGTGAAAGCACAATAGATAAGGTAAAAATAAAATGAGGTAAAAACACAGTCAAATAAAACAAATACAATAAATAAAATAAATGCTGTCAACTTCCTACTGGGTGTTAAAAGCCAAGGAGAAGAGGTGTGTCTTAAGACGGGTTTTAAAAACGGGCAAAGAGGAGGCCTGTCTGATGTGCAGAGGCAGGTTGTTCTAAAGTTTGCGAGCTGCGACAGCAAAGGCACAATCCCCTCTGAGCTTCCGCTTTGTTTTAGGCTGATCAGCTGCTCCTGAGAGACCGGGAAGGAGTATAAAAGTGTAGAAGCTCAGAGAGGTACGACAGGGCGAGACCATTGAGGGATTTAAAAGCAAATAAAAGAAATTTAAAGTGAACCCTAAAATGTATGGGCAGCCAGTGGAGTGACGCTGAAATGGGGGTAATGTGCTCGTGTTTTCTAGTGCCAGTTAAAAGATGTGCTGTAGCGTTCTGCACCATCTGGAGCTGAGAGATGACCGACACACTGACCCCCACAGATGATGCATTGCAGTAATCCAACCAAACATGCCTGTTTGCTATCAAGAGGCAGGCTGACAGTCACATACACTCAAGGTTCACCATGTCAGTTAAGAAAAAGGATACACTGCTGTTCACTATGGTGTGCAACCTTAGGATTAGCTTAGGTCTGAACAAGCGGTCGATGAGGAGAGGCTAGCACAGAAGTAACGGCCTCATATTTATGTGATTGTGTCAAAATGTGAACCGACTGCAGGCCTCGCTCACTTTTCTTTCGATGACTGATTTGCATGTCTTTCCAGGTTTGTGACTAAGCTCCTAGAAGACCTAGTTTTCTTTGTAGTGGACATCCCCAACAGTGGGCAGGATGTGCTCGAGATCATGGTGAACAAACCGAACAGGGAAAGGCAGAAACTCATGAGGGAGCAGAACATCCTGAAGCAGGTCGGTCCAAAACCTCAGTGACTGTTGCTGCACCGATAAGTTGTTTCTGAATAAGCACTTTTTTAAAGGTTTTAAATTCTATTACAGATTTTCAAACTTCTCCAAGCCCCTTTCACAGACAGCGGTGATGGTCCCATGCTGCGACTAGAGGAGCTTGGAGACCAGCGCCATGCCCCTTTTAGACATATTTGCAGGCTTTGCTATAGAGTGTTACGCCATTCCCAGCAGGACTACAGGAAGAACCAGGTAGGTGGACAGGACGACTTCACTCTGACCCCTGACCTTACAGCATTATTTTTCTGTAATTGTATCCTTATTCCTTGTTTTTGCAGGAATACATAGCCAAACAGTTCCGCTTCATGCAAAAGCAGATAGGGTACGATGTGCTGGCCGAAGACACAATAACAGCACTGCTCCACAACAACCGGAAGTTGTTGGAGAAACACATCACCGCTGCAGAGATAGACACATTTGTCACGCTCGTGAGAAAGAACCGGGAGCCGAGGTGAGGCTTACAGGAAAAGGACAGGCCCAGACCGGTTTATCAGATTGGCAAAGACTTGGCAGCTCTGGCATGATGTATTCATAGCTTCTCAGAAATGTAAACCTATTCAGACGTAAGCAGAAGAGCTGTGGCGAAACGAGTCCGCAAATTACCTGCAGTGCCAAGGATATGTGCTTGAGGCCTGTCAAACTGTGATAAGTTTCAATGTTTTGCATTTGTACTTAGATTCTTGGACTACCTCTCGGATCTTTGTGTGTCCATGCAAAAGTCCATCCCTGTGACACAGGAGCTTATCTGCAATGCAGTCCTGGACCCCACCAATGCCGACATCCTTATTGAAACCAAGTGAGCTTGTCAAACAATGAGATTATTCCCGTAACCTGCACTGAGCACCTTGAAAACATATTTATGTTCTTCACCAGACTGGTCCTGTCGAGGTTTGAGATTGAGACGACAGCAAATGGAGAGAGTCCGATGGAGGCGGAGGATGAGGAGGAGGTCTGGCTGTTCTGGAAGGACAACTGTAAGGACGTTCGGAGTAAGAGTGTCCGGGAGTTGGCCCAGGATGCAAAGGAAGGCCAGAAGGATGACCAGGAGGTGGTTAGCTACTACAGGTACAGTAACTTTTATTACACTGTTATAACAACACAAACACTATTGAGATCACAGTTAGGGTGACCAAACTTCCTCTTTTACCCGGATACAACCTCATTTTTGGGGGCTGTCCGGGGAAGTTTACAAAATCCTTCAAACGTCTGCAGTTTTGTATGTAAGTTTCGATTTTATGTTATGTGGACTCACTGAGTTAGAAGTGCGTAAAAGACACTCAATTTGACCCGAAAAACTCTTAAAATTAACTTTGTGGGACCCCCACATAGTCGTGTCCTCTTTTTGGGAAGTCAGAATATGGTCACCCTAATCATAATGTCATAGATCAGCAGTATTCATATTCCTGCCTCAAATCATATTATGTTACATTATATTATATTAATTATATAAGAGGATTTTTTTCCTGCCTTAAAACTGCAGGATTAAGATTTGACTCTAAAATTATTCTTTTCCTCACAGGTGTCAGCTGAACCTCTTTGCAAGGATGTGTCTGGACCGACAGTATTTAGCCATCAACAAGATCTCTGGTCAGCTGGATGTGGATTTGATCCTACGTTGTATGTCAGATGAAGACCTGCCCTTTGACCTGCGGGCGTCTTTCTGCCGTCTGATGCTGCACATGCATGTAGACCGGGATCCTCAGGAGCAGGTCACGCCTGTCAAATACGCCCGTCTTTGGTCTGAGATCCCTTCAAAGATCTCAATCGATGAGTGAGTTCTTCTTGAGAAGACTTTGAGCGACCAGTGGAAAGATAACACAGCAGCTCCCTTATGTATGATGTTTCTTTCTCCTTAACCAGCTATGACAACGATGGAACCACCAGAGATGAGATTAAAGAGCGGTTCTGCCTCACAATGGATTTTGTGGAGAACTACCTGAGAGAGGTGGTGTCGCAAAACATTCCATTTTCTGACAAGGAGAAAAACAAGCTTACCTTTGAGGTAAACATACTCGATCTGTGGTGATAACCATGCAGAGCTAAGATTTGCTGTAATACATCTAAAAGAAGGGTTCTCATGTTTCTATCTGTAGGTGGTGAACCTGGCGAGGAACCTCATTTACTTTGGTTTCTACAACTTCAGTGACCTGCTTCGACTGACAAAGATCTTACTGAACATTTTAGACTGCGTCCATGTCAGCACCATTTACCCCATCAACAAGATTGAAAAGGGAGAGGAAAGCAAAGGTAAGCAATGAGACACTCTGGATGAATTAACTCCACATCAGTGCGGAATCATTTATTGGGAAATACTGATTCTTTTAAATACCAGTCAAAGTCATAGGGCTGATACATACAGGATCTGTATTGAGTGCGTAACGTCAGCGTTGCGTATCACGTAGCAAATAGGTTGCCATTCTAACCAATGCAGCATTGCATACAGGGCGTGTATCAGCTCAGCCGCAGCTCCGTATCAGAAGCGTATCGAGCGCAGCGCTACTAAAGATCCGCGACGAGTCTATTTTTGCTGCTCTACGCTTCCAATATGCATCAATCGAAACAGAGAAGATCATTTTAGACTGGATGTCAAACACACAAACCGAGCATGCCATCCGGTATTTCAAAATAAAACACCATATGCGGACTCCCAACTGTGTATCAGCTCGTGTAGATGAGAAATACTTCCTGGTTATGGATTTATCAGTAACACAGAACAATCCAATGGTCAGTCCCTGATCCATGTGGACCCCAACAGGACTTTTAACTGCTAACTCTGTCTGAAGGTAACAGCACAGCATAAAGGAACATAGTTTACTTTATGAAACACGAGTAAACCTGCAAAAACCGAAACTGTAAAATCACGTTGCTTTGTTTTACATATAGTAGAGGCTCAACGGTCACTGAATTATATCAAACTTTGCAGGAAATAAACCACAGAGAGGTAAAACAATCTGTTGTGAGCATGTTGTTTCCTCTAGTCTATACTGAGCCCAGCTGACCGGGGCTGCACTACACTCCTGCCATGCTCCAAAAATACCCAGGGCTGCTCTATAGAGCAAATACGGAACACGCTCAATACGGATCCTGTATGTTTTCGGCTTTAGTTATTTCACTGTAGCCTCTGAAGTCCAAAGAAAATCAACTAATTCTTATCATACGATCTTCTGAATGATCACTGTTTTGACTTTCCAACATGAACTAAAGCAGGCAGTAACGTCATGAAGTCCATTCATGGAGTCGGGGAGTTGATGACCCAGGTAGTGTTGCGAGGGGGGGGATTGTTGCCCACCACACCAACTCATCAGCCAGAGGGGGATGTGGTCAAAACACAGATTGAGCCAGAGAGAGAGGACATCATGGTCATGGACACCAAGCTGAAGGTCATAGAGATTCTTCAGGTGAGCCATCAGGACACTGGCGTCATCGCTGTTGCAGTGTTGTCATTCTTGTTAATCCCTCAGCTGATTTTCTCTTCCTGTAGTTCATTTTGAATGTACGGCTGGACTACAGGATCTCCTGTCTGCTTTGCATTTTCAAACGTGAGTTTGATGAGAACAACCCACAAGGCGACATCACGGCCAGCCAGAATGGAGCTAATAATGTCTCGGGTCAGATGCCAGGTACGACCAACCATTGTTTTACTTTTTTACCGAGAGCACATTTTATTACATGAGCTTGTTTCAGACCATCTGTAAGTTTTTCTGGAGGAGCATACATACAATTTCTTTAAAGTGCTGACTTGAACTTTTCAAATCTTTAGGAAATCTTGACTTTGAGAACATTGAAGAACAGGCAGAGGGGATTTTTGGAGGAAGGTAATCCATGGCTAGCTGGCCTTTCGGAAACTCTTTCCAAGCAGGATAGACTGATGTGAATTTAATGTATTTTCTCTTCCATTGAATTTTAGTGAAGAAAACACTCCACTAGACCTGGATGACCATGGTGGTCGGACCTTCCTAAGAGTCCTGCTGCACCTGACCATGCATGATTACCCCCCTCTGGTGTCTGGAGCACTCCACCTGCTCTTCAGACACTTCAGCCAGAGGCAGGAGGTTCTCATGGCCTTCAAACAAGTAGGCAGCCACGCTTTCAACTTTGCAAATAACTAAGAAAGAGCTTACTGCAGTGAAGAAAGCAATGTTTAAAATTAAATATATGCTCTTTGTCAAACATTAGGTCCAGTTACTGGTGACCAGTCAGGACGTGGATAACTACAAGCAGATCAAGTCAGATCTGGACCAGCTGCGCTCTATTGTTGAGAAATCTGAACTTTGGGTTTATAAGAGGCAGGGAGAAGATGGGATGGATGGAGACGGACCATCAGAGTCTGACAGCAAAAAGAAGGTACATTGAAACAGACTTTTGCTCAACTTTTTAAACTTGATTTCCAAGAGACCATATAAAAATTGTTCAAAGACATATTTGCGTTTTTTGCTGCTTATTTGAAGGGAGACTCACATGGTTCAGATAAGGACAAAACAGAAAGCACCAGCAGTTACAACTACAGAGTAGTAAAAGAGGTAAGATCTTCTCGATCCTTATTTTCACATTTGTGTTTAAATGTTGATGATGCGTTTATCGAAGTACCATCTCTGCTGTGTGTGTGTGCATGTGTTTAGATCCTGATCCGTCTCAGTAAGCTGTGTGTTCAGGAGGGAAGCTCAGGGAAGAAGAGTAGAAAACAGCAGCAGAGGCTGCTGAGGAACATGGGAGCGCACAGTGTAGTGCTAGAGCTCCTCCAGATACCCTATGAGAAGGTATGGCTCTTTATGCAGACAGACGATGATACAGAAAAGCTTTTACAGAACTCGAGTTCACTATGAATTCAAAGTAGAGAGAGTCTAACTGTGCTTCATTTCAATCAGGGGGAGGATGTCCGGATGCAGGAGATCATGAAACTGGCCCATGAGTTCCTGCAGAATTTCTGCGCAGGGAATCAACAGAACCAGGCCCTCCTCCATAAGCACATCAATTTATTTCTAAACCCAGGGGTGAGTAGTGCTTGAACGTCTCATGTACACCTAAAACCTGATTCCCTCAGCTGATACAGGGCTCTATCAAAAACCGTTTCTTTTAGCATTGAAAATCATCAGGTTTTATAATATGGCGTGTTTGTTCGTTCCTTATCCAACCCCCTCAGATCCTGGAGGCAGTCACTATGCAGCACATCTTCATGAACAACTTTCAGCTGTGCAGTGAGATCAATGAACGCGTGGTTCAACACTTTGTCCACTGCACTGAGAGCCACGGTCGTCATGTCCAGTACCTGAAGTTCCTACAGACTATCGTGAAAGCGGAAAACAAGTTCATCAAAAAGTGTCAAGACATCGTCATGGCTGAGGTTGGTTCTGGCTTTGATATCACCTACAACAAGAGGAGGGTCATGAAAAGAAGCAGTGGGGGGTAAAATCTTGTGATAGAACCGATCATGTAAGAGTTGAAGTGTAAACAATACTGACTGACAGATAGACTGTATTAAACAAGACTGCTCCCTCTGTTGGGACTCTTCTTCTTCACTCAGCTTGTGAACTCTGGTGAGGATGTCCTGGTCTTCTACAACGATCGCGCCTCATTCCAGACCCTAGTTCAGATGATGCGTTCAGAGCGAGACCGTATGGATGAAAACAGTCCTCTCATGTACCACATCCATCTGGTGGAGCTGCTGGCTGTGTGCACAGAGGGCAAAAACGTATACACGGAGATTAAGTGTAACTCTCTGCTGCCTCTGGATGATATTGTTCGTGTTGTTACACACGAAGACTGCATCCCTGAGGTAAGGATCATCAATTCTGTTGACAACTTGACAATTGTATTTAAACTTACATCTTCTTGAGTTTTTTATGATTTTTAAAGAGGGGGCGCATGTGACCCCGAGGAACATGTGTTGAGCCTACCTGGTTATACTGATTCACCTGGTTAGCTTTTGGTGCAGTCAGAGCGCAGCTGGTCAAGTGGTAACAAGGTAGACCAGCGAAGCAGTGCGCAAACGTCACTGATGCCTCACAGGCAGCTTTCCACAGTGTCAGGCACATTTCAGTGCAATAAACAGGTAATCAACAACAAGCACTATTCAGTGGAACTATCTGAGTCAGCACATGCATTTGGATCTATGTTGATATATTCGGGTGTATCTTATCTGATGAGCGCGTTTGGCACGTGTATGGACACTCAACCTGAGCGAATGAACACAGCTGAAACTGCACTAAATTAAATGTCCAATAAATAGTCACACATGATGAAATGAACAAGTTATTTAATCTCTCTTCTTCCTCGCGCCCGGACACGGACACGTCTCTGAATCCTCTTCCCATCCTGCTGCTGCCAAGAGGATTTATTTCAGTGATCAAATTAGTAATTTATTTCAAAGATTTGAGAAAATCAGTTAAAGACACTTTCATTCAAATAACCAGTTTATGTAATGTTTGCTCAGCCTTAAATTCTGTGAATAGTCAATCTGGAGTAAGGCCTACATATGAATATGAAATAAGGATTTAAATTGTTTTTATAGACTTTTGTTAGTCTTGTTCGTCCAAAGTTATTCTTTGTTGTAAGTTGATCTACATTTCTTTCATTTTTCTTTTTTGTATCCTTTAATGTTAATAAGGATACAATGTTATGCAGAGGTGTACTTATAATAATACCATTTATAGTGTGTTTGTGTGTGTGTGTGTGTGTGTGTGTGTGTGTGTGTGTGTGTGTGTGTGTGTGTGTGTGTGTGTGTGTTCTGCGTAACAGAAAAATATTGACAAGCACTGCTCCAATCTGACAGAATAGACAGAAAAGCCATTTCGTTCACTCGCTATCCTCCGGTGCAAATACTCTCACTTGTGTTTGCAGCTCCGTACATTTTCCTCTCGATTTGCACCCGATGGTGGAGACGAGACTTGAGTCCTCTCTTGCTGTGCCTAGCTGTCCTTTGTGCTCTAATTCAGACAGACTGGCTCAGATGGATGGAGAGCTGAATGGAGAGGGGGATACTCTTACCTCTCAGTGTATTGTAAAGTCGATTTACAACAGATGTGAGATTAATTTCACTGTTTACGTAATGCTCCTTCCCCAGAGTGAGCAAGCAAGGGCAGCTTTTCAAGATAAAACCCACTCATTTATTGATTTAACACTTAATTAAAACAATAATAAAATTTGAGTTTCTTAGTGTAAACTCATAAAGTAGTCCAGATAAATCAACAAACATAATAACGCAACAGATTTTTTCTGTTTTTACAATAATGCAGTTAAAACCAAGGCATTAACAGGTCTTGCTTGCCAGATTTGTAAGTTCAGAGTAGGTTTTTCGGAGCTAGTTCTCTATTTATCAACAGTTCACTCTTGTTTTAAATGTTGCTTAATTTTTCTTTTTTATGTGTTTACCTTGTTTCTTTTACCCGTGTAGGTGAAGATTGCTTATATCAACTTCCTGAACCACTGTTATGTTGACACAGAGGTGGAAATGAAGGAGATTTATACTTCGAACCACATGTGGAAGCTATTTGAGAACTTCCTGGTGGACATTTGCAGGGTAAGCCTCTGTGCAGTTTGACCGCTTAAAAATGATACTGAGTGGTGTCTCATCATCATAGCGACCGCTCTCCTGTTTGTTGTTATATCATCATGGGTCTGGGTGATTATGTCAACAGAGCATGCGGTGCACAAACAGCATGTTACCTGTCGCCCACATGCAGGAAGCGTGATCCAGTGGCTGTGCGTCATGCTAACATCTTTTCTGTCCGTACCTAGGTGTGCAACAATACCAGTGACAGGAAACATGCAGATACCACCCTGGAGCGTTATGTAACTGAGACAGTCATGAGCATTGTCACATGTTTTTTCAGCTCGCCTTTCTCTGACCAGAGCACGAGCCTGCAGGTAATTTTGACACAGAAATAGATTCTTTACCAAACCTGTTTTAAAGTCTACAAATCATATCGTATTTCCTTGAGTTCAGTTGTTTGACAGAGAAAAAAAAACCATAGACAATAAATTATGGTTCTCTCCTCTGCGTATAGATGGCACATCATATGTATGTAAGTAAAAGGCACTTTTCCCCATGACAGTTTCCCAACACTTTGCTCATCAGCAGTCCCCACATGTTTTGAAGGGTCCCCCCTTGGGTGGGTTTGGCTGATTTTAGCTATGTCAGCAGACAGACTCTGTTGTTTTCTGGATCTGTGGGTGTGTTGCACGAGGTTTTTCTCGGACACGGTGACAATGATGTTTACAAACAGCATAGTTCCTTATTTTTTTAGATGTTATTAGTGTGATGTCTTGTTACCTAATAACCATGAGCGGCCCAGCTTAGAGTCTGCTGTACTCCTGACACAGTCACTTTGTGGTGTGGTATCCTGTACTTCTGCCCGCTTGAATTTCTCTTCCTCTTACGTAGAGATGTTTAGTTGGCCACAGTAGTCAAAGTAGTAAACCTTTTTTTTTTTTTACAAACCTGAGAATTCTGCTCGCTGAAGTTTTTTAAGATTAACAGTGTCACTGAGGTCCTCTTTCTTTCATAACAGGCCGCCATACTTGGAAAAATAACTGAGGTATTTATTGCACTCTAGGGGTGAGGCCAGCTCTTGGTGGTAGATGTCGGTTATAACCTATGTAAAAAAAAGAAAATAAATGTTTTTATGTTGGGACTGCACATGACCGGCTGACTTACTGGACCCAAAGCTGTTGACCTTCCCACCATAGGCTCATTAGCTCCCTCTTATTTAGATAACCAGCACAAATATGGTTACTGTTTTTGAATTAGTCTCTTTTAGTCTCTATTTTATAAACTAGATTCTTAGTCACAGTTTATTTCTTCCTCCTCCTCTGTCTCTGTATGCACTTTTCCCTCTTTGGTAATTCTTTTAATGTGATTATATTTCTTATAATTCACTCACTCTCTGTCTTACAGACTCGACAGCCAGTATTTGTACAGCTACTCCAGGGAGTTTTCAGGGTGTACCACTGTAACTGGCTCAACCCTGTTCAGAAGGCCTCAGTGGAGGCTTGCATTAAAGTGCTGTCAGACGTTGGTAAGACCTGCAGTCGACTTGAACAATTATTAGTCTGTGGCAGGAAGGAAGGCATTGTAGCACATGGGAAAAGCGCTCAGTAGAAACATAAACCATCTTTTTCTCCGCACAGCTAAAAGCAGAGCCATCGCCATCCCGGTGGACTTGGACAGTCAGGTGAACAACCTGTTTGTCAAGTCCAATAATGTTGTGCAGAAGAGCATCCTCAGCTGGAGACTGTCTGCAAAGAACACTTCAAGACGAGACTCTGGACTGACAACCTGCAAAGACTACAGAAACATAATCGAAAGGCTGCAGGTGGGACGAAGACAAAGTCGACATTTAAATTGTTTTAATGTGTCTCCCTTCATTTTTGGATACCAGTGTATCTTCTGCCAGCTGTGCACATAAAGCTGAAAAGTGGAGTTCAGGAAGTAGCGATGCTTTCCTAAAGTAGGTTACTGACACATCTGACAATAAGAGGTTTTTTTACCTGCTGGTAAAGTAGTACCATGACTCACAGATGTGCCCTAAGTTGTTGCGTTGTTTTACACATGAGTAACATTTTGGAATTTTGGAAATGATGTGGCCCATTAGCGCCACCTAGATGCACCTAGAATTCACATTCACCCCTCGGGACACTTTCCACCAATGATTACGACTGCCGGTTGTACGCCGAGGGTGATGTAATTGATCATTTAATTGCAGTTCATTTGGTAACTGCAAGGCGGACAAAAGTCTACAAGTGCTTCCTCGATTTATTGTGGCATGTAGGGTCATGTGCTAAATAAAAAGGCCAACCGGCTCCACCCTAGTCCCTGGATTGTATGATTCACTGTTTGAATGAAGTTAGATAACTCTGACCTGTTTTATTTTAAAAAAAAAAAGTGTCTTCCATTAAGCCAAATTCAAAAAAACTGATACTGGTTAAAAAAAACAATTCACAGGTATTTTTCAAACTCTTATTCTTCTTGTTTTTTTGTAATCCTCATGTTGTTCTCACCTCCACATAAATCTTCAATTCCATCATGTATCAAACAGCCGCAGAACAGCAGGATCAGGAGCTTACTACTCAGAGTGTGACTGTTGACCTTCAGCAGGACTTCATGTTGACAGAGATTTCCATGTTCACCATGATGGATGTCACTGTGCTTTGTAGGATATAGTATCAGCACTTGAAGACCGTCTGAGGCCCCTGGTCCAAGCAGAGTTATCAGTGTTGGTGGACGTCCTTCACCGTCCAGAGCTGCTCTTTCCTGAAAACACTGACGCTCGCAAGAAATGTGAAAGTGGAGGATTTATATCTAAGTAAGTCCAAGTTAAACTTTTACATTTCTCATTTGATAACCTTTCATAATCAAACGGTACACACCATTTTCGATTCATTATTTATGTTAAAAAAATAGCATTAGACAGTCTGAAGGCTAAGTCTGACACTCAGCAGGTAATTTGGATGCTTTTTTTCTGTCTCCACCACTGACCAGATTGATCAAACACACCAAGCAGCTGCTGGAGGAGAATGAGGAGCGTCTGTGTATTAAAGTGCTGCAGACTCTGAGGGAGATGATGACCAAAGACCGGGGGTATGGGGAGAAGGTATGCACTTTTTTTTTGTGGGGTTACCATCATCAGTTTGTGGTTGAGTACATGAGACAAAACACAAAAACAGTGACCCTGTTTCGTCGCACCAAAGTTACCAAAAGGCAGAAAAACTGTTATCTCCTTGGTGTCCTCTGAGTCTTTCCGGCAAGGGGATCATCTTCTTGTTCTGTTTTTGGCCCACTGGTTCATAAAAGATTCCCTTATTGTTGGGTTATACATAACATTAATGATACTAACAGCTTGCATGACCTCATTGTCACTCACTTCTTTAACACCTTTGTGAACTTGTCTGAACATCTTCAGCGAATCAATGAATGAATCAATGAAGTTTTGATATTGGTACGAATACGGAAACTTAAATCATTAAAGGAGCAAAGAGAACAGAAAAGAACATGAAATACAACATTAGTCAACTATCAGTTATTGTTTCATATCCCTCATCCAAATAAGATTTTTGGAGCTCCTGAAGATAACTTAACAGGTTACACGTTTGACTAACGTGACATGCTGTGTGTAAGTGTATGTGTGTGTGTGTGTGTGTGTGTGTTTGCTGTGGTATTACCAAGCCTTGACTCACTAATCAAGCTCGGCTAACCCTCTGCCCTGTATGCTTTTTCTCTTTTTCCAGCTGATTGCCTTTGATGATGAAATGGATGTGGCTGAGGTTGATCATTTTACTTACTACTAAAATGTGCATTTGATTCGTCACATAGTCGTGCTTGTTGTGCTGCAAGTAGACGTTTCCAGCCTTGCATACTCATCTATGACACCTTTTGGTAGCTTGGTCCATCCCTCGTTGTTGTATGTGCGTGTGTGTGTGTGTGTGCGTGCGTGCGTGCGTGTATGTGTTAGAGTTGCTCCTGATCTCATCGTTAAAATGTAGCGCATTTCTAGCATGTCTAGTTCACATTATGCAAAGCGCTTGTCTGTTATGCCTGGTGAAGAATGTACTTCCCGTATAAGAAAAAAGTGTATTACTGCCAGTTTGTTGAACACAACTATTTGGAAGTCTGCAACCACCAGTGTGTGCAGACTTTCATGCAGCTGAGATAAACAGTTTTAGGGCTTTGAAATTTGGCAGTTTCTTTCTCTAACTCAAATGATCAGGAACCTTGTTCACTGTAACCTCTCTAGTCTGGACTAGGGATGGGCGATAAATTATTGTTCACGATATATCTTCAAAAAAATCCTCCATGATAAATATTTGCTATCTCATGATAAATATGATAAATGCAAGTTGATGAAATAAGCGCAAGCAACGGACTCGCAGCCATAGCCCACACAGAGCAGGATAACAAACAAACATGGCCGAAGGAAATAAAGAAGACGTTTCTGAGCAGCTCGTTACTGAACGAGGCTCCACATGAGGGATTTCATGAGGGACAGATAGAAAAGCGCAATCAGGTATGCCATTAGATGTCATTAGTTTTCTCCACAACCTATCACTCAAACTTGTGGTTAAGTATCTTATTTTACTACTCCAACTGGTTTTCTCAAGACAAAATAAGTCAAAAATTTGACTAGAATTCTAATATTTTTATCGGGACTTTTATCGTCATCGCCGGAATGGCATATCTTGTTGTGATAAATTTTTCAGCCCACATCGCCCATCCCTAGTCTGAACTAATTCCCACGTCCCGTAAAGGAGTCTGAAACCCTCTTAGCGGTACCACCAAATCTCTTTCAATAGACATGTTTTGGAAACAGCAGCTGGTCGGGTATGATGATTGTCATTCCTGCTGTAATAATGGGACATTTTCTTGTGTCTTTTTTTCGGTCACTTAATCGACGTGCCATACAGCCTCTTATGATAGATCGAGAGATTTATTTTAGCTCTGTGCAACAGCAGGTGTGAGTTTATATATAGCAGCGGATACTCTGACAGATCGTTCATAACACAGGGGCTGGACTACGGGCTGTGGTGTGAGTGTCATGCCTGCGTGTCAAAAAAAGTATTTTTGTGGTCATGACCTGTGACCTTAAGGAGGTGGAGGAGCAAGTTTCTCCTTTTTGTTTGTGATAATGAGTGGTCACGGGAATTGTGGGTGTGACTGTGACTACAGGGGAAAGATATCTCACATGTCAATGTGGTGACTAATATCATAAGATGAGACCTATCCCACACTGATCTATTTAGCGTTTGTAGGGGATTTTGTTTACATGGCATTCAGTTGAGATGTTGTTTTGTTCTGGCTTAATTTTCCCTGGGGGAGGAGGAGGGGGGTATTTTGAGAGCTTATTAATACGATCTTATCTTTTTTAGATATGAAACCAATTTATTTTTAACTCTCAGAAGTCCTGGAAAGAAATCTGTCGCATTTGAAAAGCCAGCGAGTTTTTTTTTCTGAAGTTGAAACTCAAACTTCTTACCGGCTTTCTCATTAGCTGTAATGATATTGTAGCACCTTCTTAAATATTTTGTCACCTTTGACATGTGAAGTACTGGTAAAGGAGGGGATGAAGTCGCAGCATTAACTGGGCAAATCTGTGCAATCACCGTCAGCCAATGAGAATCTCTTAACCTTAGATTTTCTTTGTTTTGGGGACATTTTCAGATTCTATTTTGCAATTTGGTTTCACATTAACTTTTTGGTATCACTTTACTTAATGCCTATCTCTTTAACTCATTGTAAATATATGTATAATGCGTTATAATCATGTTATAGCACTGTATAACTGTAGTTATCAACACTCATAAATTATCATAATGCTTTATCGCAATAATCATAACACATTATCTATGTGTGCATTGTCAGTGAGTTGTTAACAGTTATAACACATTATAATACCTGACCTTCTTTATAATGCAATGATTATTGCTATAAAGCATTATGATCATTTATGAGTGTCTATAACTATACTTATACAGTGCTATAAAGTGATTATTACGCAATATACATATATTTATAAAGTGTTTCCAAATTTATTTCCTAGAACATTATTCAATTACTTTAAAAGCAGAAGAATTTTATTGAAGAAAAGTCCCAAGGAGTGAAAAGTGAAGCAATAACTAATCAGCGGTCAGGATTACATGGGAAGTGAACAGTGATGTTGGTTGGAGAAACTGAGTGGTTGTTGAAAAGGGTCTTTCCAGTGTTGCTAGGAAGCGACACACACTGAATTTGTCTGTTATGTCTTTTATTTTAACTCCTTCGCTCACTCTTAATATATTCTTCCTGGTACTGTAGAGATGGAAATCCCCGACTTCCACGAAATCAGCGCTGTCTCCACAGACAAAGGCTTTGTTCCAACTCCTCCCAAATGCATCTTAAGAATGTACATATACTCCCTCACCCAGACAGCACATGCTGTTTGCCACTCATTCACTCACACACACTCCCGTTTTAAACAGCACACAGTGCCCTGAGTGTTGGCTGGCAGCATGTGCATGCACAAGATTCAGATGGGAGACAGGCAGACCAAAACCCGAACTTCCTCTCAGCAGCAGCAAGATAAACTGCCATGATTATGTAACCCCCAGTATTTAGCCTGCTGCTGCTCTCTGACCCACACTGCACCTCCCTCCTTGCAGCTGTCAGTTTCACTGCTGTTTGACAAACCCCACCATACACCTAGTTGTTGCATAGCCAACTTTTGAGATAGTGCGTGTGTGTACTTTTGTACTTCGGTCATGTTTACAGGGATGATGAGAGAACAGAATGAAGCAGTGTGGTGGTCCCCCTGTTTTTATAAGAGGTTGTCTCACTCCTCCAAAAATAAAAACAGGATGAAATATGAGCCAGAGGAAAACGAGACACGACCAGAACTGACAGCCTGATAGTCAGACCTGATCATGCCACCCCCTTCTATTTATTTATGTTTATTACTTCTTAATATGACTGTGATCGTCTTTGTTGGAGAGATCGTGAGGGGTCAGAGAGGTCAGTTGGAGAGGATGCCTCCGTCTTATTCTAGTGATGTAACGTGGTTTGCTGAGGATGGTGCTGAGCAGTGAGCACGTATCCCATACATGTTGTCAGGGTTATATAAGAGACTATTTCTTTGCCAGTGCGGTGGTCCTTGTGTGTAGTGTTGTGAGATTATGGATCTTGGATCACATTCTGTCTGTGTTTGTGTCAACAAGTCCACAACATATATATATGTACGAATGAATCACCAGTTGTTTAGCTATACCAGATCACACTTTTTCTGGCCACTTCCCTGTTGATACTTTGGAAATATTTAGTTCTGTCCACCCACTTCCATTTTCACAGCCATGCTTTTCTTCAACACTCACTGGTCTCCTTCTGAAACTTTGCCAGCGTACAACTCATCCAGCTGCCACTCCCATCACTAACTCTGCCAAACTGCTTTGGATCGACTCTCCTCGACCTTCCGACTCAGTCAGGAGAGACACTGGGCTGTTTTTTTCTCGATCAACAGGGGGCACTGCAGGCATTCTTCAGTAACACACACACACACACCACTGTCCCAGTTTCCTTAACTTAATGCTGCACGATTCTTGGGCTCCAGCCAGCCCTGAGGAAGCAGTTACATAAGAACAAGCAATTTCTCTTCTTTTTTTTTTCTTCACATTTTTCCTGGTATTTCAAACCCTCAGCTGATGTGTGACCTTCAGGGGTAATTAGCAATAAAAGTTTATCAGGGATCTCTTTCAGGAGACAGCAGTGGTGGTGTAACTTGATCCCAGAGACCAGGTCAGATAAAAGTTCTGGTATCATTAAGTTATTGTGATTTTTTTTTTTTAAAGCTGATGAGCTGCCAGTTTTATTTAAGCAAGTTAAGGTAAAGAAATTGGTCAGTGTGCTGGGCTGTTCGGGGACATAAGTGAAGAATTTTTGTTATGATATGGTGAACAAAAGGATGGCCTGACTGCAGGTGGCAGGAATAACACAGTCTTCCACCTCTCTAAGAATAAAATCAAACTTAGTTTCCCTTCTGTGCAAACACCCTGATTCTTGTTAGTCTAGAAATGATAATGTGTAAGTTTGAAAATGTGGAGCATAAAAAGTGAAACTGATTTTGAAATCGATAAACTAATGGATGTTTTTTATTTGCTGGAGAACTTTTGACAAAGTTAAGACTTTTTCTTTTTAACTAAGGAGTTGCACAAGTGATGCATCACCATTTTTCTGTGGAAAGCAATTTGTTGACGTACAAGGGGGCTCGAGGGAGGGAAATTCCATACTAGTTGCACAATTAATCAGAGTAAACCACCGTGACTTGCTCACAGAGGGAGTAATATGCCTTTTTTTGGGGTTGCCTGACTTTTTACAATGAATTTTACATTAACTGCCATCTCTGCATTCGTACGTGAGAGTGAACACGTAAAAGGTATCAATAAAATCTTCTGCGGTCTGAATGGGGTCAGTACCCGTAAACAGTTGGAAACGAATGCTTACATGCCCTGAAGGATATCAAAAAATTGTCTGAGTGCCGGTTTGAACTCACTTGTTGGATTGAATGCCTCAGGAGTTCTAGACGTCAAGGTACACAGCCTCGGTACAAATCTGACTTGCAGTCCTTTGCCGTATGTTACTCTTTGGTGTCTCGTACCAGTTTCCTGCTCTCTCTCTTCCCTGCAAACGCACGAAAAAAAAAGCCCAAAACTGTTCCTGTATTTTTAAATCTTAATGTTTTAAGTGAGAAAAAAATTATGTTCCATAAACTTAAGTGTGATTGGGATTATTTAGAGCCCCTTTTGTCCTTGTATTTATTCATTTATTTATTTATTTAACCTTTTTTTTTTTAAATTCTCAATGATCATTGAGGTTTCCCTTATTTACAATGATGTTGAGATACAACAGAAACACATTTAGAACAAATTAACAAGTGAGACAATAAGGCACAATCACTGAAAACAATTACATGTGGTGAAATTATTTGCATCATCTTGAATTTGCCAAAAGAACTAATGTATTCATCCTCAGATTTTGTTGTAGGTTGTTCCACATCATATAGGAGCACAGTAACTGAACGCAGATTTACCCAATTCAGTGTAAACTCTTGGGACCTGCAGCATCAAGCAGACAGTGGATGGAGTACTGTAATGTCCGGTGGTCCAGTTTAGCATCGATGTTATATATTTCTGTGTATGTCCAATTAAGGACTTACAGATAAAAACATACAAGTGTTTATCACGTCTTTGTGCCAGAGAAGTCGAATCAACTTTGTCATACAGAGTACAGTGATGAGTGTCGAAACGATCACCAGTTATGAACCGAAGAGCAGAGTGATAAACAGAACCTAGAGGTATTTAACTATGTTTAATGCTAAAGTAAACAAAAACCACCACTACTACTCATATCTCTGCTTCTCCTTTTACTTCTACAGCCTCTGTTACTTCTACTACCATGACTACACATACTATCCTTTAACTACTACAGCTTGTACTACTTGAAAACTTATCTGCCACTATTTGCAACACCAACCTACAAACTTAAATATCACAACTTAGTTTTTTTCTGCCCAGCCCCATTTATTCTTAGTCTGAAAAATTGAATACATGTTACATTACATGAATACATGTGATACATGTTTGGGTTTTTGTGACAACCAGCACAAACAGTCTGCAGTCTACAGTCATGTTTCTGTCTTTACTGTCAGTGAACCATAGAAAGCTCAACACACTACAGTGCAACAATGAAGCCATAGGTCTACAGTTTTGAGGATGCAAAGCAACTTTTAAGATATTTTTTTGTACATATTTTCTGCTTTGCTGTTTACCAATCATGCAGTGTCTGTGTACCGTCATAAAAACACATAATATTCACAAAGGCAAGTCATAATACACTAAAAAAATTAACACACAGGAATTGTTAATCAGCATGTTCTCAGAGAAGAACATGAAGAACGTCTGATTTTTTTCCTGCCCATGCCGCTTGAAATCATGTGACCTAACTTCTCAGTATAGAAATAGATGATGTAGCAAGTGGCAGCATCTAGGAGTGTGAGGATAGTTGGGTTGCAGTGTTAGTGAGCGTGCTGCTCTTTGGAGGCAGTAGAAACATAACTAATTAAACATCCTCAAACTTTGACTAACATCATCCTTTTATTTCCAATCAGCTGGCACCTCCGCCTGAGCCTGAAGTCCCCGCAGAGGTGTGTTTAAGACCCATATTGCCTCGCTGCCTGCCCATATGGGTCACTGCTGATCAAAGATCATCTACCATATACTAATTTCACCCCATCACACTTCTCCTCAGTGCTAAATATCTTTTTATTTATGTAGATGAGAGCCAAAGTTCACCCATGTTAGACTTAAAACAACACTGAAAATCAGCTGCTGTATGTGCGTGTCTCTCCTGCTTAGTTTGTGGGCAAAGTCCAGTTTCATGACCTTCTTTCAGTGGGAATAGGGGATGGGGGTTATTGTGAGTGAGGTTTTTTTTCCATGCCAGATTGGTGCTCTCAGTGTGTGTCAGTAGCTCACGGCTACATTATGCATTATGTAACCTGGACAGAACTTTTTTTCCCCTCATGGTTTGTGTTACTTCCCCTCCAGCAGCTTGTCATTCTCTTATGTAAATAATGTGTGCTCCTTTTGCCTCTGTGACTGTTTAATGAGGGAGCCACCACATGCCCAGGAAGAGGACATTTGAAGTGTCACATGCTGTGTCACACATGAGTTTTTATAAGTGGAAGAAAACAAAATGAAATCAAAGATTTGGCTTTTTTTTATTTTAAAGTAGCCTGATCCTGAAAAAATATGATGCTCCGAGTAAATCTGCTCTTTTATGCATGAAGTCTTGCATGACTCTGAATGAACCCTGACATAGACTGTATATAGAATGGACAGCATCTGCCTCCTTGTTGGGTGAAGCCACTCCGAGAGCAGCGCCCTCTGTTGATGGGCTGCAGTATAGGTCATAAATCCCGCCTCCGCCAGCAAAGCTTATAGGACTGTGGACAAAAATTTCTTGCACAGAACATAAATTTTTCTCCCCCCTGCTTGGGGTGTTGACATGTAGTTACTGTCAGACTGGTTTGTGCTCAAGTCCTTTTTTTCTGTGAAGCTCCATTTATAAAAGTTATAAAGGGTTTTTCTATGATTGACACCTGATACAGCCTATTGGTATTCAGGGATTGCGTAGCTTACCCGGGGGATACGCTGTTTGAGCCGAGCGTCATCACAGCGACTCTCAGCGACTCTCTCACCGAATGCGCACAACACTACTGCGCAGCGCTGGTTTCAGGAAATGAAGAAAAATCTCTGAAATACCGAGAGCTTTTTGGCTTCAAATCTGTATACAGGCGGTATTGTCCATAGTATATACAGTCTATGACCCTGACACAACCACCTCCCCTTTAATTGCATGATCTTATTTGCACCCAGTTTTTGCATGCTAGTGAAATGACTAATTTTCACCGTATAACCCCTAATTTCTTTTCCAATTTTCCTTTCCAACTTTTTTTATATTATTATTATTATTTTTTGTTGCTTTCTGCTTACTCACCTCACCTTTAAGGAGCTTGATCCCAACCAGCCACAGAAGCAACTGGAGGATCAAAGGAGGGTAGGTACTGAGTTTGGTTTGTTGTGGTCTCATCCAGGAAAACATGATATCGATGCTTGACTTCCGACAGATGGTTTTAATGCCTTCACAGTCACTCTGCTCTCACAGCATGGCACTCACTTTCTTCCCTGTCAGTTTTACGATCTGTGAAGCATATCAGTGGATGGACACAAACTTTGAGTGTTCATCTTTTCTTCAACAGCATGTTAGACCTAGAGGGACCACTTAGGGGACTCGCTACAATGATTTACACCAAACCAATATGACAAAATGTTGAATGTCAACATATGTGTGGACCCGAAAGTGCACATATATTTTCAATTAACTCTTAAAAGGACATGATCTGGAATCACAGATGTATTCATTTAACAGCCTTTTTCCCCACAGAAGATGAATTTGTCCAGGCAAGCTTACCAACACCCATTTTCACTAACAGGGTGAAGCGCTGCGGCAGATCCTGGTCAATAGATACTACGGGAACATCAAACCAGGCCAGAGGAGAGAGAGCCTAACACCCTTCAGCAATGGTCCACTGACGCCTGGAGCTCAGGGAAAATCACCTACAGGTGTGTGTGTAACTAAACAGCATCAGAGTTCATATGGTTATGCTCATAAAGATAAGATACCTGAATGAAATGACATTGGGAAACTGGGTCAGTACAACAGGGTTTTATTGCACAGCATAACAACTGAAATAAAGCATTAAAATAGTTGATAGCTGCAGACTGCTTTACTGTAATAAGGAAAGTAATTTTGTGGTCTTGTCATTTTGACATTTGCTTATTGGCGTGTGAAAGATTATCAGCTGATTAGGGCTGGTTTCAGGGTCTGTACCGTAGGCTGAGCTTGACTTTAACCTTCCTCCCATGTTAGCTTTCACATCACACCCACTTTGTTAACAGGTTGGATTCCACCCGTGTCTTAATCAGCTGCAAATTAAACAAAAAACAATTGTCTATCATCCACTTAAGTTCTCATCTCTATGTTATCTTAATTATTAATGAAAATATCGCTTATAATATTTATTGTTGTGGGCCTCTAGGCATTTCTTAGTCAGTTTTCCCGTCATACAGACATCTATACTAAATTGATCTCACATGTCTGGACATGTCCGACGTTGTTTTTTGCACAGGAAAAAACAGGCAAAATGAAAATTTCCTAAATCTCACATAATTGGGAGAGGATCTGCCTGTCAGTGTGGTGCCTGACAGTGCACATATAAGTTCAGTTTTTGCTCTAATTATTGCTTTTTTATCTAACCGGGTCAACAGCGACCCTATCACGACAAGTGCCAAAATTTCTACTGGAGCATTTCATCATTTAGTGAATTAATTTTTTTTTTTTTAATTGTGTTGAAAAAGAGGTTTCTGTCAAAGTCAAAAAGTCATAATCATATACTGTTTATAGAATGGACAGCATCTGCCTCCTCGCTGGGTGAAGGCACTCCGAGAACAGCACCCTCTGTTGACGGGCTGCAGTATAAGTCATAAAACCTGCCTCCGCCAGCAAAGCTTATGGAGCTGTGGACAAACTTTAGAAATTTATTACACAGGATATACATTTTTCTCCCCCCTGCTTGTGATGTTGACATGTAGTTATTGTAAGACCTACGGGCGTTCAGGGATTGCGTAGCTCTCCCGGGGATACGCTGTTTGAGCCGAGCGTCATCACAGCGACTCTTGGTGACTGTGCGGCCAAATGCGCGCATCGCTACTGCGCAGGGCTGGTTTTAGGAAATAAAGAAAGATCCTGGAAATACTGAGAGCTTTTTGGCTTCAAATCTGTATACAGGCGGGAGGTGGAACCAAGTTGTCCATAGTATATACAGTCTACGGTCATAATGCAATGTTGTATCTGGTCTGTCCGTGACGTGTAGATGCAGAAGGAGGCTTTGTGACACTGTCTCGCTTGTATAAGAGGAGTTTATTATAAAGACAACACCAGTATCAGAACAGCACCGCGGACGCCAATGATGTCCAGCTCTCCCAAACCTGAGTTTGTGATCTTGTTATATAGGGTTAGAGGTTTTAGGTCCTCCTACATCCTCTGTTTATCTTTGAGTTATATTTCTTTACCAGCTGCTTTACGCCTATCTGACCTGCGACCTGCAAACCCCCAACAGCTAGGATGTCTGGACCAGGTACCATAAAAGAGACCCAATGCCCACACTTCACCATTTGCTTAGCTCAGGCTATCCCTGGGAAAGGCTTTGACATGCTGCATGCTAGTGCTGTACTTCAGATACAACAGCAAAAAAACAAAAAAATGTGGTTCTTTGACGCATTTAAAAACAAAAACGGGTCGGTGAAAACCCTAACACAGGAGGAGGGTTAAATCAAACAGAAATCAACCCTGTTTGTCTTTGTTTGAACCTAGTCTATCAGGCGATTTGATCATTTGTTATAAGCAGTGTTAGTGTTTCATGCTGCAACTTTAATACAGTAACTACACAGATTACCAAGAGAAGCTATCCTTGCTTATGTAACTGACTGTTTCAACTCAGTCACAGATAAAAAACTTTCAATCATCCACCTACTGCACAGTGCTCATCCACAGAAGTATACACACAACACAAGTGCATCGGTTTCACAGTAAGACATCTAACACAAGGTCATCGATACGTACAGAGACAGCTGTTTTCTCTCTGATCCCAGTGAGGAAAAAAAGAAGGATCATATTCACAGTCATGGCTTTGTACTTGTTCAAGTCCTCGCAGACTTATGCTCTGCTACTGAGCATACTGCGAGCCGTGTTGTTGCCAGGTGACCACACAACCAAGCGTCGTCTAGAATGGGATGTGTTGTTGATTCAGTGGCTCGCCCAGCCAGAGATGGCTCTGATGGGTGCTGTTATCTCAGCCTGACTCGTCATAGTAGCCAGCAGCAACAGCAGGAACTAAAGTACCTCCTCAGATACAGACACATCTGGTGCTCTGTGGCAGAGTAGGTGGAAGAGACAACTGTGGCTCATCACAAACTTCTTTAATCGATTTTATTAGATTCATAAACTGGCCAAATATCAAATTTGTGTGAATTGTTTTGGTTCATTTGTTGTTTAAGATGAATATTGTTTATAATATATATCAGTAAGCTGCATAACTGTTCAGTATCCACCTCTATAAGCCTATCTTGGCATGTGAAGCTAAATGTCTGTGTTTAGACTTTTATTTATTTGTGTTATTATATAGCTATGGCTAAAAGTAAGGGGATCCAAGTTGATTTGAATGTAGCAACACAGGGTAGAATACTTGAAGTGTTATATTATGCAACCTGTCTTGGCGTATAAAACATCAATATGAATGCAGACAATAATTCCCGACATCTGTGACCGTAGTGGTCAGCTCCGGGGTGGGAGGTCGAGGAGAGCTGAGTTTGGCGGAGGTCCAGTGCCACTTGGATAAAGAAGGAGCTTCCGATCTGGTCATCGACCTCATCATGAATGCAACCAGCGACCGGATTTTCCAGGAGAGCATACTTCTGGCCATTGCACTGCTGGAGGGTGGAAACACAGTCATACAGGTAACTAGGGGTGACCGGGTTCAGACATATTACGTGGTACGAAGAGCCAAGGAGGCTGGGTGTGAAGTGAGGTAGACAGCCTGTGAATAAATGTGAGTGGGAGCATGAGCATGAATCTAAACAAGCCAAAGTTGTCCCAAGGGTTAAAGTTGTAGCGTGAGTAGCTTAACTTAGTGGCCTCTATCTTTTTCATAAGAAAAATGTAAAGGTACATGGTCTGACCTTTTAAGACGAGGAAAAGCTTATTTTTCAGTAACCAGGGCAGTTTATGGGGGACAAGTCCTGCAGGAAGCTGCCCGGCATGTTTGAACCTGTTGACATTTTGAGTTGTATAGAAAGGGAAAGTGTGTTTCAAGTATGCCAGCGGAAGAGAAAGGTAAAATAGAGAAGAGGACAGCCTGCTGCCCGAGGTCAAAGCCAAACACATCATAACCTCTCATATCCAGACAGAAGGTTGCCAAGGCAACTCTGCAAACCTCCCAGGAAGGTTGAGGAGGGACAAAGCTTCTGCATCATTTCAGCTCTGCTTTGTGGTTTGTGTGTGTGCGTGCGTGCATGCGTGCGTGTGTGTGCGCGCATCCTTGCTTGTACAACAGTATTTGCGTGCATGCATTAAGAACACCACTTGTAAGCTGTAAATCTCTTTATTCCAGTTTTGGGTTTGTGTATGGAGGCTCTTGTGTGCCATCTTGCATAAACAGATCCATTGCATAACAGGCTCTTATTTACATGGTGTCGTTACAAAGGGTGAAATCTGAGATATGCTGATTCCCACAGCTTGATAAAGAGACAATCCTGGATTAACAAGATCCTCAGTTAATAAATGTAAAGGGGTTTATAAAATTCAAACACAATGCACTATAAAGCATAAAATTCATGATGCATGAAAAGCTACATTTTGCTACCTGGTCATTGTTAAGATCTCTCTGAAAAGGAAAACACACAATGTGCAGCTTTTTTTTTTAAAGTAGTATACAGCAATAGTTTGGAAGCATTTTACTAAATTGTGTTAGCTAGAATAGTGATATTTATATATTTATTTAAATGGAATGACCAAGATCACATTTTTGCTCAAAAAACAAAATGGTTTGTTTATTACCTGTTGTATGACACGTATACCCTTTGCCCATACCTGGGATAAAGGGTCTCATTCATCCATTAGTGGAAAACAACCTTTTAACTCCAACATCAGCCAAGAGAAAGTGTCAATCATCAAATGGTGTACAAGTAAAGATTTTGAGAAATTAAATAAGAGACGCACTGGAAGAAACTTCTGGTATATTCAGTGTGCTGGGACTCAGAGATCCTTATTTGCTTGAGCAATTTCCACATCAGTCATAATCATTCTCTCATACAAATCAACTTTTCCTCCAGCCTTGCCCAGCAGGGCCTGACCTCCCTGTGTGTACACAAAGGAAGTCGCATGACTCCTGTTACATAAACTGCTGCTGCTTTCTTCCTGGGTGAATATTGCCCTGAGCCCTGGGCCTCCCAACATTCCAGCTGGACTCTTAACTGGGTCATGTTTTACTCCTGAAAAAGGGGGCAGTAAGAGGCATAACCTCTCACATGAGTCCCAGGAGGATCATAGAATTTCGATCAGCCTGTACCATTACCTGAGGAAGAGCCACTCCTCTTTTTGAACAGATCAGCTCAGCTGAATTGTGGGCTTGATGTTTATTCCATTTGCTGTGTGACCTTTTTAAGGTCAGGGTCTGATGAAGAAGCTCAGGGTCTCCTGCTGAAAGCGGCCTGTGGCTTACATGTGGAACAGATTCTGGAACTAAGTGGATTGATTAGTGGACCAAGAACTATTTGTTGTTGGTGAATCAAAGCCTTTTTTACCATCCAGAATTACTGGCATAAATAACAGGGATTTCTTGACTTTCTTTTTTCACTTATTCAACAGCAAGGCTTTTTCTTTTTTCCATTTTCTGGTGAACTCATGAAGTGGAACCATTTCTTGGTAAAAACAATGGCAACCATATAGAAGCTTCTTGTTTAAGAATCTAAGTTTGAAGTTTATTCCTGTATGGCCTGATACAGGAACAAGTAGGCCCTGTTGAAAGATCATGCACGGTTTAGAGTGAATTCACAGCTTATCAGCAGATGCACCACATTTCCCTGTCTTATATAACTATGGTTGCCAGCCCTCTTTTCAGGACAGAAGGGCTCCTGTTGTCTAAATGAAAAACAGGACAAAAACATGCCCAGAGATTTTCCAAGGACTCGGTTTGTTTTGAGGTAATCCAGGGTCGTAACCCAGCCAACAACATTTCTTAGAAAAAACAAGTAGTTAGGTGCAGAGCTGTTCGTAGCTTTTGGGTTGTAATAAGCCTGGCCTAGTGCCCTGTGCTAACTGGACATCATATGAGTGTTGAGGGAGAAGGTAAGAGTGTAAAGGCGAAAAGAGAAGAGAAAAAAGAAGGAATAGGTCAGGAAATATTCTTACTGCCCTTTTCTGCCTCTTCTTCTCAATGGTTTGGAGTTAATCTCGTGAAACAGACACCACTATCCCCTCTCTAAGGAGCTTATCTGCTGGCCAAAGTTCGTATACTTACTTGGCTCTGATGCCACACTGTATGTGTAAAGAATAGTAAAGACTCATGAACTAAACTGCAGGATTTGTCCTGTCATTTAAGCCTTATAATGTGATTTCTTCTGATGTTTGGTTGCATTCCTATTGTTACAGTATTGATAGCAGAGCTGATAACAGTCATTTACTTCAACTGTTTATGAGTAAAGGCCAGAAAGAGTTTAAGAGACTAAAACCTAAAACTAAACCATATGAGCATTCCTGTCCCTGTAGATTTATGAACACTTTACAAAAATCAAAAATGATGTTACAGATAAGTGACACACATTCATTACTTGAGTTGGAGTATGGATCAAATATAATTCTAGGTCAGACGTGGGCATTTTACGGCCCAAGGGCCACATCTGGCCCTTTGGATGTCCCTGCCCAACCCTTTGTGAGGTCTGTCAATCAATTCATCATGCCTCTGAGTCGTGGGCTGTCTCCGCCCACGACTCAGAGGCGAATTGCTAATGGTCTACTGGAGCTCTGCAGGAGAAAAACCCTTCAAAATGACACAGGTAACGCGATTTTTGGTAAAAACTTCGTAATCACAATTTAAAGATCACTGAGAACACTTTGAATAGTAAAAAAAAAAAATACAATCAAGTGGGACCTTAAAGTAGTCTGGTGCTCTCTTAATAGATTTAAAAAGATCTTGGCACAGTCATTGTTTGTGACTGATCTTTTATCGTCTGGCCATGACTGGTCAGACGGGGGATTCTCACCCGACTTTGCTGTAGCCATCACTACGGCTCCTAAATAAACTGAAGGATGCCTGCACAAGTACAGTAAGAGCACTTGGACAAACCACATGAAGAACTGCACAAACACAGTGGATTACTTCTGAGTAGAAGTAAAGACCAACAAAAAACATTCATAGAAATGTAGTCACTGCAGTAACTCCCTTCTATCCACCATGGCTTCTGATGTGCTTGATCTGTTCAGTCCCCAGCTGATCATGCTGAAGGTGCCACACGCTGAAAATAAACCTTTGGTTGATCTGTCATATCTAATATCTGAAATACAAGACTTGTAAGCTAACCCTTAAACCTTCAGTGTGCACATCATTCTTGTTTGATCATTTTCTTTTGTCAAGTAATAACAAAATCCCTAATAACTTTGATAACATCGTGCAATCCTACCAAAATGTCAGAAGTCAGGAACCTTTCGGTGCCTGGGTTGTTCAGTTCACAGCAATGACCAACTTTGCACAGAAACTGTATTCGAGCAGAGGTCAACACCCTTGCAGTCTCATCTATGCATCCTATTAGCACATGCACAAGCACACAGCCACACTCCTGGATATCCTTCAAGGCGAGAAAACGTCCCAGAGAGAGTGTATGTGTATGTTATGTAAGAAAAGAAGTGTCAAAGCTCTGCTCCCTGCAGCCTCCCATCCATCTACTCATCGCCGTCTGCATGACCTCAGATCTGTAACTGTCACAGGAGCAAACAGGTGCCACCACTCTTACTCAACAGGCTTGTTGTGGCACGCTGCTACCCTCAGCCCCTTCCAAACATGATTTACTCCCTCCACCTCTGCTTAGCTCAGGTTCACTTTACAGCCATCTCTTGGAAGGCTTTAAAAAGCCTCTGCAAAGTGAGTTTCCAGGCATCAGTGTCATCAACATACCGGCTCTCCTCTTACTAGAGATTGGGCAAAGATTCTCCCTTCACCACCCACATAGTTGATACAGGTTAACGGGTCTAAATCCTGCTCTTAATAGTTGATCGTTTTTGCACTGGATACATTTTCGATTTTCCCAAACTGATGACCACAAAATCTTAACAACTCAACCCCTGTTTTCCTCTATAATGCTAACCCACTTTCTGGAATTTTAGTTCCAGCTTCAGAGAGCAGATCTCTAGTGCCACTGGCGGAGACTTTGCGTGGAAGTGAACTCCACTGAGACCCTCCGATAAGTACAGAGATAGCTTTGTCACTCATAAGGTGTCAGGCTGAAGAGGCAGGAGATAAATAGAGAGAGAGTGTGTGTGCTGGTGGTTTTTACAGGCCTTACATAACCAGCTCATGTTGATGCCAGGAGCTGGGGTGGCAGCTGACAGGGAATATAGAGAAGAGTAAAAGCATAGGAAAATCAAAAAAGGAGGCTTTGCTATGCCATCATGTTAAAAAGGACAGAGAATGAGTTATCAGCCAACTTAAACCTGCTGAACATGACTGACGGCTGCAGGATCAGCACAACTCCCAGGGGGCTTAGTAGCTCTGTAGTTGGACATGCAGAGGGCTGAACTGCCTCTGGGGGAAAGCCGTGACTGACCGGCTGACTGACCACTCTCTTTTCAGAGTGACTCAGCAGCCAGTGTGTCGAAATAGAGGCTAAATATGGTGTGCATTCAAAATGAGAAAGCACCAGGATTGCACATGAACTTTTTGAGCACTATCACCAACAAGAGAAGCACCAGCTGCTTTTTTAATGTCATTTCAGGTTTGAAGTTTGAACATGAAATCTTTCAGAATTTGCAATACTTGATCTGTGGTTTACCCATGAGCTGGATGTAAACAATCTGTAAGAACAGGCAGTTCACTTTATCCGGAGCATTTACATACAAAGAGGCTGATTGTGAAGAAATCCGACATCCAGCATATTGCAAACAAACAAGAAGAGGTGCAGAGAGTTTGGAAAGACTCTTTCAAAAAATATTCAGAATTATCAATATTCTGGTCGGAGTAAAGAATTTGATTTTTCTCCTTTTCCAGGGATTTTGGATTGCTGGATGGAAGAGTTGAGGAATAATCCTGCTTGTGTTTTCTTCAAAGTTTACCTGTTGATCATGTTACCATACAAGCTATATGGCCGCAGTGATCACGGGGCTGCTGGTTAAGGAAGCACTTAACTTTGTACCTGCTCTGATAAAGGCCTCAATGGTAACCATGACTTTGTCACCCTAAAAGTAAAGGCGGTTATTTGAATGACCCTCTGAGTGCCTCAGACCCTCTGGAGAGGTTTGTACCTGGATCCTCACACTGAGGAGCACAGGGGAGTCCTTTTTTTTAAAAATACCTTTCCCAAACTCCTGCAGCACTCCATACTTCTGTTTTAATTTAATTTGATTTAACTTCATTTATTTTTTTAATTTGATTTAATTTAAAATTATTTTTATCTTTTTGATCTAATTAAATTGAATTGGATTTAATTTAGTTTAATTAAATTTTATTTTATTTTATTTTATTTACAGGTCTGACATAAAATTAATGACCAGTTTATCTTCAGATACCTGTTCTCAGGCCTAATAAAAAAAAGGCTGTGGTCAATATTTTAATGCATTTTTGTGTCAGTCAGAGTGGCTTATATTGGTTTTTAATGGTGCTTGTACAGACCATACAGAACTGTGCCAAAATCACCAAAACTCTTAGTCCCTTAATTTGAAAAATAAAAAGTATATTTTTGTAAAACCCTTTCAGAGATTTACTCTCAAAGTTCAAATGCTCTCTCAACCCCAACAGCTCTACAGTTTCATCAAAAAGAGCCCTGAAATTTATGAGTTATGATTTGAGCCCAAATGAAAAGGTTGTGATCAAAAACAGAGTACTAGGAAAAAATTTGATGCTAAGTGTTTTTCGGTTTGCCAGCAAACAAAGCTGATGCATAACCTGAATGATGCTGTCTCGAAACAGAGAGCATCAGTGTTAGTAAGCTTTTCCTGTTCCCCTCTGCATATCTGAGAGAAGTGCTGACAGTATTACCGATGTGCATCAGCGACGAAATTGACTCCTTATTGCAATAGTCATGAGTCCCATCTAATTTAACCTTGTAAAGCTGCGCTCCACGAGCTGTTGCCTCTTAGAAGTCTGCTTGCATAAGTCCTCTGCTGCGAATTCTTAATCAGATCAGTATCAATGAATGACCCTGTCTTGTCAACAGCATGATGTTAACATCTTGAAAAACAAGCAAGAACTGTTGCATAAAAGAGAGAAGGAAAACAACTCTGTTTTTTTTTTTTTTTCTAAATGCGTGCAGTGTTCTGTCTCTCCTTGGGGCTTCGGTCAGGTGACACTGCAGAAATTCTCACCAAATAAGTTTCTTATGTTTAAGATTTTCCAATCAGATAACGTCACTCCAGTCCCCTGCATAGTGCTCTCATGAAAATTCTTTGTTTTCAAGTCTTTCCCCTCATTTAGAAACTTAACTGAGAGGAGTCTTATGTAACATGGTTTCAAAACTGCCCCAGAATCGATGTGTGTGATAAGTCCTGCTTGCATCAACCCTCCCTACTTTATCTACAACTATTGGACTCTCTCTCTCTCACACACACCACTCACTCCCTTCGTGCCGTTCTGGCACTGAAAAGTAGGACAGGGTTTTCCTTTCTCCCTCTCCCTCTCTCTTCATTGCTCACCCTCTGTGTACTGATGTAACAGTGTTAGAGCTGAGGCGCTGTGCCCTCACTGTAACCACTCAGCTGATTATGGGTCTTATGTAAGGAGGGATTGTCAAGAGGAAAATGGGGCAGAACATATGAGCCTGTTGCGGAAAAACAACAGCTCTATGTATGCAAGCCTTTCAAACAAGATAGCCCTTTGTGCAGCTGAGCTACAGTTTGAGCATTTCTTCCTCACCTTGATTCGATAAATGTCTTAATCACACAGAACACAGCATAGTCGCTGCAGAGCTGATAAGCGAAAAAATAAATAAATAAATAAAATGTTGGATACTTTGCAGCTCAAGCAAGGCCGACGCTGTGAATGTTTGTGTAGACGGCTGTTCGATTAACCTGCATTTAATGTGCAATATTGGCACACCTTTGTTTGCATGGATGCATGCACTCTGTGGTGTGTCCTCTGCAGGGTGTGTGGTTATGTCTGTGTGTGTGTGAATGCATGACTAAGGCTACCAAACAATCCTCAATCTTGATCTGTAGTTGTTGCTGTTTTGTGCCTGTTTGTATTTGTTAACACGCAGCACAGTCCTTGAGGTGCCAGAGCCATGTTCTGCCCAGGGTGCAGAGAGCAAATGGTGTAAAATCAGGTGTGCATGTTGAGGCCTCGCAGCGTGTTTTCCTGGCACTGTGAGAAGTCTTATGTAACTGCTTCTAACAGAACCCTTGGCACTGCTACAAAAACCCCATAGAGACAATAAGAGCACGATAAATACAGAGGTGGGCTGTAAATAAGGACTTCTCTGACTTTGAAGGTTTGGTGGGTTATTTAAAGAAAATATCAAAAATTATTTAAGAAAAAAAATCCCACTGTTTTGTAGTGTTATGTCTATTTTCACTGTATTGCATTATTTAAAGAAATTAAAATAAAAAAAAAATGTATAAAAAAAAATCATGAGTAACATGTTGGTGGCCAAAGTTAATCAACCTGAATGATTATTTCTGCATCATTTCTCTTCATCAGCAGAAGATTAACAGATTAATCACTGATCTTTAAACACAGAGATCTACTCAAATGCTCCTGAAAGTTTGAATAACATCCATTTTCTTTTCATGCTTTTATTTTTTTTTGTCTGCAGCGATCATTTTACCATCGTTTAACAGGGGACAACAAGTCCGAAAAATTCTTCAAGGTGTTTTATGAGCGCATGAAGCTGGCGCAGCAAGAGATCAAAGCCACTGTGACGGTGAATACGAGTGATCTTGGCAGCAAGAAGAAGGATGAGGAACCCCCGGACAAAGACGCACCAGCATGCAAGAAAGGTTAGAGGTCAAGGGTCGAGGTCGCCAATGAGTTACCAGCATATACCTTGAGTGGCGTGTTTGAAAATCTCATTAAGTCGGCCTGCATACTTATTACCCAGAAATTGCAGTAATATATACAGTTCTCAGCATAAATGAGTACACCCTTTCAGAGTTGTCCGAAAATTTTTAGTTTCCTTTCAAAATCAACATTTTCTTTGTCAGACAATAAAACAAAAAAATCCCCCAAATTTAGTCCACTGATCACTAGCAAGATTTTTTAAGTTGCATACAAAAAAGTTTTTTTATTTTTTTTTTTATTTGAAATCAGGATGCAAAAATGAGTACACCCCAGTCAAAGTTCTGGGAGCAAAGCAGAATTTTAGTGACCATATCACCCTTATTTTCATCTTATGGTAAATAAAATGTTGTGTTAAACTCAGCTTTGTCAAAACTTTGGAAATTCTACTTTTGCTCATCTAGATATTGAGTAATACATTACTTTTAATAGGAGGTGTACTGACCTATCGTGCGCACTGTAGTACTTTGCATTTGTGTTTACAGTCTCGAGGTCTCTTTTTTCTTTCGTTAATTAAGTCTTGCTATTTTCTTGAAAAACCAGAACCGGTCTGTGCGTATGAATCATGATTCTGAAAAGTGTGCCTGTGTCGGTTAAATATTGTTTATAACACTGTTTTCCATCCATCTGTCTACTTGTCTGAACCTCCTGTACCTGTGGTTAGTCAAAGATGTGCCAGTGGTAGCAGTGGTGACAGAGGAGGTGAAGGAGCAACTCGTGGAAGCCTCCACCGTCACCAAGAAGGCCTTCACCACCTACCGCCGTGAAGTAGAGGCCGAAGAGCACCAAGCAGCTGCTGAAGGATCCCCTGTCCCGACCGCTGATAAGAGCCAGGAGGAAGGCGAGATGAGTGTCATCATAACCATCATGCAGCCCATCCTCCGCCTCATGCAGCTGCTCTGTGAGAACCACAACAGAGATCTGCAGGTCAGCCATGACATCAACTTGTCGCCTCTGTGGGCTTTTGTTTTTTCATAAACCCCACCATCCCCGACATGCTGACATTTCCTGACCTGTGCTCTTCATTTCACTACCACACAGAGTTACACAGAAACGAAACAGTGCAAAAAATAGGTACCATTTGCAGAACATCCTGATGCAGCTGTTTCCGTATCTGGTATGTCTTGGTCTGGTTTCACTATGAGGAGTGTGTTGGTGTTTAGTAATGGCTGGTTCGAGCAGCACAGCCGGTAGACTTCCTTTTTGCACTGATTCTGTTTACACCTAAACCAGACCAAGCCTTCATTAAAAGGTAGTTACTTTTATGCTGAATCGCTGTCTCCTCTATCGGAACTCAGCGTGGGTGTAAGGTATTGATTTACTGCCGGCTAGGCAGAACACATGATCAATTCATTGAGACATTGCTCTTCCTTTTAGAGGTATGAAGTGTCTGTCTTTGCTGTGGAAGGAGGTAAAATCATGATGAGGCATGAAACTTTGACTTTTAAATTTAGTGATGTCATGAAAAAGAGGTTTTTATTTTATTTTTTAAATAAATTTAAAAATAAAAAAGAAATTTAAAGTACAGAAAGAATATATTTTGGGTTTCCCCTCAAGTGAAAGCTTCCCTGAATTTTCTGGTATCAACTCAGCTATCAACTCCAGAGACTATGACAAACAAGCAGTAGGTCCTTAGTAAACACCAATATGTCTGTTTCTGTTCAATTATCATCCATCCCAATCAAAAAAAATCTATAGGTGCAAAGATTTATCTACAGGAATGTTTGTCACAGTGGTTCTGAGAGAGGAGATAAAACCCATCTTTGGTAAAAATTTATCTGTTTCTATTTGCAGAACTTGCTACGCAATCAAAACAACAAGAACAACTATAATTTGGTGTGTGAGACACTTCAGTTCCTGGACTGTATCTGTGGCAGCACAACAGGGGGACTGGGTCTTCTGGGACTTTACATCAATGAAAAGAACGTAGGACTCATTAACCAGACTGTGGAGAGCCTGACTGAGTACTGCCAAGGTCCCTGTCATGAAAACCAGGTGATACATAAACACGCAACAAGAGTGTGAGAGCTCACACTTCAACCTTTGTATGCACTGACATTCACCCACAGTCTGAGCAGTCAGTTTGGGGTGGAGAAAAGTTGAAGACATGCCACATCAGCGTCTTTGTAAGGGTTTGTAGACCGTCAAAAAAGTTGTCCTGGATGTTGTCGGTCAGAAACAACATTTTTTGATAACAGATCCATGTAATATTGCATTGATTTACTGGCCATTGCTGAGATATTGCTCCTGCTGAAATATTAATAGAAAGACAACTGCACAGGATAGCAAAAAAGATTTCCAGATAGTTTCCAGACAGTAAATAATGCAAAAGAAAAAAATATATTGTCATATAAAACAACAAACTTCAAATGTTTTCAGCTAAGAATCCACATGCGAGAAAAACCCTGATTTGGATTTCATTCACAGAACTGCATTGCCACTCATGAATGCAACGGCATTGACATCATAATCGCTCTCATCCTCAATGACATCAACCCTCTGGGCAAGAAGAGGATGGATCTGGTGCTGGAGCTCAAAGTGAGTGCTGGTAATAAGTCTGTTGGTGCTGAAGTATTAAATAATAGCTCCTATCGTCTTGTGCTAAAACAAAGCCAATAGTCTAAAAGTCCAGCCACACCCTTGTCTAATTTATTTAGCTAGCTGCAGTTGAGACACATGACGCTCAAGCCACAGCAGGAAATTAAACTAGCTAAATTGGGTGTGATAGATTTACCACACCTTAAACAAAACTCCATTGTGAAAAACATGGCAATAACTCATGACCAAATGAGGATACAAGCATATGAAGGAAAATATTTCACTCTCATTCAAAAGGCGTCTTTATTTCTTAACTGGCTGGTTGGTGAAGAAGGAAATAGATACCCCCTGTGGTCATTAGTATGCGACTGGATGCCCATTACTGAAGACATTGCCAATAAAATCTTTTATTAGCAGTGTCCTCAATAACTCAAACTATGTCAAATAGTCTCTTAGGCAAAACTTTTTATACCCATGACCTGGATGGCAGAAAACTTTCCCAGGCTTTTGATTTCACAGTTTAGAAAGGTTAACTGAAGTGACATTTATCTGTGCTCTCATCTTTTGCAGAACAATGCCTCAAAACTTCTTCTTGCAATCATGGAGAGTCGGCATGACAGTGAGAACGCTGAGAGGATACTGTATAACATGAGGCCTAAAGAGCTGGTACGTAACACACAACACAAGTCATCAGACAGACTTAAAAAGAAGCGACCTGACAATTTATATATTTGCAGGTGGAAGTGATCAAAAAGGCTTACATGCAGGGGGAGATAGAGGTCGAGGAGCCCCCAGAGGGGGAGGATGGAGAGGAGGAACACTCTGCATCCCCAAGAAATGTCGGACATAATATCTACATCTTGGCCCATCAAGTAAGGCAGCAGCTTTCTGTAACGTCAGTGTGGAGACCATAGACCGTATACACTATGGACAACCTGGCTCCGCCTTCAGTAATTATACGAATTTGAATTTGGTATTCACTACACAGAAAACACGAACCCCCTAATAACTTTTAAAAATGGAGCCGCAAGGAAAAAAGAGGACTTGAGCACAAACCAGTCTTACAGTGACTACATGTCAACATCGCAACCAGGGGGGGGAAACATGTATATTCTGTCTTATAAATTTCTAAAGTTTGTCCACAGCTCCATAGGGATTGCTGGAGGAAGAGGTATATGATGACCTATACTGCAGCCTGTCACTAGAGGGTGCTGTTCTTATGGTGGCTTCACCCAGCGAGGAGGCAGGCAGCGTCCATTCTATATACAGTCTATGGTGGAGACACATACATTCAGACACACTCAGGGCGTGATCACATGAAACACATCCAACCACCGTCACATTCAAGTTTATTACTGAACATTTCTACAGCTTTATGTTTGTGTCATTTCCCGTGTCTGCTTAAAACATGTGATACCTGCTTGTCTACACTCATCTCTCCTCGTTCAGCCCTCCGGCTGCTCAACCTTGATTTAGGTTAACGACAACAATCACAGTTATGCAACACCCACTGTCAATCCACATGCTGCAGCCTCATGCTGGAAAAGGAAGCATCTTACAAATCCCATGTCTTGTATCCAAAGGTTTACTGCCAGCATGTCAGTTTATCACATTTACACTTTCTAGACATGTTCTCCTGCTGAAAAAAGCAGAAACGATGTGTGTAAGGGTTTTTTCTCATCGGTCAGTCACCATTCATGTGCTGATGTATGTTTTCATTTCAGTTAGCCCGTCACAACAAGGAACTGCAGGCTATGTTGAAGCCAGGAGGGACTTATGGAGAGGGCGACGAGGCCCTGGAGTTCTACGCTAAACACACAGCTCAGATCGAGGTTAGTGATTGGATCCCTGTTCAAACTACACTGTGACATGTCAGATCTGCTGCTGTTGTTTTATTGTTTTAAATACCTACAACTTCACTCTTGTCTAAAAGCCATCCATCATCTATCATCAGACAGGATTCTAAGCATTGCAATCATCTTGATGCATGTGAAGGTATTTTCTTGGCCTGCTTTCGAGTCCCGTGGTGTTACCTAACAGAATGACAAGCACCTTTGGCATGTTTGCGCTTTTTTGTGTGCGCACAACCAATCAGAGGAAGGAATGTAGATTGTTGGAAGCATGCTGGACTAAAAGTTGTTGGTTCAGTTTTTTCAGCCTCTTAAGAAAATAACCTCTCTGTTTGTTTTACAAAGCACTCTTTGTCACAAGTACCAGTCAGACCATTTGAATGAATTGTCATCAACACCTGACTTTAAAGACGGTGTTACAGGTTCAATTATTTTCCTGATGACAGAGCTCGGGTAATGAGCTTCTGCTGCTTCTCTTGTTATGTCCAGATTGTACGGCTGGATCGCACCATGGAACAAATAGTCTTTCCAGTGCCCAACATCTGTGAGTTCCTTACCCAAGAATCCAAGCTGCGTGTTTACTACACTACAGAGCGAGACGAACAAGGAAGTAAGATCAATGACTTCTTCCTGCGCTCAGAGGACCTTTTCAATGAAATGAACTGGCAGAAGAAGCTGCGAGGTACTCAAGAGGCTACTGGTAACACCAACACAGTCCCCTGTACGTCTTTCTCCTCAACTCTTTACTTCTTAGTTCCAGGTTTACATGTTTTCCTCCCGCATCCCTCCAGGTTCTAAATCATTTTTGACAGACATACTCAAAATATGTGTTTTTTTAAAAATAGCATAAAGCTTTGAATCACTTCTCTAAGGTCTTTCAGAAGTGTTTAGTCTGTTTGTGATAAAGAAAGTGATGAACAAGCAGCTGCATGATCACTTCTGTTATTCATTGTGCTACTTTTAGTAACATGGATTCTTTCTTTGCAAGTAAATATTCCCAAAACTGGTTTAGTGCATTATTATCTACACCTTTATAAATCTCAATCAAAGACCCATGCAGCACTCAAATTAGAAACCGAACAAAGTTGGAGGTTCTGTAACTGAAAGGTCCTTTAAAATATCATTAAAATCTCAACTAATCATGTCTTAAATACATCACTATTTGTTATGATCATGTTTCTTTCCTTTTTATGAATATTTCATTGTCTTTATCACTGTTTGCTGATTTGTCTGTGTTCTTGTATCTGTTTGACCTTTCCCTAATCATTGTACATGTGTAACCTGTCTGTGTACTTAGTTGTCTGCACCTTATGTTTTCTCTGTCCTGACAGGAGTGGAACTTTGTATCAGCCTATCAGCTTCATTCCCTCCCTGCACTGTTTTTAATCTGTGCTAAATAAACAAATCCTAAAAAAAAAAAAAAAAAAAAAAAGGTGCTGCACTCTTATCCCCAAATCAAAACCCTGGAGGGATGGAAATGAAGGGAGCACGTAAACCTCAGTCCTTTTCATGCTCACGGTCTTTGGCAGAATATAAGCGCCCTTGTCACGTCTCCTTTTCAATTTGGATGTCTCAGAGGTGTTACAGTGGGACCACTAGGGACCATCAAGTGGTTTCACCCCCTGCACTGCTGGCATTGGGGGAAGTAACAGGTGTTCATAGACGAGACAGGAGACGTTTGTGTATCTGATCAGAGTGAGGCGTCTGCTGTGTGTTTGCTTCTTCAAAGCTTTATCACAACGCAAAGTGACGCACTTGGACACCAATTTTGAGCAGTTAAAGAATCATAATGAAAGTACAAAACGTGATGATGACGGTGGGGCTGCAGTTTCACTGACTTTCAGTATGAAAAGGACTCCTGATAAGCATCTTATTACAGAACAGCATAAGTCCATAAAGTCTAAGATATTAGAATAAAGCATATTTCTGTCTGCTGCTGTTTAAATATGTTTCTCCACGAGTTGCATTAAAACATCTCTTCTTTGACGATTGACTGTTTTAAAGCTGTAAAGAGACCAAACAAACCAAAGCCGTGAATTTATTGTCTTTATTTAATCTGTGCTCTGTATCAAAGCATGTTCTGATATCCTCATTACTTAGAATTAGATCAAGGTCCTCAGGGGCCCATAATGCACTTGCCCTGACATGGACATGCTACCATTCCAAGTCTTTAGCCCTCATGAAGTCAACACTTTCTATTTATTGCCCCTTTAAGTGTCTCCGCTCTCCCCAATCGCTTCTAACTTGGATCCCCACACCGAAGGACACATTTTCTTACACCTTTAGTCCAACCCAATTAGCACTCCCAAGTGTCTGCTTTTTCCAAGTTTGGACTGCAGTCTACTGTAAATGTGAGCTTATTTTACATTAAAATGACCTGCATTAATTTGTCTCAAAATCTGTCCTTTAGCTCAGCCAGTCCTGTACTGGTGCTCTCGGAACATGTCATTCTGGAGCAGCATTTCCTTCAACCTGGCAGTCCTCATGAACCTACTTGTGGCCTTCTTCTACCCCCTGGAAGGTGTCCGTCGAGGTCAGTCTGGTTAAACATGAATCTTTTTACCTTTGAGTCGTTGAGACGTTCATGTTGTTTTGACTCAGCTAACGTTCACAGGTTTCATGGATCCACCACATTAATATGTTTTTCAAACAGTAGTTACAATTACTTTCAAATGTACTCAACTTAATAATCAACTATAAATACAAAATGGATATACAGGAAAAAGAAGAGTTTTTTCCACTATTGACAGACTTTTGAATGAATGAGTTTACAGTGTTGAGTGGTTTGCATGTTTTTCATAGTAAATTAGTAGAACCGAGTGACTTTGAGGCTTAAAAGATAACTGTTATCAGGATGTCCCAATCCGATATTGATATTGGATATTGGTCCAATATCAGCAAAAAAACAAATATCGGATTATATCAGCCTGCATCTAAAATCTCAGATATCATCACTCCGATACAAACAGTCCATCCAGACTTCGCTCCAGCACCTCTATCTAGCAGCGCCCGGATCCAGCATGCAGAGCCCACGTGATGTTGGCCATGTCGCAGTATTTTTCTTTTAAGTCTGAAAAAGTCTTTGTAGCTGAGTGCAAGACTAGTCATGCACAAGTTTGTGCTTATATCGAATCAGTATCGGAAGTAAAAAATTGTAACGCGACACCCCTAGTAACTGGCATCTTTTTCATTGTAGTAAAAACGGGCCTCAATGACCAATACACAATAGTTTTAACTGTCTTTAGGCTTTATGGCTCCAGGGAAAATATGGATAGATGTTGCTTGTTATGTATCTGGGGTCTTCTGCGATTCCACTTCAGTTTTTCCCTCTGTGTTAACAAAGTACTGTGCCACTGAGTCCCATGTCTAGTTCTGCCATTAACTGTAACCTGTTCGAGTTTCATCAGCTGTGAGGCAGGAGACATATGGCCCATGATGTGTTTTATCAGAAACTTCAAGGCAAAGATGAATGAGAAATCATTGTACCATTGCTTGGTAAGGCTCCTGCGAAGACCCTAGTTTTTGGGTTCCCCGAGGACAAAGTCATACTTCATACATCTGTTCAAATGCTGGTCCAAAAATGTGTATAAACTGTGAAGCGGCCACCCACCACAAGCCAGGAGTGTAATTCAGACATCATGTTGGAAAGCTTTGCTGCTCAGATGCAAACAGGTTCACATGGCAGGTGGCTTCCTGTCGTGCATTGTGGTTTGTTTAAGGCTTTGATCGAGGAAAAGGGGGAAATAGTGTCATGAATGCTGTGTCGGGTAAAACAGGTTTTAGACCAACCTGAGCCATGCACAACCAGCAAAGACACATGAACCTGCAAGGAGAACTAAAGGCCAGCAGTGTTGGCTCTGCAGATGTTAGCCACACTAAGTAAACCAAAAAATTTCAAAATTACAGCAGCATAGTACAGATAAAAAAGACAAAATTAAAGAATAAAGAAAGTTTGAGTTAAATAGAGATATGTACACAAGTCTTATTTACATGTGTACAGAACACACTGAGGTTTCTGTTGTGGAGTTTGATAGCTGCAGGAAGGAATAAACTGCGATACCTCTCCGTCACACACTTTGGGTGGAGCATCCTGTCCCTTAAGGAGCTCCTCAGTGCAATAAGTGTGTGTTGGAGGGGGTGAGAGTCTCTGTCCAGTATGGAGGACAGCTTGCCTGTGATCCTCTTCTCCCCAACTTCCTCCACAAGTTCCAGAGGGCATCATCCCAGGACAGAGCTGGCCTTCTTTATGAGTTTGTCCAGCCTCTCCCTGTCAGCTGCTGTGATGCTGCTCCCCCAGCAGACCACTCCATAGAAAATGGCAGAGGCCACCACTGAGTCATGGAAGGTGTTCAGGAGTGCCCCCCACACCCCAAAAGACTGTTTGACAGATAACCCCCAGACTAAATCACTTTATAACACCCCTGCATTTAGGAGTGAGATATACTGATTCTGATATGGAGAGTTGGACTAGTGTTATGGTGTTAGATGATTTATGAAACTTTTAGTTTCCCATACAATGACATAAAACTCCACAGCCACTCTCCCCGATATATAAACCAGCTGCATAGGCAACACCAGGATTTGACCATGTTTAATTTGGCTGTCTAAATTGGGATCTGTTGAGAATTTCATGGCTTTTGCAGCCAGCCTCAAGCTGACCCTGAACTAACTGCAGTTTTTTGCACTTTGGTAAGCAATGGACCGATACTGTGAGTCAGCACCTGTTGGGTCTGAACTACGACGTTAAAAAAGACAAGCATCTGTGACTGATGTTTAAAGAGAGGGGAGCTTATAAGACCACTAAAACTTGCCCCTGATCAAAGCTCTGGGTTAGTTTGTAAAATAAAAAAAAGACCTGGTAATGCCGCATTCATTTTCATTTTCCTTTGTCCTACTCAGGTCTAAATATGTTTTTACATATGCACTTAGTCTCCATGAAGTGTTTGAGATGCATGTGTGGATGCCAATGGTCCTTTTTTTCTTGCTCCCTAAAAAAAATCTGACAAAAAGATTGTGTGAACAAATGTTTGTATGCAGCAAATAAAATCATCTTATTGTATAGCAACCAAGCAGGGGTGATGGCATTCGAAGAACCACTGAGCAACAGGCGCCGTCTGCATGTATGTGATAAAGCTCCTTTATTGTCTTTTCTGCTTAACTGGATGTTCTTTTGCAAACATTAGTTTGAAGCGTGAAAACATAGTAACATAAATGATGTGCTTTTGTAATCACACATTAACATTAGTTCATATAACACATGGTTTTTATTTGGAATGAAATAAGTTTACACAGGGGGTGAACTGCACTTCTTACTCCTTCTTGCCGTGGTTTGGGTGTATCTTCACACCTCTCTAACCAAGATAAACACTCAAATGGAGGTGTTATGGGTACACAAACCAATAAATGACATTTCCACACTGACAGTTATTTCACCCACGATGGTGGATAGAAGTGATCCCACTGCTAGTTACAGAGGTCAACAGTCAACTCAATTGGTAAAACTTTCTTTTTGTGAAACTTCTGGAGTGAGATCAGGTCCTGGGAAAGATCCAAAGATATGACCTTGTACTCCACACCATATTAACCCCGGGTCAGGCTGTGTCATGTGCCCAACATTTAAAGATTTAAAGTTGGAAAATCTGTCTGCCGTGGGGTCACAAGATGTGACAGATCAATGAAGAGGTAGCTTCGAGGGGATATCACAAAGTGATACAAATTCCTGCATGAAGGGAAGTGTTGACTAACCAAAGGGATGAGTGACAGACCTGTGAGCACCTCTTCACTTGCAGTTTCAGTTTTCTGTTTATTTTGCCGTCACTAATTCCTTTCTTTTTTTTCAGTTCTCCTTGAGGGCAGTATTTGTGGGGATGTGAAAAAGCCACAACTGTGAGAGCTTGTATTGTTCTCGTGCCGTGTAGCACAGAGAAGACACACATTGTGATCCGTATAAACTTTCAATTGTTCTGTGTGGGGTCAAACGGCGAGGTCCCTTTTGTGTTAACTTCCTAACAGCAGTATAGAAGAGACAAAAAAGAGGTTGTTAGCAGAGCTCTTGAAACTCCATGTGGTTTGTAGTGTCAAAGGTCTTCTGAGAGCTTAGCAGTTCATTCCAGGGCACTCTAATATGGACCATCTAAAAAAAAAAAACAGCTGCTGCAAAGTTAATCATTGAACATTTGTACATTTTACACCAACGCATGCACATCAAGTGGAAGTCATGGATGTAAAAAGGGGGAAAGGTGAAGCTCACGCAGAGGTGTTACAGGCTGGCCTTGGAGCTGGTCTTCTTTTCCGTTTTCCTGTTAATGAAAACTAAAACAAAAACAGAAAACAGAGCTAATGCAGTTAATCATACGAGCCAAACAACCAATGTTTGGCTTTGGTCCAATCAATCATCATCATAAAATCACTTTTTTTACATTTTAAAGACAATTTAAAGACATTTTTTGATTTAAATTGATTGATTTCCAGATGTGTGAATGTCTTAGACAACATGAACAACACCTCTCTCACATTGTCTCTCCGTGGGTGTTTCCTTGAGGTGGTTTGTTTAAAGTGAAACTGCGGTTGGGAACTTTTTTTTTTCTTTAGGGGTCAGATCTGCTATAGTCAAAGAAAACAGTGCAATGAACAACTGCAGGCTGTTATTTCTGTTTTAAAGCTGCTTTTAGCGACATTAAAGATAGGTGGGTGTTTGACCAATTGTCGCTCAGTCCTATTCATAACCTTATACAGAGAACAGCCTCAACCTGGTTGTTCAAGCAGAAATTAAAGCGCCACAGAAAAAAGCGAGACAGAGCAATGAATGATCACTGTAAATATGTGACGTACAGGCTGCTGTCTCTGGGTTAGCTGCCAAGTCCAAGAACACAGGCAGCCTGTTACGATGCAGGACCATCCCTGATGAATTTAGCGGGAGCCAAGTGTATTTTTAGCCAACTGGGTTATGTAACGAGTACCTGTTATGTGATGTGGACACAGCAAGGGAAGAAAAAGGCCTCACAAGGGAGGAGATGGAGGCAGACACTCTGTTAGTGTTTCTTTGGTGCCTCGAGAGAAAAAAAAAAACAGACTAGCCTCATTTGCAGATGGACAAATGCAAGTGTGGGCAAACACAGAGAGAGATCAATACTAAGCACAGGTAGTGCAGAGCCTTTCCTCCGCGTGCTGGACGGGACTTGGCATTGAGCTCAGGTCTGGTGAGCTGATGATAACACTTTGCTGAGCTACAGTAACAGAGGTGAAATACCCATCTGTTGTGTGAAAGTCAACACGTGCACACACAGGAAACTGTTCATGAATGTAACTGCTGTGTTTTTTTTTTTTCTTTTTTTTGTTGTTGTTATATTTATTCTCACCCTCATTTAGCTGGAAAATTAAAAAAAAAAACATTCAAAAAGATGGAATTTAGATCTAAGAAGTCTCAGTGTGTGTGGATTCTGTATAAAGGAAGTGTATTTATGGTCGTACAAATCGCTGCAGGCAGGCATAATCTAGTTCAGCATTTGTATTGTCAGGATTATTCTGTGTTCTGAAACACAGATCCCAAATCATGGCATCAATCTCCTAAACCTGCAATGAAAGCCGACAGCTCCTGTCCTGGTACAGGGTTTACCAAACCTCCTGTAATGCGAGCTTTGTTATGCTTTTTCAGACGCCTACAATATTTCTGTCAATCCTATTTTAGGTACGCTACATGTCTCACTGGATGCTGAATTTGTTTACACACATTCTTGAATACAAGTTGACAAATTCCTCAGGTTTGGCTAAAATGCTCATACACAGATGTATATACACAAATGTATGTGCTCTGTGTCCAAACAAAGGCCCTGGAGTCCATCTGTTTATAATTTGTTCCTCCTGCTGCACGTTATAGTGATTTTTTTCATGTTACAAATCTTTCTGAAAGATTTTTATTCATGCTATATATTTGAATGTTTTTGATGGTTGCAGAGAAGTGTTAACCCTGCATAACTGAATAAGGATCTTGTCAATGTGGAAAAAGTTGTTGCTAAAATTGAATAACAGTTGTCGTGCTTTAAATGGTTGACTCCTCAGGTACCCTGGAGCCTCATTTGTCTGCGCTGCTGTGGATGGCCATGCTGGTTTCTCTTGCCATAGTCATAGTCTTGCCTCAACCTCATGGCATCCGGGCGCTTATTGCCTCCACCATCCTGCGCCTCATCTTCTCTGTAGGACTGGAACCCACTTTGCTCCTTCTGGGCGGTTTTAATGTAAGTGTCCATCATTGTGTTCAGAAAAGACCATGTTTCTTTACAGCTGTAGATTAATGTATGCTTTGTGGAAACACTGCATGAACACAGAGATAATAAACAGTAGGATTCATGGGAAGTGTTAAGAAATAATTCAAAGTGGTGTTGCAGCACAAGCATTATTGTAGATGTGAGTGAAAATGTTAGTTTGGCTACTTTAATATCCTTATATCCTTGTGCTCTTGATGATGAAGTCTGATTTTGCTTTGTCTCTGTTGTGTCCATGGCTGGACAGTTTTGTAATAAGGTCATCTTCCTGATGAGCTTCGTTGGGAACCGTGGAACCTTCACTCGTGGCTACATAGCCATGATCATGGATGTGGAGTTCCTGTACCACTTGCTTTACCTGATTATCTGCGGCCTCGGGGTCTTTGTTCATGTCTTCTTTTACAGCCTGCTGGTAAGTGAGGACACACAAAACGTGATCACATTAAAACTTCTTCTTTCTTGTTTTACTTTTCCAATTTCTGAATAATACGTCTTTGCAGCTTTTTGATCTGGTTTACCGAGAAGAAACCTTGCTGAACGTCATAAAGAGTGTGACCCGAAACGGACGATCCATTGTTCTGACAGCCGTGCTGGCTCTTATCCTCGTCTACCTCTTCTCCATTGTGGGCTATATCTTCTTCAAGGATGATTTCATTTTGGCCGTGGACAGGATACCCAACAAAACATTAGGTATGTAGTGTAAGGGATCAAGCAACCAGGCAAAGGACAGAGGTGTGGAAAGGATCTTGATCCTTTAGATCACTTAATGTGATAGAAAAGTCAACAAAATCCTGGCCCACACTAAAAGAGGTCAACTCTGCAAAAAAATAACTAAAGTTACAACCTAACAAACATAATCGAACAGACCTCTAAGTGATACGCGTCGGGAGTTTAAATAGACAAAGGACTAGTCCAACATAAACACAAGGGGGAAACTAAGGTGACTGCAAACTAAACATCTAACAAACTCAGCAAAACACCTTCAAACTATCCAAACCAACTATTTACAGAAAAAAAACTAAATACTCTGCTCTAACTGAAAAGGTAAAGACTAAAGTTTTATAAAGAATCAAAAGTCTAAGTTCCTCCTTGCTTCCCCCTTGATGGTCTGTCCCACTTCCTGTTGGTTGGGCTTAAGAGGCCATCTTGGAGCTGCAGACAGCCTTGTGTCAGGAGCTCGAACAAAGTCAAACAAAAAAAGAAAGTATTGCTTTGAAATGTCATAAACTCAAGTTAAATCATGATGTAGAAAATTAAACCATGTGTCGCAGTTTGTTAACTAAATTATGTGCACCCAAATTAAAAAACAACTGCCGTAAATGCAATAAAAGTGACTTAATTTTAACAATCAAAAAAATATATATATTGTGTTTTTCTTAAACTGAAACAAATTTACTGTTAAAACCTGAAGACAAAGAAATACTAACACAAGGTGATTATTGAGGCCACTTTATGTAGATTGAAAAAAGACGTTTTGTGGAGGCTGAGCATCTCCAGATCCAGTAAACACTCACACTTATTGAAAGTTACTGCACACCGAGTCAAAGGGAAGCTAAGAAATATAAAAAAAAGCGTGAGTCCACTTTGTCTTAATTGCATTTATCTAGATGTTTAGGCATGCTTTGCGTCATGTGTCACTGTGGATCTCTGCATCATTGATTTGCGTCACAAATTGTAAATCTAAGATGTGTTTATTATTGGATAGAGCATGGGGCCAGTATGGTCGGCGAGTTCTTCTCTGGGGCAGTGTGCCAGAAGGAAAATGGGGAAAACTGTTCAACAGAGACCATGATGGATGGTAGGTTGAGCGAAGCCAAAGGTAACTTTGTGTGCATGTTTGTGTGGGATTGGGATGGGGGGGGGGTGGACAATGGGGTTGGCGGGTTTCTTTAAGCTGGAATCCACGTGTTTGTGCATGCATGCATGTGTCTCGGGAATTCCAAGTGTTTGTGTGTGTGTGTGAGTGTACGTGTATGTCTGTCCACATAAGGGTCTTTATGTCCTCCCAGACAACTGACTCAGCCAGAGCAGATTCATCCTACTGAGCTGTAAATCTGGGCAGTAGGTTAGTCATGAGATTAAACCTGGCTGGGCCAACTGGGGTCTTTTAAGGTTCTGGGTGAAATGCTTTGGGTTTAGGCTCCTTGTGTGTCTAAGGGGACAGAGCCAAAGACCTGATGTAGGGGCCTAGGGGTGAGAGGTCAGGGATTAATCACCATCAGGCACAAGCAGGTCACTGAGTCCACTTGGGGATGGCTCAAAGAGTCTCTCACGGCAAACCACTAGTTCTTGCAAACCTGTTAAACCTACTGACCTTGATGGGGAAAAGCCTCCAATGAAGTAAATCTAATAGACCAGCCAACCATCTAGAATCCCCTTACTCCTGGGGGTCTGACCCTGTCTCAGCTTCCACGTCTTATACTGGTGGCTTGTCTTGTGATAGTAGACTGGTGACTTTTTAGTTTGTGAGTAGTTGAGGACGCTCCCATTGTTCAAATCCTCACATAGCCTTCATGGGATCACTTCAATCAATCCTTAATCAAGGGTCTAAAATGAGTTTTCAAATGCATGTACCGTGCCATTTTTATGTGTAATCTGAGGTCACAGACTTCTATATTTCAATGCCAGTGATTGAACAGGGAAATGACCAAGTGTGCTGTTATATTTTTATAGCTTCCCTTGCCGTCCAACCGTCCGCAGTGGTGATTGAGGACAAGGAGCGAGCATGTGACTCCCTGCTCATGTGCATTGTCACAGTATTGAGTCATGGCCTCAGGAGTGGAGGAGGTGTTGGAGATGTCTTGCGGAAACCATCCAAAGAGGTAAAAAAGCACAGAAACAAAGCAGTGCAAAATGAATTGTGGGTCCTGGTTTGGCGTTAAAATGGTACACTACAGTCTAGAGACTTAATTGTAGCACTCAGACAATAAAGAGCAAAAATCATCAACCTTGCCTGCACAGTCCTCTGAAAGAGACAGAGATTAGATTGAGTTAAAATGTTTCATTGCTCTGAAATGTTTGACGAGTTCATGATTTAATTTGATTGACCCCGATTTCAAAAAGTACTTAACATATTTGACCCCGAGAGCTGAGGGATGGTTAATTAAATCTCCCGAGAATGAGGTGGCTTGTTCGAAATGAAGTAACGGCAGTAGCGCATAACATGGACTATTACAAGGTCAGAGCAGAGGGCTTTCATACCTACAAACAAGCATTAAAGGTACTTATCCAGGATGAGGACTGCTGTATGTGTTAGAAATGGGTCTTAACCCTCAGAATGAGAGCATTACTTGTTCATGCTTATTTCACTCAGTAGAAACCGATTCAAGATAAATATTTATTTTGTGATGCTGAATTATCATCAGTCATCTTGGAGGTGATGAAGCCAGTCAAACTGAAAACTGGTTAGTGATTGGATGGACACACATAGCAGCGGCATGAGTAAAGTGAGGGAAGAGAAACCTTTGTTTTAAAAAGGCAGAAATTAAATGATAAACCTAACCATGTAAGTGCGGGGTAGTGCTATTGGATAGATGTGATTGGATGAAAACAGCTGGTGGTTTTAGGAAACATGATTGAACTTAAGCTCCAACTCCATCTTAATCAACAGGGATGGGAATTTCCCTGACATAGTACCGTGTATGTTAAGAGCTCACTTTGAGTCACGCTAATCTATTATCCCGGAGACACGACCATATTTTGCGCCATATTTACCCCCTAAATAAACTGTAAAACCAAACATCTGATTCATGAGCAATAGAACATCTCATCTTTAAATTGTCATTGTTAATATTTTTAACTTGATATAAAAATTTTGTCTGTTTTTATACGATGGAGTATAAGGTCCACATTACGAAAAAAAAAAGACTTCGAGATTAAAATCGTTAATTTACGAGAAAAAAGTCATGATGAAACCATTACTGGAGAGAATTAAGTTGTAATAAAATCATTATGATACTTATGATAATGTGGTGCTGATGTGTCAAAAGATTAAGTATCTCCTTGTTTGAGAAACTTATATTGAAGTACATTTTCATGAAATGCTCCATGGCTCTCATTTTAACAACTGTCATATGAGTTAGAATATAGGAACTTTGTTCTGACCTTATTCTTGTAAATAGTTACTTCATTACAACCTTTTTAATCTTGAAATTTTGATTTTTTTTCACGTAATTTTGACTTTTGTAAATTTGACTTTAATTTTGAAATGGAAATTAAAAAAATCTCCTTCTTCTCGTCTTGTAGCCCTAATCCTCTTTCTTAGTTTTTCATTGTTCTTGTAAATCAACATGAATATATTATTATTTAATGCTTTTAATTGCAAATAAAGTATTCTTATCAAAGTAAAGTTGGTTCTAAATCAGTCTTGTTGCCATATGTGCAAATTAAATCAAATTTTGATTTTATTCCTAAGCAACTGGAAGTGGTATCAAACTTTTTTTTTTACACTAACCTTGTGATTTGTTTAGTAAAAAAGACATTTCCTGTGTTAAAACGGCTGGTATTATGTTGTGTTTTTTTACATGTTTCCACCTTTCTGGTTTTGGCAGGAACCCCTTTTTGCAGCCAGGGTGATATACGACCTGCTCTTCTTTTTCATGGTCATCATTATCGTCCTTAACCTCATCTTTGGTGTCATCATTGATACATTTGCCGACCTGAGGAGTGAGAAGCAGAAAAAAGAGGAAATCCTGAAAACAACATGTTTCATTTGTGGTAAGGAAATAAATAAAAGCAGATGTTTTTCCTTGTTTTATTTCTATGTGGGGGATATTACTTAGTTAGTTGAAAACCTATTCTTCAAAAGTCAGTGAATTTGCTGCCTTGCTCACATTAGTTTTGCACTTAAAGCCACTTTCCTTGTTCAGCAGTCATCCAAAGACAGACACTGTTTTGAGTGTCTTCATGACCCCGTCACACATCACCTCGTCTTTTTCTTGTCATTGATCTATAAATAGTCATATTCCCTTTTGATTAGCAGAATTTCACACACTTCAATGCAACTTTCCGTGAAACATTTGTTGTGCTGAACCAGTAAGTGTGAATACTGCAGCTTGCAGATGATAATGAAAGAAGGAGAAACCGAATGATGGGTCTGCTCTGAGCCTGCTCTCGTATGAGCGCATGAATACAGTATTGCAGCTGCACATCAGGTCACTGTGCGAAATGGGGGCTGTTTTTCTGGGTAGTCTAAGCAACTTAACGCCTCTTCTTCCCAGAATGAATGATTAGTCACGGTAGGTGCTGCTGTGAAGGAGAAGTGTTTCTTCCTGTCGTCACATTGGTCTTGACCAATTTAAAGTGCACACTCATTCAGTATTGATGACATCCGTTGAAATCGTCACTTATTACTAATTCACTCAAACCATCATTGGTCGTTGAGAGTCATTCTTACCGGTTTGTCTTGGAAAACTCAAAAGAGGGTAATTCCTTTTTTGCAAATGCAATTGAGGGATTTGGAAAGACAAACCCATGTGACCAAATCTCACTTCTTCTCACACTTTATTTTTGCTAGTTACCTTTTGACCTTATTTCTTCTTTCTTCTTTTTTATACAAGAGAATCGTGTCATTTTACCACACAAAGTGAAAGAAATAAAAGCACTACGTTCACTGTGTGTGTGTTTGTGTGTTTGTGTGTTTGTGTGTGTGTGTGTGTGTGTGTGTGTGTGTGTGTGTGTGTGTGTGTGTGTGTTTTCCTGTATGGGGTTGCACTCTGTCATTTTAAGGTTTGGAGAGAGACAAGTTTGACAATAAGACGGTTACCTTTGAAGAGCACATCAAAGTTGAGCACAACATGTGGCACTACTTGTTCTTCATCGTCCTGGTGAAGGTGAAAGACTCCACAGAGTACACCGGCCCAGAGAGCTATGTGGCTGAAATGATCAGGGTGAGTATCATCAATGTATGCTGTTACGTTGTCATGATTATTATCAGTAGTAGTGGTAGTTGTTGTTGTATTGTTATTACCATTTTTTTGTGGCAGTTATATCGCGTAGTATTAAGTCAAAAAACTACACCACTCCTTTCTCAGAACCTGGTGATGTTGTTTTCACAAGCAGAAAACCAAATTTCAGCACACCTTCCCTCAAAATGAACATTTCCTAACAATAATGTGCTCAGTTGCAGTGAAAATTAAAGCACTTCAATGCAAATGAAACAACAAACAAAAAAGTATCAGTGGCCTTTTCAAATGCCAGAAAATGGCTTCAAGAAATCTGCACCTCCTCCCAAACAGACTTTCTGCTTTGGCGTGAGAAAGACAGTTGCATCACTTCATCCCATAAACCACATGTGAGAATGAGTGTATTTCTACTGAAGTTCATGTTTAACCCGATTTTTTTCTCTACAATGTTTTTCCGCCCACTTTGAAATGCTATGTTGCAGATATTTACAAAAGATTTAACCAAAACTCCACTACAGAAATCTTGAAATTGGAACGTCTTAGCCTGTCTTTTTTTATTTCTTTACCTCAGTTGTAATTATGATCTGTTTGCCTTACAAGTGACAAAATCTTTTTCTCAGCGACCCATCATGAGGAAGTGCTTAAAAACATCTATCAGATACAGCTGTGGTATTGATTTTCGGTTAGCTGATTAGAGCGGCTTTTATTTCTCCGAAACAGCGACGGGCCATGTTTCTTGTTTCTGCCTCAGAGGCCCAGAGTACCAGGACTGCATTATGTAATCTCTGCCTCCGTGACCTTGAATCCCTCCAAAGTATTATCACATCAGTCAGCTTTGTGAATGGAGAATTAACTTTCAGACAATGTCTGCTATCGGCATAAAATGTGTAAATCCCCAGAAGCAGCCATGCTCTGCTTTAATCAGTGGACACAAGTATTCTCACACACACACACACACACTCACACACACACACACACACACAGGTCGCACAAATCACCTAATGCACGGCACTTAGCCAGACTGAGACGCAGCCTCATGACTTGTGTTTTGCTGCAGTGTTAAAGATCAGCAGACACTGAAAATATCTAAATATGATTAACTTAATTTACTTTTTTTTTAATGATTTTTTTTACATGTAATTTTTATTTATTTATAGATTAATATAGTTCTTAGGACCCAGTTGGTTATTTAAGCAGTGAATTCTTTTAAAAGATGACAAAAACACTTGAGAAAATTATCTTTAACAACTTTATTCAAATCATATCACTGACAACATTAAGAAGAACTTTATTAATCCCTGAAGGGAAATTCAATTGTCTGTTGTCTCACATAATATGTAATGTTAAGTTTAAACTATATATCAAGATCATACATGTTACAGCAGAACACCCGCGGCGTGAAAGCTCAGCATTGCAGCTCCAAAATATTCACAGTACAGCTCACACACACACATACGCACGCACACTCTAGCATGTGTGATTGAACAGGAAGACTAGAAATGTGCAATAAAAACGAGAAAGAAAATCGGTGGTTGTAATGTTTTGGCTCTGACATCATACCTGTGACCTGTGAACAGCTAGAAAGTATTTTAACTGTCAAAGGAAAGCCCCTTTTTCTGAAGTGGTTGCTTCTTTGACGCACTTGCACTGCTGTCGGTTTCTGACACAGTTTCTCATTAGCTGCCATTCAGCCCACTCAGTTGCCTTTTGCCTTTATCTGCTGCGCTCAGTCTTGTGAGGAACCACCTGATTTGGGATTAACCTCCATCCTCTTCCCCATTAACCTTGCACCCCACTGAGCCCAAATGAGTTTGTCAAGGGTGTGTTCTGACCAGTAGTTAGTAGGGCAGACAGGGCAGACAGGGTGTGCTCGGTGCAAAAGACCCTGGTGACCTGTCAGCTGACCCAATCATCCTTAACATTACTGCTCAGCTTCACATGCAAGTGTGGCCATCATGTCGTGTTCTCAGAGTTATCCAAAAAGGCTGCAGTAGTCACAAGGCTTCTCTCATGTAACACCAATAATTAAAATGTTAGAAGAAGAGTTTTTTATTATGTTTTTTAATTTATCAGTGATCAGTACAGCAAAGTATTAGGGCCACATTAAGAAAAAAAAGTTAGACTTCGAGATTAAAGTAGTTAATTTACAAGAGTCAAGTCATTTCTACCAAGAATGAAGTCGTAATAAAATCATTACTAATGAGAATAAAATCATAATAAAATCATTTCTTACGAGAATAAAATCGTAATAAAATCATTACTAACGAGAATAAAATCGTAATAAAATCATTACTTACGAGAAAAAAATTGTTATAAAGTAATCACTTACGAGAATAAAATCGTAATAAAACCATTACTTATGAGAATAAAATTGTAATAAAGTTATCACTTACAAAATTAAAGTCATAGTAAAATCATTACTTACACGAATAAAGTTGTATTAAAATCAGTACTTGCAAGAAAAAGTTGTAATAAAATCATCATGATACTTATGATAATATGGTGCTGATGTGTCAAAAGATTAAGTATCTCCTCGTATGAGAAACTTGTACTGAAGTACATTTTCATGAAATGCTCCATGGCTTTCATTTCAACAACTGTCATCTTAAACAGCAGGTTAGAATATAAGTGATTACTTTACTATGACTTTTTTCTCTTAAGTAATGATTTTATCTGTATTAACTATATTCTTGTAAGAAATTCTTTATTATGAATTTTTTCTCGTAAGTAATTACTTTATTACAACTTTATTCTCATAAGTAATGGCTTTATTCTTGTAAATTAATGACTTTAATCTTAAAGTTTTATTTTTTTTTCTTTATGTGGCCCTTATACTCCATCGTAGTAATAGTAAAAAAAGGAACAGAAGTATGAAATATATAAGTATTAGGCATTAAACTGCATAGCTGAATGCAAAATGAAATGTAAAATTCAGATTGATTGAAAAGGGAAGGCGTCATAATATATCATCATACTGAAGTATGACAATGTATCTGTTTTATTAAGTCACATGTTTATGTCACACATGTCTAATTCTTTTTATGAAGACCATAAAAAATCTGTCATTATTTTCCAAGTATTTGTTTTGAATAAGAGACACATAAAAGGCAGGTGAAATTTCACACTCAGGATTCACAGTTAAAAAAAAAAAAAGTAAAACAGTTATTAAGGGATCAAAACGAATATTTCCAACAATAATGATGAAATAATAAGACGAACCACTGAATCTCTACAAGAATCACTGCCAGACTGATTACCTCCAAAAGTTGTACAGAACAGGTTAGGCAGTCGTTTTTTTCCGTGCTGCAGATACATGGAAGAACAGCAGAACTTAAGGGGGTGAAATCAAGCTACTCTGATGATGACTGAGACTGATGATGATGATGAAGGGCTCTGAGGTTAGGGTGTCATGTCTAAGATGTTAAAAATGAGCCCTGATCACGAGCAAAGCAACATTTTACTCGGGCTCAGTGAACGGATTGAAAATATCTGCAGATCTCAGAGTGGTCAAATATGCCTCAGTTGTACCTGTCTGTTCCTAATTTAGATGTGGGATGTTATTCTCATACTTTTGACTGAGTGGGCTGTCAGCTTCGTCAGGTGTCTTGTGGCATGACTGTGACGTTTGATGTTGCTGTCTTAACCACACAACATCCTGTTTCTCTGTTATGGCACTGTGGTGTTAATAATGAAAGATGTACTTCCGTCATTTCCATTGAACCAGTGTGAAGCAGAATCTGTATCGTAGCGGCACTTCTCCGTTTACTGGAAGTGCTTTGGCTTGTCAACATATGGGATGGAAAGAGGGCAGGACTGCTGGTGACTAAGACAGCAAACAAGCACATGCACTTTTTGTTCGGGTGCATTTTTGAAATACAGCACTTGTATTTTTTTTACAGCTTGCACCCCTACAATGGAAACATTAGAGACAGAAGAATATACTTGATATATACTGTTGTTGTTTCTGCTTTAACAGAGAGACCAGTGAAACAAAGGTTTAACCAACACAGTGACAAAACTGCTACTTTCCTCTAAGTTTGACTTACAAAATTTGTTTATCATGACTTTTAATGTATTAACTCAAAGTTCAAGTGTTGTGACGTTTTTGGGATATCATTTCGAGGGGGTGTAGCAGGTGGATGAGGTAAACACTGCCTTTGTCACCCTGCAGTCAGGAAGTACAACTCACTCACAGCCGTTGTCTCCTCCTTTCAGATTAAGTATGTGTTGTTCTTTTTTTCAGTCTTGTGTGATTCCCCTTGGACTGCCTTATGACCCAGCTCTGGTTTGTGGTTTGAAAGGCCTTGTCACTCACACATCTGTGTCTGAATCAACCACTGAAACCTGGGGACTTTTTCAGTCCAGTTCTTCTACACAGCTCTGTTTCCAACCAGGGACCTCAAGGGCCTTGTAGCACTGTCCATCCCTCCTAGAGCTTAAGAGCGAATAACGGAGACGTAGCTGTGATGTTTTTGTATTTAAATTATGAAGAATTAAGTTTTATTCAGAAGTCAGGCAGTTCAAACCTAGCTCCTGTTGTCAAAATGATAAAATCACACTTTCATACCACTTTAGTTCTAAAAGGACAGTTTTGATCTGCAAGTTCACTCCATCGATCAATTTCTTTTTTTTTTTTTTTTTTTAACTAGAAACATCATTTGACATAGCTGATGACCCAGAATAAATAGGTCCTGTCCCTGCATGGGTCTTTGAGTCTCTGGATTTGCTTTTAATGCAATTGAACTTTGTGTTTATTGGTGTAATTTTCATTATCATTTATCATTATCATTATCATTATCAATTATCATCATGCCTAATATCATTCAACTGATGGCATTATAGAGGGTGTCATATACAAGGATACTTTTGAGTTGTTTTGGCTGGCTATGATTTTTATTTTTTTGAGTTGGAGTTCACTGTAGGTAAAATACATCTAGGTGTAATATTGTATCATAGCCCATTAACCATCAGCACTGACTAAAGTCACACACACACACAAATGAGTATATCAACAGGTCCCTCAGCAGTTCTTGTACCGTAGTGACGGTGCTGATAAAATCTGTTAACGCTTACTAGCAGTATATGTCTAAGCTCACATCCGAGCAAGAAGATATTTGACGTTTACTTCCCTTTCTTCAACCACCAAAATTCAAAAAGTGTGAACTTGGGTTCGAACAAAGTGCAACCATCTGTACACACACTTCCAGAAAACTCACTACTCTACACGTCACCGCAGCGCGTACAACTCAAATATTTACATCAGCAGAGTTATTTTAGTTCAAGGTGCCAAGCACACTTGATTTCAGTTATCTGTATAGCAGCTTATTACAGCCTTATTCTGTATCGCACAGGAGCACAGTGTCTTTTTTTTATACAACTGATGACAAAAATCAAAACCCATAACCTAACCTAAAAAACACACAAACACATAACCACGCACAGGCGTAAAAGAGGGCGCAGATGAATTTATCTGAATCAGTGTATCATAAAACCAAGAAGGGAGTTTACCAGAACCAAAAAAATTATTAAATGAAAATACAAAGTGAGCCCAAATTTTGCAAAGGAGACTCCAAGCTTCTTCTCATTTCTGTCAACACTTTAGATTATTGTTTTTTTGCAGTTTTTTTCTTATGTGTATATATTTAAAACCAGTTTATGTAGCCACAGTCTGAAGCACACAGTATGCCAGAGCAAGTGATTATTTGCTTTTACCAAGCCCTTCAGAAAAACGGTTTGAATGTGTGATGAGAGAGTTGGAAAAAGCCAAAATAAATAATCATATAAATACAAAAGTGATCCATCATTTGATTCACATTTCTCACAAATTGCAGACATGGAGGGGCATGACTTCAGAATGATGAAACAAGTAAATGATTTTGAACTGCCTCAAACTATGCCTGCTATTTATTGAGCAACTATGAACAAACAAAAGTGCTGTCTACCATAGTTTATTGGTTTTCCTTTACCCAGCCTGATAACACAGTTGATAGACACAGAGCCCTGCCAGAAGTAGTTCACACCCTGAGGTAAAGCCTCTCACTCTCTGGTGGAAAAAACAGCGAGCCTAGGAGCAGCATAGACATTTGACATACTTATAAACCCGCCATAATGACTTGCGTTTCTTTTTAACAGGAGCACAATTTGGACTGGTTCCCACGGATGCGGGCCATGTCGTTGGTCAGCAGCGATGCAGATGGAGAGCAGAATGAGATCAGGAACCTGCAGGAGAAGCTGGAGTCCACCATGAAACTTGTGTCCAACCTATCCGGTCAGCTGACTGAGCTCAAAGAACAGGTTGGTTAAACTGAGAGGGACAGAGTATCTCTGAATGCATCATTACGTATGAGAGATCGTTTTTAAATGTGTAAAACAGAGCTTGAGAATTGTCTGTTTGCGGCGCAGTGCTCTTAAAATGCAGAGCTCACTAAATGTTAAAAGTGATGAATCATAGTTCTCAGAGTAACTGAGGCCCTCATGCCAGAGTACCTGCTTATATTGTGCAGAAAGGCGAAGGCGGCATCAGTTGCACAACTGTTTCTAGTAAACAGTCTTTTAAAAAAAAAGTCTTTACCCTCGAAATGAGAACCTACTGTGAGGAAGTGAATGTAACCAAGACATTTTGACCCAGACAGGGGGAAATGATTGTCATGTTGCTAAAAACTACCAAGTGCCATGTGGTAATAGTCACATTTTGGCACCAAAAAACAAACAAAACAAAAAAAAATGAAGCCAGATTTGAGTTGTTATTGTCTATATCAAACAAAAATGTGCTGTGAAAGTGTCAGTTTATGAACCTGTCATTTTAAAATTGATATTTGGAGTACACATAAAGTCAAAATCACCAACAGAATTAGTTTTGAATTTGAAATACAGGGAATTAATTCTCTGTATTTCCAATGGAGAGCAGATTGTCACAGTAATAACTTTTAAGAGGAAACTAGACCCCTACCACCTCCATCCCCCACCCCCGCTTGCTGAGTTTAGACTCTTCACTCAGGGTGTTTTAATGATATTTATCTTTAACGTGCCTTTCTATAAAGGACTATTTCTCCTGCTCCACTCATTACAAGAACACTATTTCTCACTTTTAATATTGTTTTGTTTCGATGTTGAGGTGAAAATCTCTCTGTGTATTTCTTTAAGTTAATTCTTAGCAGAAAACGTGTTCTTATACCTCCTGGTATAAAGGTTAACACATGCGTTATGACTCATACGCTTTGCTTGATCTCTGAATATTCTTCTGACGGAGTTTCATTATTAGTTTTTTGTAATCTGTTGCTTTCGTCAGAAGATACTGCAATGTGTATAACACGGCTGGCTGGACGAGAGCTTCTGTTTCTCTTCAGCAGTGTGCAGAGTTTGTGCAGGAGTCAATAATTTCTGAACAGTTCAATCATTTTATTGAGAATTGGATATAGATTAAGGACACCAAAGGTTTCCATTGTATTCAGCAGAAGAGGATGTGCATCCCAGAGAGGTAAAGGTTGAATATGTTTTTGCGAACCTGTCTTTTCTCTACAGATGACAGAGCAGAGAAAGCAGAAGCAGCGGATCGGCCTGTTGGGACACCCTCAGCACATGAACGCTAACCCTCAGCAGCCCGCATAAGATCAGCCGGCACAGGAGCAGCTCAGCATCAGCTTCTCGTGTCATTGTCATCAGAGGTTACTCACTGTAAACTGCACTGAGTGTGGGTGTTACTTGTAGTAGAAGAACTGTAACATAAGTAGGATTAAGGCAATCTGTAGCTCCCCTCCACGCGTGTGTTGCTCCCAATAGTGACACTCATCCATTTTTTTCTGTTCAGTCCAGTTTGACTTGGTGCCAAATGTTCTCTACACATTTATTGGGCGGATTCTGAATCACATGGCCTTTACGTGACGGACTTGAAACATGCGATAGCTCACTGGACAGGGAAAAATAGTCAAACTTGTTGTTCATTTTGTATTTAAATGTTTTCTATTTCTTGCATAACAAGCAGTATTAAATGTCTTATTTTTGTATGTTGTGCAATATACTGAATTAAATATGCAACATTATTGGTGTGAAGATTAAGTTCCATCAATTATGTCTTATTGAAAGTGGGCCGTTGTTTTTGTTTGTCACTGGATAAAATAAGAAGTAGCTGGTTGTCTTTGCCCACAAAAAATAGGAATTATCTTAAGCTGACTTTCTCAATTTTTGTCTTTTATTTCCTTAAATTGTGCTTACTTCACAAGAGTTAACTCAGTTAATTCAGTAGAGATAGTTTATTGTGTGAGAGCAATAAAAGAATAGTTTTCCTTACCTGTAAAATTCTAGTTTTGTCATAACTCAGTGCTAACTCTTTATAAAATGAATTTGCTTTGATTTAATTTTATTATAAGGGACATTAAGAGTGTTTGTCTCTTTGGTCAAATAAACTGTGTTACTTCTTCAGGATCACTCATGCTTTTACAGTTTTTAGCTCAGGAGTTGTGACTTTCACTCTTATAAAAGTCATGAGCTTACATTTCAGCCAACTAGTTCCATTTGTGCCTGTTTTTTGGCCTCATTTAAGGTCTGATACAAGAAACTCGTTTGTGCAGAGGCATTTCTTTTATTTTCATGTTCACTCCAAAGTTAGTTACTGTTAGAAGGATCTTTTTTGACCTCTGTGTGTACAGAAAGTTTGTTGCTTACCTTTGCTTTTGTATAGAAAAAGGGAAAATAATTATAATTCATATGTTAAGAATAACTAAAGTTTAAGAACTGTCAATTTGTATATTAAAGTAGAAATATTTATTAAAATTGATGTATTTATCCTTTACCCCTTGTTGTGTTTGCTTATTACTGAGGTGAATTCATGGCATTATTTTAGAGAATCAAATCTTCTATTGTTTATTTTTTATCTGTTCTTCTGAAATAACTTTATAAATTAAGTTCATCATAAACTTGCCTTCTTTCAGTCACAAAACTCATTCAGAGTAGACTTTTTACTTATTACAACCCAGCAGCAGCTTGGTGGCTGTCTGGCATGAGTCTGGTCCTGCTCAAGGTTTCTGTCTGTTAAAAGGAAGTTTTTTCTTGCCACTGCTACTCGTGTTAGGCTATGTGCAGGTTATGATGCACAATTAGGATTTTTTTGTTAAATCCGATGTTTTTGTGCGGTCGTTCACATTACAACAAGAAATGCGGCATCTCATGTGAATGGAATGCATTCGTGAAGTGACCCACATGCGCACAAAGCACAAATTGCTTTCCTCGCCTGTTTGTGCTGTCGAACAATGGTGGCGTCTGTCGCATATTGATGACATATAGGTCGGATGAACGCGACCTGAGCATCCACACTGCAGTCACATCAGATACATATCCAATTTATATCCACATACAAAAGAGGCCTGGGTCGGATTTGAAAAAAATCAAAATTGCACTGTTCACACTTACATGAAAAAATCAGATATGTGTCACATATGCTTAAAAAATCTGAATTGACCTTCAGTGTGAACATAGCCTTAGATGACATGGGCCAAATCTCATCTTAGGTTGGATCTTGATAATTCATCGAACAATGAGCGTGGTCTCGACCTGCTCTTTTTCTTTGAAAAGTGTCTTGGGATGATGACAGTTGTGAACTGGAGCTATATAAATAAAATTTGATTGATTGATTGATTATTAATTTTGCCACCATTTATGATTTAACTGTAAATTCAAACATTTTTTAAGCATATTTAAAGTATATTATATGACGGCAAATAAAAAAAATACTGCTATATATATATATATATTACTATATATATGTGTATGTATATATTACTATATATGTATGTATATATATATGTATAAATATATATATATATGTGTGTATATATATGTGTGTATAAGGATATATGCATATATATATATACTTGATTAAACTGTAAATCTACATTTTTAAAGCATATTTAAAGTATATTATATGAAGGCAAATGTGTAAAAAATACTGCTATATATATGTATATATATGTTTATTTGTTTATATATACATATATGTATATATACAGTATATATATACATATATATGTATATATGTTAATATATATGTACATGTTTATATATATATATAGATGTGTATATATATATACATATATATATATATATATATATATATATATATATATATAAATTCAATAATATGGACCTTACGTAGTTGTATTGTCCTAATTATCCTACTGACTTTGAGAAGAAGTGTTAACAGAGACCCTCTTCCTGTCTGTTTCCGGCCTATGCGCTTGTTTTGGACTAAAGTCTATCTATAGACCCTGGCTGCTTCGGGATGTCGGCGAGTGGAACCGACCGACCACTCGGGCACTCTCGGTTGATTGCGCGCCTGACGTCACCGACAGGGAGTCGCTCCACGGTTTTTCTCTCCTTGGCCATGAGGAGCTCAACGTGACAGCCCGCTGGGTACAAGCAGGTTTAATACTATCAGTACAGCAGCCGGTATAAAAAAGAAAACAAAACACTCCGCTGCAGCCGCCCAGCCATCCCCGCTGCAGGTGCACGTGCCACTCGGCAATCGGGGACAGGATGAAATTACACAGTGTCCGTGCAGAGCGCATGACACATGCCATGCACAGTAATCGCCCTGCTGCCAACAAACGTCTGTGAATAGCCTACTTATTAGTTGACTCATCAGCTTTTATTATCAAGTGATGATTTGTCTTGTCCGTATAAAGAGTAGGCCTACAAATATGTTTCACAAGATATAATTAGGAATGACTAAATTAACTTTTGACGAGAATAAAAATCACAAAATAACATTTGAATTTTTTAAAATTTTTTAGACATTTTTCCTGTTATGAGCTTCTAAGAAACATTACAAATATCTAGTCACAACTTCGTTGTTTTAGCCCTTTAGTGTACTCGCATAGGTATAATAATTTCCGTGTTGTCTCGAGCACGCAGCCTTCGACGTTTTAGTCTGTTTTTAACATTTTGACATAAACGCAGTCATATTTGAGAGAAAAACAAAATAACGTGACACTGTTTTAGTGCGGAAAGTGCTGCTCCACTTTTCTGACATTGTAAACACAGTGGGGTTTCGCCTGGAGAGCCGGAGCATGGTGGTACACGGGACTCAGCCCCAGCGGAGGAGTACTACACACACATTGGGTTGTACTCAGTGACAGCGCGAGGGGAGGAGGCGTACGTGTGCGGGGAGGGTGAGGAGTTGAAAGCACCGTCCAACACGTGAGGCTCATGTGACTGTGTGGAGTCTGTGTCTGTAGCCGAGAGACGTGCCCGCAGTCACAGGGTTTAACACGTAGTCAAAACCCACCCAGCTCTCACACATTCAGCCGCGCGTGGAGCCTCCCTAGACATACTACTGAGTCCGGACCTCAGGGTGACAACGTTGAGCCGTGCCCAACTCCACTCCACAGCGGGAAAACACGCGCACTGGATAACAGGAGATACTTTTGACTTCTTTTCTTTTTCATTTTTGATGGTTTTTACTCGTTTTGAAGCTCGACTAAAAACACGTATTTCCAACGATTTGGAGGCTTTTTGAAGTTTTTCTTTGGAGTTTGACAGTGAAGCGACATGGAGAGGATCACAAGTGCGCAACCACCTCCCTGTATGCCAAAACACTCTGCACTGGACATAGCTGAAATGCAAGGGTAAGAGGAAATTGTTTTGTATTATTTCTAATATTATAAAAATAAGGCAACCCTTTACTAAAGTATAACCAGCTACAAATAAGTAATTTTATCAACTTGTCTCGATAGGATGGATTTCCCCATCTATGTGTACAAATCCAGACGGGGGATGAAACGTGGGGATGAAAGCAAGGTAAGTTTTAATCTTAACTCTGATTTTATCTTAATATTATCTTATTATTTATCATTTTGAATTTTACTGACAGCATTTTTTTACTCTTTAAAGGAGACATACAAGTTGCCACACAGACTGATAGAAAAGAAAAGGCGTGACAGAATCAACGAATGCATTGCCCAGCTGAAAGATTTGTTGCCAGAGCATCTTAAGCTTACAGTGAGTATTGTTGTCAACATTCTGCATGTCTGCTATACAGCCTTGACATCTGAGCAGTTTGTTCATTGCAGCCTTGGATTCATTTTCCTTTTTTTTTTTTTATTTATTTTTTTTTTTTTTGAGTGCTAAAGAGAACAAAAGTTTGGGTCTGAAGTAGAAAGAAGAGTTTTAATTAATGCCCAAATTAAAACATGTTTTCAGTTCATAATTTGTTGGTAAAATTTGCGTGTAAGTGGATTGCATGACTTCCCGGGTGTTTGAGGCTTGTCCTCTATTCAGCTGCAGAATGTGTTACATAAGAAAGATCAACATGCTTATCGAAGGTCTTCCTGTTTTAGACGCTGGGTCATTTGGAGAAAGCTGTGGTGCTGGAACTCACTCTCAAGCATGTGAAAGCTTTGAGTAACCTCCTGGAGCAGCAGCAACAGAAAATTATTGCTCTGCAAAAGGACCTGCGAATAAGTAAGTCTAATACCCAGACCGTTGCATAAGCACTAAATACAAAGTGCGGATCATTTTGTGACTCCTGTTTCAAAGAATACTGTGAGACTAAATTTTGATAACGTGTGTTTTTCTCCAATTAGCTGATCATGGAGGCGAAGAGAGCAGCGAGGAGATGTTCCGCTCCGGGTTCCACTTATGTGCGAAAGAGGTCCTCCACTATCTGGCCGGTCAAGACAGTAGCCGGGACCTGACTCCCTCCCACGTCATCGGCCACATCCAAAAGGTAGCAGCAGAAGTCCTGCAGCATCAAAGCAGTCCGAACCCAGAAGAGTCCAGCTCCCCACCTCCAGAGAAAATGAAGAAACCTGCTGGGCAGCCTCAAAGAGCATCTGAGGTCCCGGCAAAGAACTGCGTGCCTGTCATTCAAAGGACTTATCCCCATGGGATGGGGGAACAAAGTGGCAGTGACACAGACACTGACAGTGGCTATGGGGGAGAACACGACAAGCGCGAGCCCAAAGCTCAGTGGTCAGAAAGTCATCCAAAAGAGGGAGAGCTCAAGCAGGCTGGGTCTGAGAGGAAAACTGGACCCATCAAGCAGGAGGGTGATGAGCCTCAGGCCAAGAGGCCGAGGTCTGAATCCCCAGAGGACGAGGTGTTCCCTGGTCACATGGTAGGAGGCTCCGGCAGCTACATGAGCCTGTCTCCTAACCAGCACCCATTCTGTCTCCCGTTCTACCTCATCCCCCCTGCAGCTGCAACAGCCGCAGCATACCTTCCCATGCTGGAGAAATGCTGGTACCCTGGGGGCATGCCAGTTATGTATCCTGGCATGGGCGGCTCAGCAGCAAGTTTGCACCCAGAGACACTTCCCCCATCCCTGGTGGTGTCACAGAGGGCAGGGTCTCCAGCACCCCACCAGAACCCCATGGACTTCCCTGCTCCACATAAAGCTTTAAAGCAGGTCTCCCCGTTGAACTTGGAAACCAAAGACTAAACAGATGTGTTTCTGTTGGAAATCCTACCCTCTGAATGTTGATGTCAAATGGTCGGGACGCTGAAAAGAGGGTAAACAGACAGAAACGCACTGGTACCCTTTCAAAACCACAGCTGTTGTTTGGTCTAACAGAATTTGGACTCTATCCGAGAACCTGAAACGGCCTCGGCATTTGTAATCAGGTCCTCGCACACTGAAACAATATGTTAGTGGACAACATGGACCATCCGTGTGAAGGCTCGTAATATATCACTGGTTGCATTGCTCTACAACACTGTGAAGATCAGTTTTGGTCAGGTTAGAGATGAGTGTGCGAGACATTCTGGAGAGAGCGGGATCGATTTGGAGGGTTTGTCTACTCAGCACCCAGTGTTGAATGTCAGAGGTCAACTCAGAATGTAAGGCCTAGATAAGCCCCCCAAAATTATTTGGACCTACTTTTGCACACACATACACACACACACACAGTCTGTAATGAATGTAAAGATTGAAACAAAAGCCCCCCTGTAGAGGCTGCTTGAATTATTACCTGCTGTTGTTCTGTGAATGGAGGATCTACCTTCAGTGTTCGCCGCTCTTGTAACTGCAACTAACCATCGTTTAGGATGTTACCAAAAAAAACAAAAAAACAAAGCTGGTTTATGATGACTCCGGGTGTCACAAATACTCCACTCATTTGACCCATCAGATGCCCTGGGGCTTGGTTTGAGACGAGTGTCCACGATGTCAAAAGAATTCAGGGCGTTGTCACCATTCGAGGTGTGTCTGTTGAAGACTAATGTGGCCATACGCGCTTTTATGATTTAATTTGTGACTCATGACTATTTGTGTATTTAGACAGAGTTCTTGTTAAGTCATGTCTTGTAATTATTTTCTGTTTATACAACTTGTACATCTCTATTTTTGATAAGTGACCCACTGAGTGTATTTGCGTTGCTACCAGACAAGGGTTTAGGTAGTAATTTGCTGTATCTAAGAGAACGTGTACAGTACATAGCGTTGTGCTCAACCAGATTCACATTTTGTCCCCGATTCCCCGTCATGTTAAGGCCTGACCTTAGCTCATGCTGTTGCCTTTACTCGATTAATGCAGACACAACAAATGCAGGTTTTTTTTTTTATGTATTTTGCTTTAAATGTTGTGTCTTTGGCAAAGAGAAAGAGTGAATGTAAAGTTTAAGCTAAAATAATAGTTTTGTATAGAAAACGGTACTTGGGGTTTTTATCTTGAAATGTAACAAAACAATGTTTGTTGTATATATTTTGTATATAAAGTATTATTGATATATATTAAATATTAATAAAGTTTTTTTCCCACATTCAGTCTGAGTTTCACTGCCTGATACTTAAAACGTCTTGTCGGCAGCCAACCTGACAGCTCCGCGCAATAACACATACTTACATAACACTTACATAACCCATAAAGCAGCAGAGCCTGTGTAAATCAATAGCTTGTCTTAGATTACAGGCTGTAAACAGTCACATTTTGAAAGCATTTCAAGGGTTTTAACAGTTTGATGTGAGTGAATTTAGCAAAGGCTTATATTAATAAATCTCTCACTTCACTCAGAAGAATTTGAGCTCCAGACATTCAGAATAATCACAGTCAAGACCTTGTTTGATAAATGTTATCATGAGTCCCACATACCTAAAAACTCAATCTAAAATAAATTAAAAAGTAAATGATAAGCTGCAAGTTGTGAAATATTGATTTTATCAATATGCATGTAGAAATTAAATATAACTCTGCTGAATTACTGGAAAATTTTGGTTCATAAATTCAAAGTGTCATACAGATTAAACTGTCAGTATATTGTTCGGCAGCAATCTTGACACAATCAAAAGTCTGCAGAAGTGAAATGAGTCTGGCTTCTTGAATTGTTACCATAGTGGTTGGAAATGTTCAAGTGCTGAGGCAGCAAAGGAAAGGTGCCACAAACTTTCAGTCCCCCATGTGTGACTGAGAGCTTTTGAAATGGCTCTCTCTCACATATCAGAACCGTGTTCTGTCATTAGATTTGACAGATTAAAGTTTCCTACACCTTCAGATGACTTTCAACAGATCTGTGGATGGTGGTTTTGATGTGCTCAAAAATGCAGCACAAGCGCCACCTTGTGTAATATAGGCAGTACTGACTGAAGTTATTAGAGCAAGGATTCTTGTTTGAAACTTCACCAGACTACGACCATGGCCTTTTAGGACATAGTGGGCAGTTATCAAAATAGTGTTAAAATGGGAGCAAATGGTTTTTTTCACTGACAAACTGAAGAAGCTGCAGACTCCTGACTTTTAGAAAACCAACTTTTTATCTGAACATTGCACTTACTCTATATTGTGCTCCCCCAAGTGGCCCAATTGGGGTAATTGTTGGTTTCAAATCCCACAGAATCAAAGTGGTAACTGATACGATGGAATAGCCTTTTACATCAACAGAGGTACAGTATCTGGTTAGGTTTTCACAATGCAAAGCACATGAACACAGTCAGGGACACTGCAAAGTGTTTTTATCAATTCTCTGTTATCTTCAATTAGTTATTTGAACGAGCCCTTTACTGAATGGGAGCAGATTCATCATTGAGCCAAGGCAGGATGTGTTTACCAGAAGCCTGAACTGGCAAAGTAACCCAGAGAGTAAGTAAAACACTGATACCAGCGTAAAAAAGCAAACAGAGGTGATTTCAATCAATCAATCAATCAATCAATCAATCAATCAATCAATCAATCAATCAATCAATCAATCAATCAATCAATCAATCAATCAATCAATCAATCAATCAACCAACTTTATTTCTAAAGCACATTTAAAAGAACCACAAGGGTAGCCAAAGTGCTGTACAATGGCACATAAAAACAAATAAAACAATCAAAGAAAAAGATAAAGCAGAAATACATTAATGCAAAATAATAAATAAATATATAAATAAGCAGGCTCACGGCAAGTGCTAAGATGATAAAAAAAAAAAAAAAAACACTAAAATGTATCAAAAGCCAAGGAGTAAAAGTGCGTTTTTAAAAGGGATTTAAAAACAGGAAATCAGGAGGCCTGTCTAATTTTCAAGGGCAACTCATTCCAGAGCAGCCTTGTATTGGGGACCATTAGTAACAGTTGATCAGCTGATCTTGGGGGTCGGGGTGGGCAATAAGGCTGGAGCATCTCAGAAATATAGGGTGGAGCAAGATTGTTCAGGCCCTTAAAAACAAATATTAAAATCTTAAAATGAATTCTGTACTGTACAGGGAGCCAGTGTAAGATAAAAGCATGGATTCAGTTTTCCAGGTCAGATCTTGATAAAATGGGCTTCACCTTCACTATTTGATGTAGCTGATAAAAACTTTTTTGTACCACCCTGCTGATCTGCCTCTCAAATTTAAAATCAGGGTCAAAGTTAACTCCCAGATTAGTGACGACATCCTTCAGATTGGGTGAGACATCTAAACAACAATCTTGCTTTAGAAGTGCTGTCTGTGCAGGGGACGCCATGCAGGCTGAGACAGCTGTAAAACATGTCTTTTTTTACAGAACATAATTGTTCTTATTCTGTTAATAAGAACAGTTTGAGAGTGTATGTTAGCTATGAAGACTAAAGGCTATAATGAAGTGCTCATTAAAGGTTGGGATGACCTTGAAAAAATAAGATATCCAGGAGGCTTCCTCCTGCCGCTCGGTGGACTATTAGGCCTGACACAGGGGCTCAACTCAACAGACTTAAAAATCTAAGCAACAATCTAAGCATTATCTTGTGAAAAAAAGATACAAGTCCACAAAGTTTTTCTACAAGCTGCAATTTATGTTTGTTAAAAAAATTAAATAGAATATGATTCAACCATTAATTATACACACTGGGGGCTGCATAAGCATGTCATGTCCCGTAAATGTGAAGAACTGAATTTTCTATATGGATTTATAAGTTTTTTTTTTGACAAGTTACTGTAGTTTGGAGCTTGACAACAATAGAAAGCTTTAAAAAATGATCTAATCTGCACAGTCTTCAATTTAAAGCAACAACTTGCAAAAGTATGGTAGTAGGCCAGACTAAAATAAACATTTAAAGAGGCCAAATGTAGCTTATTACTAAGGTACATAAATTGTACTCTTTGTGTGTTGTGTTCTGTTATAAACATTATTATCTGTTACAGGTGTACTATAGATGCTTTGTCATTTATGCTCTAATTTTTCAAAAAGCCCACTAATAATATAGCCTTATTTTTGCCAGAATACAACAATGACATTCAAAATACTTAATGCAAACCAAACCAGAGTAGGGGAGACCGGGGCTTTTTGTCACCATCAATACACCATATACAAACAAAATGTGTAGATGAAAGACCAAAGTCTCAGGTATATATTTTGTATTCATGTCATTTTCATATCTTGTGTCAGTGCAGAGTTATAAGCAATCAAATAGAGAGTATGCACATATGGCATGTGGCCCCACCATGGGGTAAGTTGTCTCACTTCATGATGTCACAGTGGATTTTGCAGCTATGGAAAAAAACAAGGAAAAAATTATTGTTCTTCTCATTTTTTTTCTATGAAAGTGAACATCAAAGTGAGTACAGAAAATGTTTATCATTGAGCTAGAGAAAGTAGTTGAACATAGTCACTGAACAAACGTTAACATAAAATATTATGCAACATGCTCTGGAGTTTGGAGAGCTGTCCGACTCTGTATTTCGGCTGGGGTGAATGTTTTGAAGTACCGAGCCAAGGTATGGTAGTTGACATTGAAGTCCTTTATTGTACTCTAGATTGATTTATTAGCTAGGGTCACCTGCCTGACGGCCCTCAGTATCAAATCAGGCACTGCACTGCCATGTTCTGTTTTTCTTTTGAAATTCTCAACCTTGTCTTCTCGCTTTCTCCTCTCTTTAAAACCACTCTTTTGTCTGTAAATATAAAGTCAAAATTTAAACATGACAACTGCTGATAAGCAGACTCTCTATGTTAATTCAAATTCTTTTTAAACATGTGACAACTAACCCCAAAATGACTGAGACATGCTACCCCAAACTACCATGTTTGCTAATTCTAGCTTTAACTTAAAGTTAGCTTAAAACTGAACAATGACTGAGGTATGACAGGATGCCTTAATCTCTCCTCTGACAAGTCCACATGTTTCACTGCTAGGATTTTTATCTAGAAGAATCTTATTTTAAAATATATCAAGTTAAAAACTTTTACTTTGGGTTGTGTGAAATGGTTAGAAGTCCTGACTCACCAGGAACGATGCAAATCTACAACATGAAATTACGAAATATTCAGAGGTGAATTTTGACGTGCCTGACTATACACATCAAGCGCTTCCCAAGCGAGAAGACTGACACAACAGCAGACTGACTGTTTTCAGTTCTGATTAGACACTAGTGTTGAGATGGCTGTCTGTCATGATAGCATGTACTGAGTCGGGGCCAGTACCAGATAAGCACATTAAACTATAATCCATAAACGTAAGGTAAGAACTGAGACCTAATGGTGCTGTGACAGCAATGCGGTTGAGTTTGAGACAGTGAAAATACAAATGGTATGTTGTATCTGAACAGGTTAGCTTATGAGCTAAAGTTACTTAGTACAGATAAAAATTAAAACAAAGACGTTTAGCAAACTGTTAAAGCACACGATCCATCGGCATATGAGAAATCCAACACTATGACTCTCCACAAGTTGTCCTTCAGGTCATTATCTTTGTAATATTTGTGTTTTTTATCAAAAAGCACTCTGTTCTCTGACACATAAACAATCAGCCAGTCGGCCATGTTAGATATACCGGTGAATCAGATGTCGCAACAACACTCAATCTGATTGGTCAGAAGTGGACACACAGTATGCGAAACTTTAGAAAATTCGACCATGATCTGAAAAAATAAATGCAGCAATAAATGCAGCGACAGGAAAACGTCGCTGATGTGAACGCTTGTATTGACAGGATACGGGTTAAAAAAAATATATTGATGTCCGAAATAATCGCATGAAAAAATACTCTCCCGGTATGTAAGGACCTGACATGACCCCTGACCATGTAAAGGAAGAAAACTAGTGTTTCACTTTTAGTTGTGCCCTCTGGTGGCAAAGATAATTACAACGTGACAACTTACCCGTGTGGCAACAAGCCCCTGTCTCCCCTATCTCTTTCACTAAAAAGTAGACTGCCCTTATTTCTTATTCATGGTATTGTATCATATGGGGCAGTTACTATTCAAACAATTATGTGTTCATTATCCCTGTTATATTATCATTATGATATTGCTGTTGTTTTAGCTGTTTATCAGCAAGATACGTTTGCTAGAATAATGAGTTTTTATTACGCTATCATTAAGCATAACTGCTTTTATTCTGAAAATCTCGGAGCGGAAGTGTAATTGTTATTCTTTCCGGCCAATCACGTCGCTGTACTTCTTCTATCTGCTTCCTTGGTGAGTTTGTATCGCGTTGTTCTCAGAGAGTGGATGTTTACACCGGACCGACCATGAGGATGTGGGCTGCGGTGCTGGTGCTCGGACTCGCGGTGAGCTCGTGCCAGGCAGAGTTCGGCCCACCCACCCTGAACATCAGCCTGGACGATGTTCCGGAGGAGAGGTGGGCGACCCTCACCAAAGTCTTTGACGCGGATTTTCTACAGAAAGCCGCCGCAGAGGTCATTGAGTAAGTTTTTAAAGGCTCATATTTCGCGTGTGGTGTGTGTCTATTGTGAATGATACAAAGTGAAGAAGTGTTTGGCTGAATCTCAAAAGAGTGACTTATCTCAATGTTATGCTGAAATATTGAAGTCGCAAAAGTTAACCATAGTTTAATGCTTAACAATCACATTGTGTGTAGGAGTTTGAGCATTCATTGTTGTTATCATTGGTGGAATTCAGTGTTAAGCATGAACACTAACTTGTTTCATGTTTTCTCTTTCACAGCTCCACTGTTCCAAAATGGGTACACCATGCAGTCAAACCTGTTGTGATGGCTCTGGAAAAGTACATCCCACAGCCTTACGCAGGGGAGATCCGTGGCCTCGCAGCACATTTTGGAGGAAGCCTTTCAGATGTCATTATTCTCAACTTTGCCTATGAGGTTTCTGCGTATGTACCATTTTTAATGAAGTCAAACATTCATCCTGACTTTTAAATGATGCAGAGGCCCACTGTGTCAAGGAGGATTAAAGTTGAAGTAAATTCACTTTTTTTTGTGTGCATTTTCTAGATTTTGCACCAGTGTCATAGCTCAGGACAAGAAAGGGAACGTGTACCATGGCAGGAACCTTGAATATCCACATCCAGTTTTGAGGAATCTGACTGTCAACGTAGTTTTCCTCAAGAATGGAACGGTAAAATTTGTTTTTAAAGCATTTGGAAAACTAAATAAGGTGTGTGCAGTTTGAAACCACACATCATAAAATAAATAAATGATGGTGCTGACTCTAAGTTAAGTCACAGCTGATACTGCATATTGACAGTGTGGCTTACGTATTAATTATTATGCTTGCTGAAACCCCATTTCAGGAGGCCTTCCGTGGAACTTCTTTTGCCGGCTACATCGGCCTCTGGACGGGCCAGAGTCCAAACAAGTTCACTGTTTCTGGTGACCAGCGAGGTAGAACACAATCTAATCTCAGGACTTCTCACTGAGCAATAGATGGCAATAAGACGTCAAGTTTTTTTTTTTTGACCAAATTTCAACCGTCTAGGTTCTATATATTTTTAGACGGAATTTAGACGTTGCACCTTAACTCATTATTCGATAACTATTTATTTCAAAAAGCAACTGTGAGTTGCATAACTGATTTCCAAGTACTTAACCAAAATAATCATGATAGCCGTTGAGCAATTTACAGTTAGACCTCTGTTAGCTGGCTAGTCGAAACTTGGTCTAAATCTAGACGTCTAAAAAAACTTTAATTTAGACCTGTGGGAGCGTGATTTCGGACCAGTCATCGAGGTTACATTTAGACGTCTATTAGACCTCTTTTAGACCAAAAAACGCTCAGTGGGTTTGTTTGGAAAAAATGTTGAAATAGTTAGATTTAAAGTATTCTTATGGTTTATGTTTGTGTGGGATCATCAGGCAGTGAACACTGGTGGAACTGGTGGAAGAATGTGGTGTCTGCGTTCATCTTTCGGAGATCCCCAGTCAGCTGGCTTGTGAGGGAGGTGAGTTACATTAGAGAAGTTAGACATATGACGTTGCTAGCTGAATGAGGAAATGAAACCTTGAGTAACTAAGTGTGATCTATGCAGACGCTAGAGAAGGCAGAGAATTTTCAGGATGCAGTCATGCGTCTTTCAAAAATCCCCATCATCACTGGGGTGTATTACATTGTGGGTGGAGTGCAAGCTGGGGAAGGGGCTGTCATTACCAGAGACCGAACTGGCCCTGCTGATATCTGGCCACTGGATCCTGTTAATGGAGAGTAAGAGGCAAATTACAGCATTAGAGAAAAATCTGGTCAATCAAGGATTGCACTGCACAGCTTAAATCGCGCATAAAATTGTGACCTTCCTCTTAAAGATGGTACAGAGTGGAGACCAACTATGACCACTGGCGTCCTTCTCCTTCCAGAGATCATCGAAGGTGCGTTATCTCACATAATGGATCCTTTTGCCATTTAACAGTTGTGACAGTTTAAAGACTGTTTTGTTTGTATTTCACAGAGAAGTGGCAAACAAAGCACTAAATGCTACTGGCCAAAACAACATCAACATGGAGACACTTTTTAAGGCAAGTGCTGATAAATAAATCAATGTTTTTGATGGCTGGTGTAGTCTCAGTAAGAAATGAAAATATTAATAACATTTGTTTCATTCAGAGACAATGTGAACATTTCTAACAATTTATTCCCCCTATCACAGGTCTTATCACTGTCTCCAGTGTGTAACGGGTAAGCAGAACATTGTTTGTCCATTTCATTCTTATTTGCTGTTACAAGGAATCACATGACTATTCAGGATGTAGAAACAAGGTAGTTGTGTGCATACCAGCCCTACTCTGTTAGCACCACCTCAGCAATAACGTCAATAGCCCATTGTCTAATGTTTTACCCTTAGCACAAAGTGTTTAATGTATAGAGGAGCATTGGCAGAGTTTCAGTCAAAATATTGTTGAAATATTTATAATACAATTTAACAAGCTGATCATTTACATGAATGTCATTTTGCCTCTGATGAACTGTTTAACACCTTTCTTTAAATAACATGGCTGTGTTGACGACATATGCATTGAGAGTGACCTCTGCTGTGTTGATAATCTCCCAGAATAACAGTTTACACCACAACTATGAGTGCAGCCACCCCAGACAAGTACAGCACATTTGTCAGGCCACCGGTAACTATATTTCATCTTAGAATGTTACATTTATTCTTGAGCTACTTATATTTCATTCATTTTATCCTCAAACTAATACAACTACTATCTCACTCTTCCTTTTTTTTCTCTCTCTCTCTGAAGAGCTGCAGACATAACTGAGATGAGGCTGTCAACAACTCAGAGACCAATGACAAACTACTGGAAATTAACAAGCTACCTTTGTCGCAGTTTTGCATCAACCCTCAACATTAATTAACACATTAATGCAAACTGTTCTCAGAAGTGATTAATTTTCTACTTTTACCTCAACTTTCTTTTATTTAACTTTTTGCAACAAAATAGGCATGGAATGTGGAAGAACCTGTTGAATTTTACAAACCTTAACTTTGCACATCATGCAGGACTGAGGTTCATAAATAGTAACCAATGAATATGGGGGAGGGGCAGAAGCACAGATAAACATGCTTTTTTACTTATAATAAAAGAAGACAAGTTCTAATCATGCTGTTTTACCTCTAATAAAGAGAAAAAATTTCTTATCAAATCCCAAACTCTAAAAAGTGTTGGTTTCTTGAAAAGATGTAATTATCTTGGCTATGTTGAAAACTTGGTTGAACAAAACACTCAATTGTTTGTTAATGGATAGTGCATTATCTACTTCATGTCTTAGAGTTTTATATTTTAATTGGACATCAAAGACAGGCGGGTTTAACTATTGGGTAAGAACCTTGAAGTAAAAAGCCCTTAAATAAATCACAACACAAGTGAAGAATATGGCACAGCACCTATCATCAGTAAATAATGCAACATTTTAACCCATTGTGCATATGAGTCACAGTCGTCTGAAATAAACTGAATGACCAAGTAAAGCTGGAAAAAGCCCTAAATTTATCTTTGGCTGTGTTTCTGCAAATAGCAACTTTGGGACCTTATTTGCAGAAGTACTTAACAGGCACTGTTTTTATCTGCCAAGTTTCGAACAACATCCAATGTCGGGACTTTTGAGGGCTGGTTGCCTGGCCGACACAAGTATTTACTGTGATGAGTAACATGGCAAATACTTCTAATGAATATTGATGAGAGAATATAAATTAAACAGAACTGTGTACAAACTATATCAGGATGTTGACTAAATCAGATGAAGGTTCACTGTAATTACATTTGCACGAGGGTCAACTACAGATCTTGTTGCACATCTGTGTACCATGAATCTAGAATAGAAGTGACAATATCCCGGTAAATCTATCAAAAGCATGGGTTGTTACGTCAGTTTGGAAAGGGATACATATAATCAAACTTGAAGTGAATGTGTGTAAATCTGTGGGAATCAAGTAGGATTTTATTTCACACAACAAAACATGTTCCCTGACCGGGAATCGAACCCGGGCCGCGGCGGTGAGAGCGCCGAATCCTAACCACTAGACCACCAGGGACGCTGTTGACCGGTGTCAAACTCGAAGGTATAACTTACTCCACCTTGAGTATTGATACAGGTATGTAGATGTAGTCAAAGACAAAAGTATGCAATTTAATATTGGCTAGGCGGGATCTCACTTAGGATTGTTTTTTCCCCCTCTTTTACTTCTTTAATTAACTCTACACTTATCTAGATTTTATTTATCAAAAAATGTTTTTTTTTTTGCCATCGCAAAGTTCAAATAGATGTTTGGTGGTCGAATACAAAATAAAAATAAAAATGTCCCCAACATAACTGATTGTCTTGAACGTGTATAATAATATTTTACAGCGAAAGTAAATTTTGAAAGAACAGAAATTAGACTTGACTTGGTGCCCTTTACCCATATCCTTCACATTGTCAGGTCCAGTTACACTCTAAAAACATTCATCTGTTCATTTCCCTTTGGATTATGCTTTTATTAAGCGCGCTCCCGCCCGTCACGCTCGTGCACTGCTCGATGAGCACGCAGGACCATAAGGACCAGCCAGCAACACTTGTCGGTGGATCACATGATATGACAAAGCAGCTAGCCACTTCCTGTGTTTGACTGCTAGCCGAATCCCATACGGACGCCGACAGTGCGACTACTGTGTCATCCAAGATGCTGGCTCTCATAAACAGGCTTTTGGACTGGTTCAGGTCCCTCTTCTGGAAAGAGGAGATGGAGCTGACGCTGGTGGGACTGCAGTACTCTGGAAAAACCACATTCGTTAATGTGATTGCAGTAAGTAGCTAAAGCAGGGACTGTCAGTTTGGGCCCAGACTACTACCTGGCGAATGTTTCAGACAAAGGATATGTCATAAACCAGATGTAATCATTACAGCATTAAACGCTTCTTCAGAGAATTCGGAGGCCTTTCGTTGGACTTAAAGATCGTGTTGCCCGTGTACTGCGGTCCTGGTTTCTCTGAGCTGTTGTTTAGCAGGCTAGAATGACGAAGTTCTTGGTATGACTGTGCGCCTACTTATGACAGCAGTCATGTGAACGGGCTTGTCATTGCTTTGTTAGAGCTACCTGCGTGTCAACATCAAGGCTGTGTGTGTTGACAGCTTGTAAACTTGTAAACTTTGTCAACAGTTTGTCTTGACGACGTCTTCTTGTGAGGGTAAGCTCAACAGGACAGGCCTAGAGTCTGCAAGACCAGGCTGGAGGATTTCATATTATAGGAATTGATGGTGTATAGATTTGTAGATGATCTACACCATCTTTTATATGTTGCATGTACTTATAAAGACTTAACTCGTGCAATTAGTATGGATTATTTGGATAATTATTACAGGACCACTGCCAGCTCTCACTGTTGTTGAAGAGTTTAAGGTTTTATATGTACTGCCACGTTTGTTGGACCTCTTTGAGTCTGGGTAAGGGGCTGGGGTAATACTCTGTCATGTGTCTGGTCCTTGTTTGCACTCTCACTCGCCCTAAACAGAAGTTGTAAACCACTTTACCGCACACTCACTAGCTTAACACACACACTGCTACGGTCATGTAAGGTGATCTGACAAATCAGCCTTTCCGCACCACACTGTTATTGTCAGGCTGTTAAAGTTATCCACTACATTTAGAGTGTCCAGACAGGCTTGTTAAACTCTAAGAGGGTGATACACAATGGTCATCGTCATCGTGAGGAGAATGCTGCTCTTAAAGCTTGTTGAATGTCAAGGATACGAAGCTCTGTCTGAATGTAGGAAGCGTGGTAAGGTGGTAGGCATGCTGATGCATAGATGGCATCATCCAAATATGATTCATGGGGTTTCGGGACAAGCATCCGATAAGAGGCCACTAACAACAACAGTAATCAACTTACCTTTTTCCTCTTTAAGATAAGTTAAGATACTCCTTTATTCATACCACAAGGAGAAATTCGTCAGTACTGACCTCATGAAGAAATTAAAAGTTTACATCTGCTCAGCCTTCTATGTAACTTCTAAGTTAGATGAATCCTTGCAGATGACTTCAATGTATGACATTAGATGAAACTAGATAGTACCAGCTATCTAATTGTAATACTACTTGAGAGTGAGACCTCTCATTTCTCTTTTTCAGTCAGGCCAGTTCAGCGAGGACATGATTCCCACAGTGGGTTTCAACATGCGCAAGGTCACCAAAGGCAACGTGACAATAAAGGTAAATAAAAGCGACTCTACACAGGATCACATTTTGTCTTAAGCCATCGATTCAGCCCTTTAGGATCCTTTTTATAATGCTGCTTCACTTTGTTTTTCAAACCTTAGATATGGGACATAGGTGGACAGCCCCGCTTCAGAAGCATGTGGGAGCGCTACTGTCGAGGGGTAAATGCTATTGTGTAAGTGCCAAAGTCAACTTTTCTGAAACCATTTTCCGACTGAAACAACGTTCGTATGAACCATTTAAATTTGATCATGTCTGCCAAAGTAAAATAAAAAAAATGTGTTCAACTCTGTGAAGTATGTTTCCCTCTTTTCAGTTACATGGTGGATGCTGCAGACAGGGAGAAGATAGAAGCTTCTAGGAATGAACTTCACAACCTTTTAGACAAACCACAGCTACAAGGAATTCCTGTAAGAGGCCTTGTGATGTTTGGGCAAAAATGCTTCCAGTGATACATCTTTGAAGTTATCACGTTGATTTCTTTGGATCTTTTGACTCATGACTTGTAATCACATCAGTATCACTGTGTAGCTCACAGTTGAACCAAACAAAATGCCCATTAAATCTTTGCCAGGACTTTTGAAATGAGTGTTTATTGTCTTGACCTGGAAGCATTTTTTCACACTGATGTAACTGACTGCTGTGTCTTCACCTCACACTTGATCTCTCAATTGCTTCTCAGTGAAATGTTGATGTGATAAGCAAAAATACACACCTTTTGTTTTTACTGATTTGTAAAAATAAACAATGTATACAGACTACTATTTTAAATATTCACCAGTCCTCTCACTTTTCATTTCTGTTTCAGGTTCTAGTTCTGGGCAACAAACGAGACCTACCCAACGCACTTGATGAGAAGCAGCTCATTGAAAAGATGTGAGGCACTGCGTAAAGTGTTTTTGTTGATAAGTCTTCATTCATACTTCTGACTCATATCAGACAGTCATGACAGGTGTCTGGAGGATTATGGTAGTTTTTACCTTCCCGCTCATCCAAAATTTGTAGATCTAGGAGGGAATTGCCGTAGTATGAAATTATACTCATAATACCATTTATTAGCACAATATGAATGGCATGTTAATACCCCTTTCTTAGACAATTGAAGGCTGTTGATGGCAGCAAACATGTACATCAGCACATTCGCAGTAGGAATCGATGGTGCCTCGATACGATATTATCACGAAACTTGGGCCACCATACGATATTATTGCGATTTTTAACATTTTGCAGTACAGTATTAAGATACAATATATTGTGATTCATACAATTTTTTCAACTGTTAAGCTAATTTAGCATTTGTCTTTCCTTTATGTCTTCCTTATTTATGCTGTATTTTATTTTCATGGAGCACATCTTGCAAACCTCATATATATATTTGTTGTACTAACTGTCTCCTGCTCTATGATGTCACCTCTGCCAACCTCACTGGACAGACAGTTGATTTTATTTTTCCATTATCTTTACAGAAAAATCGATACTTGATAAATGCGACGATACGATAGATCACCAGACAAAATATCGTGATACTATGCTGTATCGATTTTTTTCTCCATGTCTATGGGTGTGCTGGTCAACAAAAAACTCCTGACACTAAGAAAAAAAGGATCTGGATCAATAATGGGAAAAAAAGTAGGAGTAGGTCAGATCCCAAAGCAAAACTAGACTCAACTGTTTGGGCTTTATTGATTTTTGGTAGGTAGAGATTTTCTGTGTACAAGTCCAAAGATTTCTCAGCTGCCCACAGTGACAGGAGTTCTCAGCATGTATAAATGAAAATAAGGAACGTACGGTACTCGTGCAAGAGGCTCTGAGGTCAGAAAGGAAAAATACAACCAGGCGAACACATAGCTCTTACAAAACATTCATGTAGCAGCTAGATACTTCAGCCAGACTAAACTGGAAATTGCGTATAATTCCAAATCAGTAGTATCCCATGACTGTAAACACACAAGAGGCAAAAATGTAACTTCATTTTTTTCTGCTCATGTGTTGTTTTCTCATTCTGTTTGACTCATATGTGAATAAAAATAGCAGTGATGGGTTAGGCGAATCGAGATGATCTGGACAGACTTGTTTTTAGTTTCTTTTTTTAATGTCTGTACACATCATGCTCCTGCTTCAACTGTTTTATTTCACCGCTTCCCTTTCCAGGAATCTGTCTGCCATTCAGGACCGAGAGATCTGCTGCTACTCTGTCTCCTGCAAAGAGAAAGACAATATAGGTAAGAAGCAGATCGAAGTTAAAGTGATTCCTCTGAAAAACAAGTTTTGACCTTCAGGGGGGGATGAAAATGTCTAAATGCTCCCCTTTCAGATATCACACTGCAGTGGCTCATCCAGCATTCAAAGTCACGAAGAAGCTGAAAGTGAAAAAACAACCCACCCCCCCCCCAGTCGCAGCTCCGGCCTTAGCCCCCCTAATGGTCATGGTCCTCGACAGCCATCCCTTTCACTGCCTCTGTGAAGTAATCCAGCTCTTTCTGCTCACTACCATCTCCACCTACACCGCCCACTACACTACCATAGTTGTGAAGTCCTGTACAGCACTACCGCCACCCCAAATCTCCGGAGCCTTGAGAAATGTTTGAGTACTGTGCTCGAAGGTGGATTGTCCTGACCCATCAAGCCTTATAGCGCATCATCGCAGACATATGTCTTTGTAAATCAAGGATTTTTTCTTTTTAAACATTGTGTATTTTTCCTCTCAACACAAGAATCTCATGATGTTGCAGCGCACTATTCCCAGCTACACTAGGATGGAGCTTCTCTGAACTCCCGTTCAAGCATCCGCTGCGTGTCAACGTTTGGTGTTAATGTGAGAAGGATGTGATTGTAGTTCTTAACTGTGACTTGCCAAATGATGCTAATGCCAATGCCTTCAGCTCCCCAAAAATTTACAGAAAATGTAGCCTGCTTTTACTTGCTGGCAAATGGAAGTATCTATATAAGTATATCTATATTAATGTTAATTATTTACATTAAGTGACTTAAACTGAAGTTTACACATAGCATAAAGAAAGTCAGAGGGTGAGACTGCAAGAGTTTTAAGTGCCTTTGGCTGAGTGAGTATTCCAGTCAGTTATTGGCAAACCCAACTTCAAATAAAAACAGTTGTTATAGAAGATCACTTTATTACATTCACCACCACCTCTCTAGACAATCACCTTTTACGTTCTGTAATCACAAATGTATTATGACGTAGGAATGAAATAATTTATGAGATGAATGAGAAGATGTTACATTTTATCTGGTTGAAGGGTAATTTCAATGCTGTTTCACTCGTAGCCTGTGACTATTTTATGTAGCTTGAAATGTGGGCTAAATTTTGCTTGCAGTTCTCAGGTTGTTAGATTTTTCTTTTCTTTCTTTTTTTTTTTTTTTCAATAGAAAGGAAAAAAAAACAAAAAACGTCTGAACCCATTTTTGGGTGTGCCCTCATACTTGTTTTTTCAACCTCTGTGTTGTTTGGCTTGGAGAACAGAGAGCCTGAATCATGATGACTGCCCGCAGACAACAGAAGACAGCCCATGACTTCAATACGCTGCTGGGTAATTAATGGCACCCAAAGCGGCCACACCCTCTGAATCCTGATCTGTTTCTCTTTTTGAGTAGAAGCCTCAGCAGTCCAGGGACAAAGCTGTCTCCTCTTAAAGTGTACGTATTGATCTTATTCCTGTCTCACAGGTTTCACCACTGTATATCAGTCTACAACCTGCTTGGCCAGTGCTTCTTCTTGAGACGTTTGACGTCTTTTTCAATGTGTGTGTTTCTGGATCAGGGCTACAATACTGTATTCGAGGCCCCCATGGCTTCTACATTTTACTGCTATGTCTAGATCATCCCTCACACACCCTCTGTTATCTCACATGTTGTTCTGTGTCTGTTGGTGATCGTTGTAAATCCTGAATGTTGATTTTGGGACCACAGCAGCGGCAGCAGCAGCGAGGGGCTGTTATACTTGGGTGACTGTGTGGGAAATTTGGGGAAAGCTTTGTTACCTGTGTAATAATATAGCCTGTTTGCAATTTGTATGTGCATGTGCTGAATTTATTCACATTCAATTGCAGGCTTTGTAAATAAGAAGTTAGCATTTTTATTCCAACAAATGCTCCTGTAGATGTCATGTATTCTTCCCCAGTGATTGCTAATAAATTTGTTTTTATTTTTAAGGATTTCAAGTGTGGCAACCGATCTCCTTGAGAACTTTAGAGTTTAATTTGTCACCACCAGATGGCAGCAGAGAACTTTAGGCGAATAAAGTAATGGATTATTGATGAACCTACTTTTTATGGAGTTGTGATGGCAGGGCTGCCTCTTTGTGCACTTCTGGAAAAGTCAAATTTAAAGAGGTTTAACTTTGTTCTGAGTTTATATCTGTGGGATGGCTTTTTTAATGTCGGTTTTCAGCTTTATTCCTGCTACAGGATGCCTAGCAGTTTAAATTAACTTTGTGTTATTTTGGGGATAGATTTGTAGATGTTTGGTCTGTCATCCAGCTCTCTGAAATTGATACCCACCTTTTTATGTTTCTTGGCAAGAAAAGAAAAAAGAAAATGCATAGATGTGTGTGTGTGTATGTATGTACAGTGCCCAGCATAAGTCAGTACACCTCCTATTAAAAGTAATGTATTACTCAATATCTAGATGAGCAAAAGTACAGTTTCCAAAGTTTTGACAAAGCTGAGTTTAACAAAACATTTTATTCAACGTAAGATGAAAATAAGGTTGACATGGCAACTCAAATTAAGCTTTGCTCCCAGAACTTTGATTGGGGTGTACTTATATTTGCATCCTGATTTTAAATTGAAAAAAAATATATACTTTTTGTAAACAACTTAAAAAATCTTGTTTGCAATCAATGGTCTACATTTGGGGGAGTATTTTGTTTTAGAGTCTGACATAGAAAATGCTGATTTTGAAAGGAAACTTAAGGTTTTCTGACAACTCTGAAGGGGTATACTCATTTATGCTGAGAACTGTATGCTGGGACAAGCTAGGGGGGAGTGTGTTAAAAACCAGGGGCCTATAAAGTGAGCTGTGTTCTTCCAGCTGGGGCTGCGCAGTCTTCAGAGAGCAGGTCTGTGCTGTTTAAAGAGGAAAACCTTAATTAATGTCATATCTGAACAAGGCTTTTAATGAACAGCTGTTGGAATTTACCGTACGCTGGAGCAGTCGAGTATGTGTGGACACATTGAGGTGTTAAATGACAAACTCCATGGGTCAGTTAAGACCAGTGCATGTGTATGTATGCACGTGTGTTCTGCATAAGCGTGTGTGTGGTTTACAATCGCTATGAACGCGAGGGATTAAGTAGTGGTTACAAATCTGCAGCAGGGATTTATGTGAAGAGGTCACAGAAAAGACCTAGAGGCGTGACATACGACTAATGTAGTTACACTCCATTACCTATAGTACCATTATACAATACATGTTTATACCTTCCACCTGTCACAGCTGTGCTGTATGCCTCTTTTAAGTGTCCAATCTGAATAATAAATGGTCATCCATCAGCAGAATTAAAGGACACACTGACTTAAACTATGAAATATTCCTTTAGAGTTGATTCATCCTCCAATAGTATTCACCTCTTTAAGTAGAAGTTCTCATCAAAGCTAAAGCTCTTTCCTAAGAGTGTTTCTATCAGCTGGATTGGCCTGCAACAACATTTAACCCTTTTCAAGTATTTAGACTTTAAGGTCATAATATTTATGATACACAACATTTACAGTGCATCCATGTCATTAAATCCTCACGCTGTGAACATGTGGTCGTTTAGGTGAAGGTTATTTCAGATCAGATTTACAGCCTCTGTGTTGGTTTGACTTCCAACAGCAGCATAATAAATCAAACATTCAGCAGACAATTACAAAGCGGATGCAGGCTGACTCAGGAATGCTGAATGAAGCATGCTGGGGTGACCTTTTCTGCGATGGATTTCACTCTGTTTTCCAATAAGGAAAACTGTCATTTATATTAAAGACATTATTTCATTTAGAGTCACTCACCTGCTTTATTTGAAAGTGTTTTTGATCCAAAACATTTCCTCCATGTGACAGTGATGACATCTAAACACCCCTGTGTTTAGTTGGAGTAACCCGTCCCAGGATCTTTAAGCATCTACTTCATAAAAGGTCAATAAGTTGTTACAGAGTCCTAAAGTAAAGTTTAGGGATTAGAAGTTTGAAACCTCAGCAATGACAAGCATTTGCAAACACTTCATTTGAGTCACTCAGTGGACCATAATTTGGCGATAATCACTGTGTGGAAAGTCACATGGTTCACACGGAGCTGCATGGTCATTACTGTTCCACACAATGTCAAAGGTAAATGGTGACATGCACACACACACACACACACCTTGTTATAACTCCAAACTTTTGTCGTTAGAGACTAACACATTCCTCAACTTGGCTGTTAAGCCCAGTGTGTTTTTCAGCAAACTCTTTTTACATCATCTGATTGGATCATGCTTTTTTACAACATTTTGATGACACCCGATTGGATTTTCCTGAGTAAACAATAAAAAAAAATCTTGATTGGAAGGTCAACAGATCATATTAAGCTCTCACAGCAGCATGACATTGTGGGGTGTGATTGTGACTGTTTGTCCTCATCTTTGTCCCAACTGATACTTTGTCCATCTATCTTCAGATTTAGTCATGTCCACCTGTCCTATACATAAGTAACAGGCAGCTGTTGAGTTAAATAGTGGTAGCTTTCTCATCTTCACAATACCAAGTATTGCATTGTGCATTTTTTCATTTTTCAATGATTGAGGGCACTTAAAGGGATATTCCGGCGTAAAATTAATTTAGAGTCAAACACATGCTAACACCGAGTTAGACACCCAATGGAGAGATGAAGTGGTTAGCACAAACAAAGGAATTAGTATCTTTTGTAGCTTTGTTATTGTTAAAAATAAAAAGCAGTCACTGTTTTCTTTGGTCCTCAGATGCAGGGCCAGAATACAGACATTCATGTTGCAACGGAGCAGTCAGTGCGTCTGGCTTCAACTGTGACTTCTTGACTCTGCAAAATCATAATGGTGTTTGAGGAGCAGAATGCACCATGAGTGGGAGTGGGTTTGCATACAAATCATTCTTGTCGTTACGTCACCACAGGAGCACAATCGAATCCTGCTGTAGCCGTGTTTTTTCCCCAGTAGGTGGAGTACAGACACAAGTGCAGAGGCTTTTTTACTTTCACATTTTCAGAGTTTGTGAGCTGGAGGATGATTTTAGAGAAGTCTATAAGCACTGTAGAGGTGTGGAAAAAATGTGTTTTTTATCACAGGGGACCTTAACAGCCAGTGGGTGATTGTTAAAAGGTAAAATACCCTGAAAACTAATCAAACTTAACCATGTTTCACTGTAGTTTGAGGGGCTACCACAAAAAACACTACCACAGCACCAAACAAAAAAGTTATTTTTTTACTTTATTTGACATAAAACATGACTTTCTTTTTCTTTTTTTTTCATGATAGTGGGAGTGCAAAAAAGCTGCTGAGACCTCTAAATGCAATAACTCAATTTTTACTGAGCACGAGTAATCTGTCAGGTCCGTCCTGTTATCCGGTGTCCTCTCAGATAGCCAGCTCTCCTGTGAACACTTTCACACTCTCACCTCTGTGCCTCGGCTCCGACACTCTCCCCTCCTCTGATTCCATTAAAAAGCAGAACTTCAGCGCCCGTGGCTCTGATCAAATAGGGCTGCTAATGCATTTTTCCTGCGTTTTGATTTTTTCCAATGTGCCCCATATTTACATATAGATTGAGTATTTATCAGTCTGCATTTTAAGGATGATTCACTGTAGTTCACTTTATTAAACCATGTTGGATTTATGTTTTTTTAATGAAAAGTTGATGTAGGGGGTGTAATTCTTTGAACAAGGGACTATACTGGGTATGTGGGCAGAATAGCAATGCAGAGGTTGTGAACAACAAAACTTGCAAGCCTTTGAATGTCTTCGGTGCAGTTCAGTCAATTTTGTGCAATTTTTTTTCTCAGGACTTCTCGTCACGATATATAGACAAATGAAAATTGCTCTAACAACATCATCATCCAGGGGAGAAGAAATAATAATCCTCAGCATTTTTTATTCTGCTTCAAGAGCAGATGGAAATGAGTTAGCTCATTAGCTGCACCACATAAGTCATGCAAGCTGGAGCAGGTTTACTGTGATTCATATTCCCTGAGGTCACCTGTCATCTCTCCTCCGCTGAGATGCCAACCTCATGGCTAGAACCCAGAAAAAGAGTTATTATCAACACTAATTTTAAGGGAAAGTTTGGCATGTTTGCAAATAAGCAAGAATCACTTTTTTTGATACTGTGTGTGTTTGTAAAATTGACCTCCAGACTGAGGCAGCACCAATTCTTACCCATCTGTTTGATATCAAACTCTTTGTTTGTCACACATCTGATTTGGTCAGTTTATTGTGTTACCAGAAAGTCTTTTTATGACATAAATATGAAATTTGTTACACCAAAATCTAGGTGCAGAGATAAAATAAAACTTTGGCATCTAGTAACTCACTTAAAAGGATATTCCGGCATAAAATTAAGTTAGGGTCAAACACATCGTAACAGCGAGTTAGACACCCCTTCAAGAGATGAATGTTGCTGATGGCTTGCTTCTCTAGTTATACCAACTTTCGTAATGACCGCATGATAGCAATACACAGCGGTCTCAGGAGCCTAACCTCATCAACAGGACATATAGGATCCCAGCCATAGTACTAGCCACCAAACATCTTTTTAACTTTGTCTGATTTCTTTAGTTAGGAGATTAAACACAACTCACCTACTCTCTTCCAGCAGCTGCTTGTTTGGAGGGAGAGTTTGATCAGTCCATCACAGACTGCAGCGGGGTGACGCAGCTCAAGGAAGAACAATTATGATCATTACTTAATCATTTCCCTTTAAGTAATAAACACTATATTAACCATTTTGCACTGCAGACACAGTAGTTCTTCTGCCTTAGCGTCTCGGTCTGATTGCAATTCCATAAATACTGATCATAAATGTTCTTCCTTGAGCTGCGTCACCCCGCTGCAGTCTGTGATGGACTAGTCTGAGGTCTCCGTACAAACAAGCAGCTGCTGGAGGTGGGAAGCTTACAAGGTAAATCTAATCAACCTGGTATAACAACACCAAGATCATTCTCAACCAAGTCTGTTTGTAACCCACTGACAACAGCAATTCAGTCATTTGTACTTATCAGCGAGCCATTCTATCCGGCACAACTTTGTTGTATTGTCACCGTTGTTTTAAATATCTACTT